ATATAAACATAGGCAATAAGTATCTCCTTAGTCGCTATTAAGGCAGGCAAAGGCTTACTATCGAGGGTTGTAGGCTAGGCGCTAGGGTCTATGCGATTAGTAGCCGATATAAGATTAGGTAAGCCCCTAGGCTTGTTTTAATCTCTCGAAATATAGTAGCGCTTGCAGTTGTTAAAGGTTGGCGAGTCTATATTCGTATCTAACTACATATTAAACTAGCGTTCCTTATACCCCTTCTATATATCCTTATTCTAGCAGTACTCGATAGTCTCGTTATTAAGTTTACTAAAAAACTCATTAACTAGCTCTAGATCGATCTTATTTAATATAGGCGTATATAGGTTCTCTCGGTTAAATATAAGCTCCGGATCCTAACTATTAATAAAATAGTCGTTATATTTCTTATATTAATCGGCCTAAGCGCGAGTGCCTTAACCTGCGCGGCGACGATGCTATAGCTACGATACATACTATAATATTCGATATGTTCGATAGTTGTACTTATATTCTATCTCTTTATCGTTCTCGTAGAAGAACGATACTCGCTCCGTCTTATGAATTCCTAGTTAACACTACTTTATCTGTGTCTCTCGTTCGAAATTAGTAGCGGCGCAGTATATACAAGTATATACGTGCGGTATAGTAACTCGAGCAATAGCGCGTAGAATATTACAAATTTCGCATTAAAACTATAGCCGCTTATCTAGCCGCTCGTCTGCATTAGGATTACTACCGCTAGCGCTAAATAACGTATCTAGTAGGTTAAAGTTACTGCCGAAATTGTCGCTTAAAGGTAGGTCTTATAATAGCTTCTATACGCGCTTAGTATTGCTAGTAAGGATATCGCTAATACTTAGTGTCTACGAAACGTTATTATCTCCGGCACGACGACGCTAACGATAAGAGCGCGAGATATCGTACTATATAGTACGTGCGGTAGCAGTACGTGCATCGTTACTACTATACTAACCGTATCGATAACGACTAGCGGTACCTATCGACGACTATAAAGACTACGACGGCTATAAAGACTACGAAGGCTATAAAGACTACGAAGGCTATAAAGACTACGAAGGCTATAAAGGCTATAAAGGCTACAAGGGTCGAGGAGGTAGCGGCATCGACGACTAGTATATACTAAGCGGATAGTTCTTCTATAGGTTACCGGTACGGCTAGCGGTAGATATAGAGCTAGGACCTACGCTAGGAATAAGCGACGATAATAACGGAGCTAGTATAGACTAGATTGCGATAGGTGTATTCGGAATAGAAGGAGTCGACGAAAGCCGACTACTACTAATATAGCTACCTCCTCGCTTTAAAGGCGTCTCGGTACTGCTAGTATTAGCTAACTTTCTCTTCTTACTAGAAGCAGAAACAGAAGAGCGGCACTTGTTATATATTGCTAGCTTCTTCTTGCCCTTAAGGAAGCAGCGCTACTTCTTTTATCGGCGGTAGTTAGTATACGTAGCCTTCTACCCGATGTAATCGTCGTCGGCCTTACTATTACTATTTTTACTAGGATTAGGGCGGTCGACTAGAACGTTCTTCTTCGGAGGTCCGCCGCTAGGAGGTCCGCCGCTAGGAGGTCTAGATCCTATCGCGGCAGATCGAGCGCGAGTTATTATTCGTATAGTATAGATCTAGTTAAGATTAGCGTAGGTGTCCGTAAGAGAAGAGATAAGCCGGTTATATGCCTGCTCGTCGCTAAGGTTAACGGTCTAAATCTAGCCCTTAAGGTTATTTAACTTGCTAATTAACTGCGACTCCGGCTTATTAAGTATAGAATTTATACTACGTCGGAGGTTCTGTCCGATAAACCTATTACAACTATATAGATTATATTAATCTTAGATAGTCTATCGAGCCTAGCCTCGAGTAGATAGCTTACGGTTGCGGTTAGAATAACTATAAAGCGTATAAGCGCGATTATCCGGCGAAGGCGCCTTAAGTAATATCTTTAACTATAACGATAAAGCTAAGAAAGGCGCGCTAGTATAGTCGGGTAGGGTCGAGTTTTAGCCGTATAGGAAGGCGGTGTTATAAAAGGCAAGGGAGGCGGCGTTACGAAAGGCGAGGAAGGCGGAGGGGCGTTACGGAAGGTAGAGTAGCGGCAAGGAAGGCGGAGTAGCGAAAGCAAAGAAGGAGTCGTCCGTTTGCTTCTAGAAGCTGTAGCTATATAAGTAGCGGCTTCTTATATATAAATGTACGGACTCTAGTAAACTACTATACGTATCCGCTTACTATATACCTAATCGTGTCTTTGCAAGCGCCGCCGCTTAGAGGCTAGGGGGATAGTCCTCGTAAGCTCCTCCTAAACCCCCCGAAGCCTTACCGCTTTAGTATCTATATTACTTCTACTAACGTTGCGTTCCGGATAGGCTAAGCGCTCGCTAAGGCTCGACTAAACCTGCCCTCTACTTTAGTACCCTCCTTCTTAACGTTAGCGTTCCGGACAAGTTTGAACACTCGCTAAGGCTCGGTATTAACTTGCCCTCTACTTTAGTACCCTCCTTCCTAACGTTAGCGTTCCGGACAAGTTTAAACACTCGCTAAGGCTCGGTATTCACTTGCCCTCTACTTTAGTACCCTCCTTCCTAACGTTAGCGTTCCGGACAAGTTTAAACACTCGCTAAGGCTCGGTATTAACTTGCCCTCTACTTTAGTATCCTCCTTCCTAACGTTAGCGTTCCGGACAAGTTTAAACACTCGCTAAGGCTCGGTGTTAACTTGCTCTCTACTTTAGTGCCCTTATTCGGCTTAGTAAGGGGTATATTAACCGCAAGTCGTTTATAGATTAGGGGTTGCCTAAGGCATCCGTCGTTATTATATTAATTACTTTTGCTAGCGTAGTTTTACTAGAAATACGCTTAATCGACTTAACTTAGTCGGCTTCGGAGGGGCGAGTTTAGGTAACATTTTAGTACGAACCTAGCAATATCAATGTCGATACTAACTTAATAGTAATAATATAGCTTCTAGATATAGAATTGAACCCTTAAGTAGTATAGTGTTTAAACCTTACCTACCTACCTGCCTACCTTCCCTTTCTAACTAAGCTATTACCCTAGGCAGTAGCAATAAGGGTATATAATAGCACTACAATTCACGACGTTTAACTAATAATAATCGACTAAAACGAAGCGACGCCTAGCTATAACTAGGTAAGGAGTTATAGTAATCCTTTGCGCCTAGTTATTAAGTTACGTAGGGAACCTAAGGGATTTAGGCTATTTAATAGTCTTTTCTAAGGCAGCTAGCAGCCTAATAAACTAGTAGAGGTAACTGCCTATTGTCTAACCCTAAAGAAATTAGTTCTCCGGGACAGGTTTTCTATAGCGGCGTTTCTTCGGAAGCGTATAAGGTCGAAGTCTAGTAGTTATATTTACTTACTCGATTTGTAACGTGTCTTAAAGGGTTAATAAGCTCGAGGTCTATATCGTATCCGTAAGAGTAACTCTAGGTATTGCCCGTCTATAGTTTTTTTGCCTCTAGTCTATCTGTTTTTTTTAGAGCCGTAGGTACGGTGTACGGTATATACTGTCCTTGTTCCTTCTGTCTTTTTTACTAGTGCAATACTAGCCTTAGATACGGCGCGGGGAATAGACCGTCTTTTAACTAGTTTAATACTAGTCTTAGATACGGTATATATTGTCCTTCTTCCTTTATATACATTTAGGTTTGTCTATTCTTTTGCTCTTACTCTTACTTTGAAGTCGCCCGCTACCTTTGCGTAGATATTATAGCGTAGAATGTAATATATAGGGTCGGCGAATTGTCGCATAGTCTCGTAGTCGTATAGTCGTATTGTCGGCGGGGGTTCTTATATAGTTACATAGTCGCGTTGTTCTTAGTAGTGTTATCGCATTAGTAGGACTAGCAAGCCTAAGGTTAGGTATACGTAATTTATGTTTTTTAATTTCTACTAATTAGAGCGCTAGATTTAGTTTATATAAGAGCGCCTTTCTTATAATTTAACCTTCGTAACGCGCACCTTCTATATATATATATAGGCTCTTTAAGCCTTCGTACCTGCTGATTCTAATTATTATTTCGCGCTCGCATTAGGCTAAAAACAGACACCTTCTATAACCTTCGTCGCAAGCTCCTTAAGTTACTCTAAGTGCCTGTTTTTTTAGCCTTCTACTTCGCTAGAAAAATAGAAGGGTAGTTAGGAAGGACCTTATTAAATCCCAATTCTAGTGCTAATTCTAGTGCTAATTCTAGCGCTATTTTACTACTAATTCTAGCGCTAGCTCTTATAGAAGTAGCTTAACTAGGTATACTCTCGTAGAATATTATATATACTACTACTATAGTGTAACTACGGAGATCTAAGGTATAGAGCTGCTATAACTATAAGCTGCTATCGGATACTTCTAGCCGGCCGTAGTCTACTACTACGAGCGAGTTCTATAGGCTACGAAGTAGGCGGCGATAGTCTAGATTTCGCATTATATTAGCTATATACTAACAAATAAGAGATTGCTGCTTCTATCCCGCGCGACGGTGTATAGTATAGTTATCGGAATTAGAGGCATTATATATACATTTGGGGTAGGAGGCACCGAGGAGAAGGACTCGGGAGACCACTCGGGCAAAAAGCAGGTCGAACAAAGACGCCCATCAAACTTTGATTAGAGAAACAGGTAGGCTGATCCTTGTCACCCACCCGGCGCTAGGGTCTAGCTCCAAAATTTCTGGGAAAGAGCGAACCGAGCTTGCTTTTGAAGATGTGCCATCCGATTCTGCAGGATGCAGCAGCTCTCGAAGCGGGGTGAGCTTTTGGTAGGAGCAGCAGCAGGAGTAGTAAGTGTGCAGCAAGCAAACGAAAATTCGAAAGAGCTGATCATGCTATTCTAGGGCAGTGCGTGATCCCCGTGCTTGTAGAAAGTAGCTCTCCGACCTCATCACATCACATCTGAATACCCACATCTACCTCACTCACTTTATAGTTCCAGCCCGAAGAACATCCTTGTCTACCACGGAACCGTCCCAAAATGGCACAAGCACCTCCACCAACCCATCCAGGCCGCCTCACCAACAAAGTTGCCATAATCACAGGCGGCGGCATGGGTTTGGGAGAAGGCATAGTCCGCAAATTCGTCCACGAAGGATGTCGCGTCGTGATCTTCGAACTCGACCCTTCTGCGGGCACAAAAGTCGCAGCCTCTCTCCCTCTAGATCGAATTCATTTATTCACAGGAAACGTCACGAATGAAACGCATTGGAAAGAAGCTTTTCAGTGTGCGATTGAAGCTTTTGGCAAACTCGATATTGTCGTTAACAATGCGGGGGTTGTTCATAATGCTCAGGCAAGTGAAATGGACAACAAGAATGGATGTGTGGGAGAGAGGACAGGGTGCTGATGTTGTTGTGAACATCTAGCCGAGTCCGAGCGTTCCAAGAAGTGAATACGACAGAATCATGGAAGTCAACGTTTCACCCTTATACCTCAGCTCAAAAGTCATCGGCCCATACTTCCAATCTCAAAAATCGGGATGTTTCGTCAACATCTCTTCCATATCCGCACCCCGACCACGTCCAAATCTAGTCTGGTATGCGGGGTCCAAAGGTGCCGTGACGGCTATAACGAAAGGGCTTGCGGCAGAGTTTGCGAAGGATGGGATCAGGTGTAATGCGATCTGTCCTGTTGCGGCTGATACGGGGATGATGGCGAGTGTGCTTGGTGGGGTGGATTCGCCTGAAGGGAGAGCTGTTGTTGTGAAGGGCATCCCGATGGGGAGGGTTGCGACGCCAGAGGTAAGTATATTGAATAGTGCATACCAAACGACACTTGCTAACCTCCGTAACTTTCGCTTTTAGGATGTTGCGAATGCGGCTTGTTTCTTGGCTAGTGATGAGGCGAGTTTCATTACTGGAGTGGATTTGCCGGTTGATGGTGGCAGGGCGTTGATGTAGGAGATCTTGGAGACGAGTTGCGGATGGAAATTGTGTTTTGAAAGGTACGCGTCTTTGCATCCACGAAGCCAGACAATGTTGCTGACCTAGCATAGGTCTGAGTCTACCAGCGGCAGCTTTTGTGTTACACAGCTTGAACTTGCAGTAGGGGGCTGGGCAGTAAAATGCCCGGCTCATCTTCGAACGTGTCTCCAGCCTTTCTTTGCAACACACAATCAGTCATCCCTGTGTCGCCGCTGTTGTTCTAGAGCCTTCATCTTGGCTGTGAGAGTCGCAGAAGAGTTCAACGATATCGCTTCATAGCTTCTTCAATCCGCAGCCGCCTTGACACATCTACCAGTCATTCAGCTGGCTATAAACGAGGAGCTTCAAAACAGTGCAGCCATAATTGAAGGCTTTGGACGACATTTTGCATACTGGCAGACAGCTGCCTTTTCCTCGCTATGAAAGTGCCTCAATGTTGCAGCTGGTTATCAGCATCTGGAATGGAAACGACAGTCGCAGCGTATGGTCGCTATCTTCTCTGCTGCCGTCGGAAGGGAATCGCATCAGTCCTGAATCCGACATGTCAGCAGCCTTGGGCCAACCTTGCCATGACCTAAAGGCCTCCCAGACGAGAATAATCGATACAAATCGATTGTACCAGAGCTCGCGGTGAGCAAGCCCTCGTCTACCTGCAGATATATGTGTTGAGCTTCTCTCAGATCGAATACTCCTACCGGTCACATAAGCTATACTGAATAGCACATCTCTGGACAAGCTACCCAGGGAGCACCTTGGTATCGCATACACACATCCGTCTTCACGGCACGATTCGATCACAGAGATTCCACATGTCGAGGCACAAAGCGGCGACTTCGAAAAAGCTACACCTGAGATTTGTAAATCTCGCCATTCATGCCGTTACCTACGCCACTGGCCACTCGGCTCTAAAGTCTTTGTTCCTCGCCAGGATTTTGGGAGGTATCACTGAAGCGAGCAGCTGCTGGTTGGGACGTGCAGTTACGCAGCTATCCTCGTGCGCCCAGCGGTGCGCCTATCTTCACCCTTGTCGAGCACAGTGACTTCATTCGCGAGCAGAAGATGTTCACGCTAGGCATGGCAACGTGTTTCGATCGATCGCCCCACCCCTTTAGTAGTATGCCTATGGTCTGTCCTCATCTGCTCATCGCTCGTCGTGGGATGTAGCTGACGTGAACAAGATTGCCGCTGAGAGAGACCCTGCCTTTGTTCGAAAATGTCGGATCTCATTCGACGGCCTACCCCAAAAGAGACTCGATTGGAAGACCTGAAGGTAGATCTCATCCACCTCCATCAAATCGTGCTCTACCTACTACAATTCCGGAAGTATTCGATCGACCAAGCAAACGATCAAGCACTAACTACAATAGATCGGGTGCAGAGCATCTGCTGGATTTGGCATGGAAGAACGGATGTAATTAAATTCACACTCTGAGGCAAACATTCTGCCGCGGCGCGCAGCAAATGGCAAACCGTCAAGACATCACATGGGCTCACACCTCGTCCCCAGACTGCTGAGAGCCGGAGACGATTGGGAGGCCTTGGTCGAGTTCGTTCGTTCGTAATTTCCATCAAGCAGGCGCAAACCTGCACGGCTGCCATATCGAGCGATTGCGCCAGCTCGGCAGGTCTTCAACTCCCTCGATGAATTGGATGTGTTGTGTGGAAGCCGGAAGATCAAGAATGCTTTCGCAAGCAGGTGCAGAGACCAGGATTTGGAAAGAATTCGGCTGTAGGCCCGTGGACGACAATTTAGAGCATTGACTTACGTTCCAGTATGGTTGGTTCATCAAGCAACCAACCAGCGGAAGCTTTGCAGCTCCAGGCTTGTGGCCACAGCAGGAGCTTCAATGACCTGCTGGAACCCCCGCCCCCCCCCCCCCCCCCACAAATTCTCGAGACGAAGAAGAGCAATGTTAGCAGAAGGTCGATACTTGGACTGGGAAAATCCTCACTTTTTCAACGTGCCCAATGGTCCTAGTACGATCTAGTGGCTTTGGCGAGCGATGCATTATATATATCCATAATCTTCCCCTCGACACTTTCCAATTTTTTAATTTTTTTTTTTTCAAAATTTCATCCGACCTTAACAACTCGTCGACAAATTTAGCTCCAGTACCTACACCATCCGATCCACATTGCACCATCTCTCTCATAGATCTCACCTCTGCTTCGTATCACAAAGCTCACACATAAACTCACAAAAATCTCCCTTCGTAGCCTCTTCGATGGCATCCTCCAAAGTGATTCTATACTTCTCATAATACTCCCTCTTCACCCTAGCCATGTGTGACTTATCCCAATGCACTCTGACCAACCGGGAAATCAAAAGCTCATATCTCAATTCATCGTCACGATTCTTCTCCGCGATGTCTCTGATCGCGTGTTGTAGAAGTAAAGAGTCTCGTGCTGGTTTGTTAATCACACCGTTTAGGATGTGTGCTATGACTTCGCCCTGCAAAGGGAAGAAATTGTCAGTAATGGACCAGGGAGATGAGTCGGTAGTGAGCGGATAACTTACCACTAGGTTATTACTTCGTTTCAATGCAACTCGCGCGAAATTCTCGTTAAAAGTTCGCTCGTAAGCTCGAAGCACTTCTTTCAGATGCGTGTCACTCCTCCGAATGATGATTTCGAGCATGGCACTCTCTCCGCCTTTCTCCGCCTTGACAGAGCGATACAGCGTGTCAACATCGCGATGAACGTACTCAGCAGGATACATATCCTGTTCCTCCTGCCGTCGCTCTTCCAACACCATTAGTACCGCAGTTCTAAATTTGTCCATTTTCAATTCCTTCTCCATGCACTTCTTCAGATCGTCCGAGTATCGTTTGTCTTTGAATTCGTCTTTGATCATGCGGATTTCTGCATTCGTTTTACCCATGAGTGCTTCAATCAGGAGTTCTCGTCGGCTTCCGTGGGACTGATAGAAGAAGTTGGCCCAGTAGCCTTCGCTCTCGTAGCGACCGAGCGCAGTCACATAGACAGCCTTGCCAAAGTTTCCGGAGAGCTTCATGTTGATGTGTTTGGACAGGTTCACGCCCTTCCCTTGGACCTTGACTTGCTTCTTGTATTCTTTCCGGACCTCCATGATCTGATCGTGAGACAGGCCGGGGAGAACATCACAAATGGCATCTCCGTCGGGCTTGTGATGCTTCAAGGCATCGGCAATGGCTTTTGCATCTTCTTCAGGGTCGTAGAGCTTGACACGCTTCTTATCCTTCTTCGCGAGGTCTAGCGCTAGTCTATCGTTGTTGTCGTACGTCCTCGATACCGCAGGAGACAAAGGTGGAAGATCCTGAAAGTCAAGGTCATCGTCAGGTCTGATAGCAAGTGGCATGGGGGAGATCGATTGGTATGTGCCATGGTAGGCCTCAAGCATAGGACTGGGAGGTGGCATGTTTCCACCAAGTGCGTGAATATCTGGTCGATTGCCACTGACTGAGAGTCGATCCATTCGTGGTCCCAGGCCAGGAGACCGAGGCGCCATGAGAGTAGTCGATGTGGATGTGTCAATGGCAGACAGTCTTTGCACTTTACCACCAGAGTCGTGGCGATCGAGTGGGATCCTATCCCGTGAGGCACGGCCTGGAGTGATGTCTACGACTTGTGCACCTCCGTTATATGGATCATGAGCGTCACGTTCAAACATGTTCATGGGCGCACCACTCAACGAGTCCGGCTTTGAATAAGGATCATGTGCATCTCGCCCATACATGTCCTTTTTGGAGTTACTCTGCGAATATGTCCTTGGGAGCTCACCACGATACTGGCCTGCTGGAGTGGCGGAATACTGGACCTGAGGCTGATACTGGCCATGAGGGGTGGATGAGTAGTTCACAGAAGATTGCTGGTTGGGGGACTGCGTTGGCCGGGCAGTGTAGGTCACCTTATCCGGGGCTGGAGCATATTGGTACTGTTGTGAATTCCTCTGGTCTTCTGTAGCACCAGGCGCGTACCGATAGGCAGCGTTGGAGGGATACGAAGAGCCACGGGAGGGTTCTCGACCTCCGCGTCCACGGCGTCCAGAGTCTCCAGACGAATCAGATCCATACGCCAATTCATTCTCATCGCTATGCGCCCTCGGTGGCGGTGCTGGTGGGGTCGGAGGCACATATGCTGCATTGGGATTGTAGCCAGGACGCTCATGGGGTGGAAGGTCCGCGTAAGCGCCCATGGTGAAGCCTTCATCGTCTGCCGGATATGGAACACTGGAAGCTGGAGGGGCATATTGGGAGCGTGCATTCGAAGTTGGGAAGTATGGATTCTGCGTCGAAGATGCGGTCCTCGCGTGGTAAGCTGGAGATGTAATTCCATTGCTGTATGAGCCCGGAGGACCGGAGGAAGAAGGGGCGGAAGGATAGGTGTAGGAGGTGCGCGGTGCTTCTGGGGCCTCTGGGGCCTCTGGGGCGCGTACATTATTATTGCTGCGAGACCTCGATCTTTCCCTCCCCGACGTCGATGAAGATCTTCCCCGGGCGGAACGATGGTCTGCCTTCAGAAACGACATCATTGCCGTCTACCCCGCGCTCGCTCGCTGTGAGGGGCAGCGACAACCAACACAAAACACAAGAGAGGCAGGACACGATCAGGCGCGCCACATGTATACGACGACGACGACGACGACTTCGAGGCGCTCAGCCGCAGCGGCAAGAAAACGGCAACGTGCAGTGTTGGGCGAAGAGGGTCCAATCAGAATTGTGGCGGGGCGCCTCGTCTATTTCTCCCCAGGTGCATACAGTGAAAGCAGAATACCGAGACATCTAATCCTCTTCACCGGAACATACTGTATGGTCAGGATAGTACGATCGTACGTGCCAAGGGGATAGCTTGGCAACTCATCACGCCATGCCACTGTATACATGACGGCGCTGTGCTCAAAGCCGTGAGATACATGGATCCCAAGATTGACCATCATTCCAACCACGAGCGCACCATCAGACCTGATAGCTAGAATCTGTCCTCTTCCAGCTCTCGCCCTTCAACATCTGAGCCAGTCGCGAAGACGGTGTCTTTGGTGGAGCCGTGCCACCGGCATCTCCTTCGTCAGAATGGCCACGGTCCGAAAGCTGTCGATTTGATCTCCTCGGCGTTGGCATCATCGATCCTCTGTGGGTTCGGCTTGCCGCTGGCGCTTTCGGCCTTTCTTCAGCATCCTGCTGTTCGCCTTCGCATTTTGCACCTGCCAGGTCTGCTTTCTTGCGAAAGAGTCGTCCGAGAAAGCTGAAAAGCTTCAAGAAGCTCATTGATATTGCCGTGCCTTTGCTTAGCCAGAAGTTCATGCCTCGATTTGTGTTGAGAGAGCCAATCAGGATAAAGAAAGGCACACAGATGGCAGCCATCACCACGCCAAAAAGCCAGTAGCTCTCCTGTGTTGGCATGTTGGTCATGCCAAAGACGCTCGTAACAAACTGCGATGGCAAGAAGAAGATCGACACCAATGTCAAAAGCTTGACATTGTGGCCTTGCTGCACCGTCGTCTCGGTCATCTCAACGGACTTGCGGCTCTCGTGGATGCTGGTGCCGACGTATAACTCCTCTCGCAGACCTCGAATCTCAGTGCGACGCTCTTCATTGCCCTGGATCAATGCTCGAAAGCTACGCATCTGAGCGTCGAATTTGTGTTTCAACGTAGCCAGTCGCTTCTTGTAGAATGCATTGCGAGCACTGTTTTCGTCATCTAAAGGCCAAAGCAATTTTGCCTTGCCATCAAATAGCTCTTCGGGAAAATCGTGCTCGAATGCGTCGATGATCGCCCGTATGCTTTCGTTCATGATTCCCAGCGTCTGATATCTGTGCACCACCAAAGTCAGCTGTCAGCAATCGCGCATTGAATTACATGTGAGAAATCCCAGCCTGACTTACGCCCAAAAATACCGTCTCACATATGTAAAATGCTGATCTTCAAACAGTAAATCGTCTCGTAGTTTTGCATCAAACATGAATGACGAAGGTGGAGTAACGAGCTTCGTGATGGCTCGATTAATGTCCTCGAATCTGCACTGAGCATCACGAAATTCGCCGAGCAGGGTGATCAGGAAGGCCTCTGGGCCATTGACATAGTGTTTGGTGGTGTCATGCACATCTGTCGATGACTTGAGATCGGGAAAGCACTGCAAATTGAGCAGATGCCACGATGAGAATGGATCATAAATGTTTCCGTAATCGTTCTGATTCTTGGCTCGGCGCGACGGATTTCGGACCTTGCGTACTGGATCGCTGGTCATTGCAAGAGCTATGACAGCATTGCATCTTGTGATCCGAATATGTCGAGGATTCTTGTCAATCTCTTTGTCCGACAACTGCCAATGCAAGGGGACACAATCTTCGCCGATGATGGTGAAATATTCAAATGCAAATATTTTGCTGCATTGTCGGCGAGAATCGAGCTCGAATGCGCGGTGAACATGCGATGAGGTCGAATCGGCTGTCACAAGTAGTTGAAAGATCTCGTCCATGTCGAACGTGTTGTTCAGAACATAGTGTAGGGCACCGAAGAGTATCGGAGTAAGCTCTCGCATGATCGTAATTCTCCCTACAGCTTTTCGTTGCCGCGAAGGAGGATTGATCTCTTTGATAGTGTTCCAGATCGCCATGGCTCGAGAGGTGTCATGTTCCGAGTAATCTACCGCAAGAGGTGCGCCATCAGAGGCCACATCCCAAACTTGGAAGCCGCTCAGGTGGCTACGGTCTTCGACAGGGCCGCTCTGAGTAGGTAAAAGCGAAGGTTGCTTTAGAAACTCTGCATCGTGAACAACGTCCCTTAAGATCTCTACGCCAAACTCGTTCCACGGATAGTCGATAAGATGCGACCTCAATCCTTCCATCTCATGCACTTCGCAACGAAGCTCCTGCTGCGCATAAAGTTTCTCGTCGGAAGCATTCTCATCGTCAGACTCTTCACCGGTGCCGCGTGACAAAATGCTGGGAGAGCCAGTCCAATTTCTGGGAGAGCCTCTGCCGATGCCAGTGTCATCTTGATTCGAGCGGGCTGGCGCAGCGCCAGAGTGCTGCGAATACGATACACGTCTAAATGAGTCTGAGGGAGATGCTATATTCTGTGAGAGTACGTCCTGAATCTGCTGCGCTATGTCATGGTAAGCTTCCTTTCGAGCTTCAAGGCGCCCTGAGCGATCCATAATTCAACATGAGAAGAGGAGACTCGAAGAGCGCAGGTACAATTATGAGGCACCGCATTATCTATGAAATCCAGTGACCATTGGAGTTCTTGCACACCATGATGAAGGCGGCGAATATTGAGTCGCAATACTTCTTGGGCGGCGTGCCGATCGTGCTCGCAGCTGCGCAATACATTCGTGGCTTTGGGCTGGCCGTTCCGAGCAGAGATGACCACGGCATACTTGGCATCAGACTAGATAAGTAGATGCTCATTCAGGCTTGTATCGATGTATGATTGCTGATGCTGATGCTGATGAAGTTGGTGTGGTGACATGAAGCGTGGAAGGAGAAGGTTTTCAGCACAGACCCGACCTGCTTACATCACCGTTCCAACCTTGGACGTGACTTTCACACACTATCTCCTCTCTCTCTCTTGTTCTGTCAGTGACAATGCTTCCGTATGCTTTGCGAAGATCGACAGCTCGTGGTGCCACAGCATTAGTTGCCCGAACTGCATCGACAACCACGAAGCCGCCTAGGCGTAAGAAGATTATTGACGAGACAACTATGGGTGGAGCACAGCATAAAGTCTCGCTATCTGGCCCATCATTAGGACATCTCATATCTGAGCTCAGCGCCACACGTCCTGGCATGGAAGCTATTCGAAATGGCAGAGCCATGTCCGAGGAACACCGCACCCAAGCCCGCACTGTGGTCAAGTACATCGTGGGCATTCCTGTGGTGCTCGGCACAGTCATTGTTGGATACAACTTCGCTTTGAAGCGGAAACGAGTGGAAAGATGATCGATCTCTCTGTCAAGGTTGTAAAACTGCCTTATCCGCATCCGGAATCTCTATGAAAGCGCCCGACCAAGCATCTGCACATTCTCTCCTCGGAGCTCTTCCAATCAACTTGAGCAGGTTGGGCATCCGATCTAGTCCAAGCTTGCCTTTCCGGGCACTCTCCATCGCTTGGCCGTCTTCTCCAAGACCTCCTTGATAAAAGCCTTACTACTTCTCACAGGAAGACTGGACTTCCACGAGGACGAGAAGGGACTGCTATTTTTCCGCTTCTCCCTCTCTTTTGGAGCCGCCATCCACAGCTCTAGCACCGAGTTCGCTTTCTCCACCTCAGTCGTCACTCGCGCCACAATCGCCGCCTGCATTTCAGGCGATAAGACTTCCTTCTCCCTAGCCGCTGGGAAGAGAGCATAAATGTCCTGATCAAGAACTCGGAACCACTGCGCCATAGCACAACGGCACTCCACCTTGTACGGACCAGCCTTTTCATTCTTCGACAACATTTTCGATGCTAGAGTGATTCCCTTCGGTCGCTTGCCTTGCTCACCGAGGACCTGGCTCTCGTCGGACTTCCGCTTGGCTTCTCTGAGGTGTTCCTCTCGAAATTCGTCGGTGATATCTGCAGCGGTGGGCTCTTGCGCGATCATACACAACAGGCTTGACATTCGAGCCAGAGCCATGCTGGTTGGAATGAGATCTGTAGGGCTAACTTCTTGTCTGAAGATCTTGCAGTTCATCTTGTCAGAGAGCTCCAGAGCAGCATCTTCAAGTTGATCCTGGGTTGATTTTGGTAATTGTTCGAAGAGGCTGAGGTCGGCGACTGATGTCTCAATCGTGGTGGCGCTGTCTGTGTCGATGACTGATACTGTAGGCTGAGCCTTGCTTTGATCGATAGAAGGAGCCATCATTGTCAGAGCGTTACCACGAGCGGTATGTCAGTTGCGAGCGAAAAGGTTGCGAGCGAAAAGGCAGGGCAGGCCAAGAGACGTGGCAGGAGTTCAAAAGTTGAAAATTGGCTCTTGGGTCAGGCTGAGCTTAGTCGCCTCAGCCTTCTGCCCAGCCATGGAAAGCTCATCATGAAACTTAGATTGGACCGAGTTGTCACGCAGCAACGGATGCAATGCAGAATAACGCCGCCCTGCACCTGGCTTGTGGATAGCAGCAACAATCATCACCTCTCACCAAATCCCATGCCCTGGCACGATCAAAGAACGGCCAGGTATCGCGTAACCCTATACTTCAAATCCTCCTTCCGTAAACTCTCCTGTTGGTGCTCGCTTCAGTGGCGCAGCGCTCGAAATTGAGGACTTTTTTCGACTGCAGATGAACAGGTCAGCCAGAGCGTCGTTGGTCTAAGCAGTATACTTACCTTTTCACCTCGCTAGTTCTTCTTTTCCCCTCACTCGGCCTCCTGCCGCTTCCCTCAGCTTGACTTGGTCTCCTCCCGCTACTCGGACCATCTACCTCCCTCCCTTTTCTCGAAGATGAACTCCCACTCCCCATCGTCTCTCTCTGTACAGGCTTAACCGGCACACCTGCCTCCGCATCTCGATTACTCCTCCACATGCCGCCATCCTCGAACCACTCCTCCTTCCAAATTTCGACCTTCTTCTTCACTTCTTCCAGGCACTCTTCTCCAGCTTTCCACGCTGCCTGACGGTGGGGTGACGAAACTGCGATCAGAATGCTTTCTTCTCCAATTTGCACAGGTCCAAGGCGGTGGGTGATAGCGATAGAGGTCAGGGAGTGCTTTTGGAGTAGAGTGCGAGCTATGTGAGATAAGGTCTTGAGGGCAAGAGGAGTGTAGGCACAGTAGGAAAGATGGGTTACGGGCTTTGCGTCGAACGAGTCGCGGGTAGTACCTGTTGGCGAAAGTGATTGTTCAGCTCAGCCTACCTTGGTCTATCCATGATGTCGCGTGAGGCACCTCTAGATATGTATTTCCGCCTCTCCTTGCACAACCAAAGAGGATCGACGTACCTGCAAACAAGACGACCGCTCCTGCCTTGGCACTCTTGACTCTAGCCATCTGCGCCGTTGCGTCGAGCGCATCATACGTCAAGCTCACATATGCATTTGGCTCGTCCTGTCTGCTCAGCTCGCGCGCAAAGGCAGTGGCCGACTCCCTCTCGAACAACGGCATCTCGGTCGCTTCGTCTTCGTCTGCAGTCTCGAGTGGCTTTGCGGCAGTGGAAGTGGAACTGCTGGGACCGACGGGTGACACATCTTGAGCGCCCATTCTGGTGTTCTCATTTGTGTTATTGCTGCGGTCTCTGGCAGGGCAGGCAAAGCGCTATTTTCATGCCTGCCAACGAAGCCGGGCTAAATAACCCTCGCAGGGACAGAGACAGCATCATCGCGGGGACATGGGCTTCGGGGATGCGTTGCGTTGCGTTGACTTTCTGGCTGGCTGTGCGCAGCGGATGTGGCTTGAGCGAATTAGAATACTGGGGCACTGGGCACTAGGCACTGGAGGAGCTGGAGCTTCCTCCTCAGCTGTCCGAGTCCCTTCTCCTTAGACCGCGGGGACACGCTCACACTCACGCTCACGCGCGCTTGTTCGCGTCTTGACTCCCATTCATCAACAACACCAACACGTGGTGAGTTGGGGACAAACGGCCACTGCCACCCGCGTCGCATGCACTGACAAACACAGATCTGAACGTCGACCTGCGCGCACTTCGCACATCGAGCTGCTGCTTACCTCCACCACACTCGACAAGGAGCTGCTGGCACGGGAGAGACGGACAGCGACAACGAGACATTGCATTGCTGAGGCGTATCATCAACCATTTGTAACTGCATGCGAATGCTGCATTGACATTGTGCTCGCGCTATACTGGCAAGGAGAAGGGAAGACTGTACTTATTCTACACCCCTGCTGTATCTTGGCTGTCTGCCTGCTGTACTTGGGAAGCAAAGTGTACGTATGTCTGTCATATCTGGGAGGGCGAGCGATGCAAATTTGGGCCGTTGGACCACAGACGCCATCTCTGTTGACGAACATGCTGATTCTGACTGTACCATACTCAGACCTGACCCCAGCGGACATCTTGTACATAACGCAAGAAAGCAGCCTACTTACCCAACCCCTACACTTGACCACAAGTTCTAGAGACCCATTCTGCCACAGCCATTGAGCTTCAGAGACATTTTCAGCAGCAATTCACGACACTGTAGTCACCATGTCGGGTGAAGACGATACCGAATTCGATATCGACATCTATGGCGACGAAGCGCAAGCTCAGGAGAACCGCAACCAGAACACGCAAGAGGATCATCCAGAAGACCGCATAGACTTTGGCGACGATGACTACGACAACGCACAGCACTCCTACGATGGCGCAGGCGATGACCAGCAATACCAAAACACGTCTCACACAGCTACACCTCAAGACCAACAGCCTCAAACAGGCACGAAGCGCAAAGCAGATGAATACGAGAATGACGATCACAACTCACATAAACATCAGCAGCCCCCTCAAAGTGCGCCCGCCGGTCCAGCCTCCCACTCGCGAACCTCATCCCAAGCTCCAAACTCCAGTCACGGCCCAGTCGAGCACAACGCGACGGCAGCCCTCAAACTTCACGAACTTCACTGGTGGACCAACGAAGAAGACCTGCGTCACTTTGCATCCCGCGCTGGCGTAGAAGATCAACTCAAAGACCTGGCCTTCGGGGAACACAAAATCAACGGAAAGTCTCGGGGCGAAGCATACCTCGAATTCTCCACACCAGCAGCCGCATCCACCACCAAGAAGATTGTCGAAGAACGCGAGCCTCCCAAAGAGGGCGAGACCGAAGGTCGAAGGAGGAATGTATTTCAAGTCTGGTTCTGTGCCGTGGGCAATCCGTTTAAGGGCAGAGACAGTGGAGCTGTTTCAAAGAAAGATGCCCAGGGAGCATACAATGCACCACCACAGCGAGGAGGCTTCAACCGCGGTGGCGGCTTTCAAGGGCGCGGAGGATTCCAGGGGAGAGGTGGTGGCTTCCAAGGCGGCCGAGGTGGCGGCTATCAGAACCAGAACCAGGGGGCGTGGAACATGAACAACGGCATGGGTGGTGGAATGGGGAATCCTATGATGGGCGGCATGGGAAGAGGTGGGTTTGCTGGTATGGGTGGCATGATGGGTAATATGGGTGGCATGATGGGTGGTATGGGAAACATGATGGGGAATATGATGGGAGGCGGTTTCAGAGGCAATATGATGGGCGGTGGTGGCTTTCAGGGCAGAGGCGGATTTCAAGGTGGGAGAGGGAATTTTGGGGGTGGAGGATTTCAGCAGGGCGGTGGCATGCAGCAACAGCAAGGATATGGTGGAGGAGGATATGGCCAAGGTGCTCAGGGTGGACCTGCTAAGAGGATGAGGAACGAGTAGGAGGCATCTTCAAGCAGACCGGCGAAAGTCAGGAGGAAGAGGAAGCGCATCAAACCTCGTCATGAGCAAGTCGACAGCAGTGAGAAGCTCTGCGACAGTCTGCGACGATTGAAGCTAGACGAAAATGCCATCGGCTGGGTGAAAGACCATGATCGCGCGGCGACACCCAATGGCTGTATGCATGCGGTCATGGGCGAGAATGCCGGGCTGCAGCACTTTGCGCAGTCGAACAGCTCTCCAAGTTCGTGATCCAGCTGGAGATCGGTCGCCGGCAAAGGAGCAGTTGGCATGAGGGAAATCATCGCAGCAATTGGAGAAATGCAGTCGAAAATGTACTTTACTCACCACCTGCAAAGATCATGTAGCATCTTCGAACCAGGAGCATTATCAAGACTGGAGCTCACGCATTCACTGACCTCCATTCTCGCGTAGTCCTAGGTCAAACAACGGGAGCTGGTTGAGCGAGAAGTTAGAATCACTGACGACCGAGACATTTGGGTCGTCATGGTGCAGCGCATCGTCGTCAGCATAGCATTGGCGTCGTACAGCGCAGCATCCGCTTTCAAGCATGTGTGAACAGTGTGAAGTCCGGTTGACTTTCAAGATGCCGAATGCCGGCAGCCGAAGCATGATCTTCTGTGGGCGCACGCACGTGAGACGACGGGAGGTGCAGAAGGATGCACATGCACTTGTTACAGTATTAGACTTCAATCTCCGCCCGCCGCGGCGCCGTGACCCTGACTAGCGTAGTGGTATGGTATTCCTGGTGAGGCAGTTCATCATCAGCCATCCCGGACGTCTCCTCATCAGAGCGATCTCAGACACCTCATTCGCTCGAAGCCTCCCGGCGCAGCAAGATCGAGCGCACAGAAAGTAAGATGGCGAAGTTCCATGTAAGGGCGCGCATTTTATTATTCTTCCCTTGAATCTGCCGCGAATGCGATGCTACGCCACGCCACGCTGCGACCAAACACCCGGGCTGTTCTTGTATTGCTGTTTCCTCGTATGACGCCGCAAGCGTAGTATAACAGAACAGTCCCTTACCCATCTGACCGCGCGGATCGCCCTGCGCGCACCCCTTTTGCCTGCTCAGTGCTCGCCGTCCCTTGCCAGTGAAAAGGACTGGACGATTGATTGTGGCCGGGGCGCTTACGGGCAGGTTGTGCAATGAGAACTGCTGGCTGCACGCCTAACCCTTGAAACGTTAGAACTATGGCGGCAGGGTTGACATCGGCAGACTACCTGCAGGACGGCGTTGACTGGGCAAAACCACATCGCGTACCACCTCCACCCCCTCAGACATCACCGCCGCGAGCTGCCGTTCCCTACCCCAACGCCAACACCACTGGCGGCTTCTTCGGGCGCGCCTTGGGAGCTGTCAGCCTCGAGAGCCTGAAGGGCGCGGGACGTTCACGCGCCTGCTCTGAAACGCATCCCGCTTCGCGAGCTGGTCCTGCCACGCGAGAGGAGGTCAACGGCGGCATCGCCACGAGACAAAGTGAAGACGGCAGACCCCCATCGTCGCAGAGAGCGCGGCGCGGGAGCTTCAGCTTTCTGCGGAGGACTCGAACCGACGAGCAGCACAACAGCTTGAAAGCCACCATCACCTCACCTGCACCGGCCGCATACTATACGGATGCCACGCCCTTGCCCTTGCCGTCATCCCCGCAACAGCGCAACTACCCATCCTTGATTGCACAGGCGACCGAGAGACAGAGCGAAGACAGGAAAGAGAGAGCGATGTTGCGCAAGAGCTCCCGCATCAAAAAGGAGGAGGCCGAAAGGGCCAAGGCTGCCGCTGCCGCTGCCGCTGCTGTTCCCAAAGAACCGCCGCAAATCAACCCATTGACCTCACTCAACCACATCGCATCCTTTGGCGTGGACGAGTCGAGGCCCGACAGCGTCGCCATCTTCAACCACGCCTACACAACCGCCGCAACCTCTGGCTCTCCGCCATCGCAACCTCGCTCGTTCGGCACCAACTTTTCCAGACCAGGCCACATGGCGCCCTCGTCCAACTTCGCCAACAGCTCCTCGCCAGCCTACACTTCTCGATATGGCCCTCCAGCCTCTTCGTCTCCGCCCGAGCACAAGTCGAGGCTCAATGGTGGCGGCGGTAGCGGAGAGTACGTAGCTTTACATGATCCCCACATCACTGCCCGCGCCGACAGCAGCATGACCAACCGCGGTCGCTTCTCGTATGCTTCCACTAGCACAACGAACGTTAACACCGTCAATAGTCCTCGTAGAGTGCGGAGGCGCAAGGACCCCACTCCGTTCAAGTGAGTATCATCGATTCATGCCGCCTTCTTTTCACACACTGATGTGTCGATAGCATTCTGGTCATCGGCGCCAAGAACAGCGGCAAGACCTCCTTCATCTCGTTTCTGAAGCATTCGCTGGCACTTCCCGCACACAAGCAGCCGTCAACTCACTCACCATCTTCCGAGGCGGCCGGCAATCACTCGCCTTTCGCTTCCACCTATCTTGAGACCGAGATCGAGTCTGAGCGCATTGGGGTCACTCTGTGGGATTCTGCTGGTCTCGAGAAGAATGTCGTCGATCTGCAGCTTCGGGAGATGACCGCGTTTGTGGAGTCCAAGTTCGAGGAGACTTTCGCTGAAGAGCAGAAGGTGATGCGCACACCTGGAGCGAAGGATACTCATATCCATTGCGTCTTCCTCATTCTGGATCCTGTCCGCCTCGACTCTACCATCGCCGAGTCGACAGCACAGCAGAGGAAGGGACTGCAGACTGGCTCCCTTGATGACGATCTCGATCTCCAGGTCATGCGGGCCCTCTGGGGCAAAACCACCGTCATTCCCATCATCTCGAAAGCCGACACTCTCACCGTGGGCCATATGTCATTCCTCAAGCGTCGCGTTTGGGAGTCCCTGAAAGGTGCCAGACTGGATCCGCTAGAAGCACTCGAGCTGGAAGAAGATCTTGAGGAGGAAGACGAAGAGGACATTGATGTTGACTCTGCCGAAGACTCCGACTCTTCCTTACCACTCCCGAAAAGTCGCAAGAGCCACAAGCGCCAATCGTCCCTTTCGGCGATCGCTGGCGTTCTCGACGATGATGAAACGCCCTACATCCCAATGTCGATCATTTCGCCTGATCCATACGATCTTCCACCATATTTGTCGAAAGCTCGAGCACAAGACCGCGTGGGTCGTCGATTCCCTTGGGGCTTCGCAGACCCGTACGATGCTAATCATTGCGACTTTGGCCGGCTTAAAGATTCCATATTCAGCGAGTGGCGTACTGATCTGAGGGAGCTCAGTCGTTCTCGCTGGTATGAGAATTGGCGCACTAGCCGTCTCAAGAACTTTCCAGGATCGAGACAGCGAGTGAAGGGTGGTGTGACGCCTGTCGCGGCTGTCCCTAAGGAGGGCAGAATTGCATCACAGACGTCGCAAAACTACTCGCATCCCCAGACTGCGAATATGGCAGTGCCGAGAAGTGTCAGTAATCTCAGCAGCTCTGCGGCCGGCGTCGGCATGTCGACTCCAACTCCTGCAGCCACCAACGGCGGTCGCAGAGTGGCGTCGGGCGCCAGCGAAGGCGGAAGTGTGAGAAATGCCACAATGACCAGTAACACTTCAAAACGCTTCCCATCCTAGGAGGTTTTGGACACCTTTCGTCGAGCATCGATTAGCTCAGCATCGGCTCACGCAACACCAGCGCAGCGCCGTGGAGTCACTCCACGAACTAGATGCATGTCAAGCTGAGCTAAAGAGAGAGAGAGAGAGCATCACTAGAAAAACCAGGAAGCAAGAAAGCAGGCTTATCTCGAGATTAATGAGGATCGAGACGAAAGCCAAGCAAGGAGAGGACGGTGCTGGAATGCGCATTGCACTTTGGCTGGAAGGATGCGACTACTGAAAAAACTGGATGGAGCTCTGTTTTTCTGTTTCTTGCTCTGTGAGCGTTGCATGATGAGTGCGGTTGTTTTGTTTTGTACCTTTTTTTTTGTTTGTTTGTATTTGTGTTGTAGATATACCCCCTTTTCGATCGATGTCTGAGAGAATGTGATAACTTTGCACCTTAGAGGGAGCTTTTTCAAGTTTCATGAATTCGGGTGTCGATCATGTTGGGAGACGGAGACAGAGAGGGCTAGGATTGACGTGAGAGGCGTCGGTTGACACTTACATGGACATTTGGTTTTTCATGTGGATGCTGACCATACAGTAGTGCCCAAAGCCTCCGCGCAGCCCGCCTCTTTGTCTATGATATTGGTAGTTAAGGAAGCTTTCCACTTCTCAGCATACCAGTATATAGTCATCTTGCACTTGACCTCGGAGAGAACTTCAACCGCTGACCAACACTGGAGTGTCCCTTTAACAATGCTTCGATGTTCTGTGATGCTTGAGAGGTGGAGGTGAGACCAGGAGATATTCATACCTATATCTAGCCTAGCCTCTCCTTCGATCGTTGGCTAGGGCTCTTTGTGTCTACATACCCGACGCCTTAGCTATCTCATCGTAAATTTCTCGACATATCTGCATCGCCGCTTCGTTCATGGTGATTGCCTTCAGACACCTGGCAGGGCTTGCTACCGAACCAGCTTCGATCCTCGCCAGGGCGCAAGGGGGTATGAGAAACTGCACGTTGATTGCCTTTGTACATCTATACATATCTTGTGCTTGTGCTGCACATCTCAATGCGCCTCGCTATGCATGATTGAAGCGCTACCTTTCGCAGCCCTATCCCGTGTACGCCGTACCGATTGCCTAGACTGTATCTACGCAATCTTCATGTCCCCGAACTTCTCTACATCTGCGCTCAGCAGCGTATTTCTCTTTGCTCTCTTCTTCAGCACGTTCTCGATGAATGCCTCTCCTGCCTTGTAACTGCTTCGCACCAGAGGCCCAGAAGCAACGTACAAGAAGCCTAGATCCAATGCTCTCTGCCGCCATAGTTCGAACGTGTCCGGCGTCACGTACTCATGCACCTTCATATGGCGCTTCGTGGGTCGCATGTATTGTCCAAAGGTCACCACATCCACTTCTGCTTCTCTGAGTGCTTTAAGCGTCCGCCAAAGCTGGTCTTCCGTCTCGCCGAGACCAAGCATGATCGAAGTCTTTGTGATCAGATTCGGCTTGGCTTCTTTCGCAGCCTTGAGCACTGCCAGCGATTGTCTGAATTTCGCCCTTCGATCTCGAACCATTGGTGTCAGCTCTTCTGTTGTCTCAACGTTGTGCGCGTAAACGTCAAGCCCGCTTTGCGCAACGAGCTTGACCATGTCCAGATCTCCCGCGTAATCCCCCGTCAATGCCTCCACAAGGATATGCGACGCCTTTTGCTTAATCTTAATGATGGTTTCTGCAAAGTGTCGCGCGCCCCCATCAGCAAGATCGTCTCGATCTACGGATGTAAGGACTACATATCCCAGACCCCACCTCTTCAATGCCTCCGCAGTATTCTCCGGCTCGTGAGGGTCGAGTGGCGGCGGTTTATTGCTTGTCTTCACTGAACAGAATCTACAGCCTCGCGTGCATGTATCGCCCATAAGCATGATTGTGGCAGTCGCAGCAGATTTGTTGCTTCCACCCCAGCAATCGCTAATGTTCGGACATCGTGCCTCTTCGCATACCGTGTGCAAGTTCAGTCCTCGCAGATCGTTCTTTATCCGCTTGTAGTTATCATTGGCCGGAATCGGGGTCTTCAACCATTCTGGAAGCCTGGTGTGTGTTCGTTTCCGGCCTGCAGGGCCAACCTCTACTGTGCGGAGTTCATACAGATCCTCCTTGGCCATAGGCTCTTCTGGCTTGCCGCCCACAAAGTCGCCAAATGAGGGACCGGCATTGAGGCGATCGGTGAATGATGTTGCTGTCCGAGGGGTAGTATCCGTGGTTTGAGGCGGCGGTGGTTCAGATACTGTTGTGGCAAAGGCTCGTTTCTGTGGTACGAGCAGCGATTGTTGTAGCAGACGGCGAGCTGGAGCGCGTATGGAAGCCATGGCGGTGTCGCTCCAGTAGAGAGGTGTGTGACAACGAGGTGTCGAGGGGTGTGGCGTGAATTGAAGGTGGGTGGCTATGCCGCCTTTGTGAGAGATTCTTAGTCAAGTCAATATGCAGGGTTGATCGCGAATCCCGATTTTCGGTCCGACGATCTTCTTTGGGCAATTCCTGTGAGCTTCTACATTTGCGTTCGACATGTATAGCTGACAGCGCGAATGTCGTCTTGGTGGGACAAGTACCTGGCGCCAGGTGACATTCGTCAATATCATCAACCATCTAGCAAGCATGCGCCGATAGAACAACCAGTCCATGCATCGCCAGACCCGTCGCAACGAAACACTCCCGTAAAGCGAGTCGACGCCGCAACCCGAGCACGAAGACAAAATGGATTATTATTAGGTGGAGTCGCGTTCACATGTCTATCAGCATTCGTCACGAGGAGAGCGCTGGCGAAGAAGCATCTTGCGGCATATCCCAAATTTGTCAAGGCAGTGCCAGGCCAGGGACAGAAGATGGATGTCCCAACGTTTGCACCGTCAAATACGCAGCCCAAGGCTGAAGGCGGTCTCGATGCAGCGGAGGCGCTGTTTCTTGCTACCTTGAACGTCGCATCAGTCTTCATGCTGGGAACTGGAGCGTTCATGAAGTACAACGACATTGCGGATGTGGAAGACATGAGAAATTGGGTCAGAGAGGGTGTCGGGTACGATGTGTACGCAGGCGACTCAGAAGCAGATAAAGAGATTGAAACTTGGATGGCTGATGTGTTGAGCCGTAAAGATGGTGTAGGAGATCTGAAGACCTCCATCGTTGAGAAGATGGCAGAGCTGGCAGAGCTTGGCAAGAAGAAGTCGGTCAGTCAGGAGCTTGCAGAGCTTGAGAAAAAGAAGAAAGCATTGGAGGCGCGCGAAAGGGCTTGATGATGCTCAACCAAGATCTTTTCGCTCTTCGATTTCGCTGGAAGGTCGGCGGTGGAAGGTTTATGGGAAACAGCGTCTTATGAGCGCCATGAATCCCTCGCACATCATCCTGTGGCCTCCCCAGATTTGTGGCGAAGTATACGAAATGCCTTCCATACCACCGACGCGACGTGTCCGTTGCGTTGGAGTCCTGGGAGCCAGGCTTGAGCAACTTCTCGCTGCTTTCAGCTCAAGGCGCATGAGGAGTGTCCTCTCTCTTCTGTGAATAGCAGCTCCGCTATGTGATAGAGGCACAGCTAGTGCATGGGTGATAGACGGCACAATTCTGGACCCACGCTGAGCCCAGGACCAACGAACAATGTTATTGTTCGAGGCAATGTGATCCATTCGCGATCAAGTCATGGAAAGGTCTCCTGGGAGTACAGAAATGGTGAGAGGTAACGATCAATTTGTAACAAATCTGTAGTATAACTGTGGCCACCATGCCCTGCACAAATTGCCATTTCTGTCATTCCTGGCATGCCATGCCACGTTTGGCAGGACCCACGTCGGCCTAATGGTCGAAGTCTGGAGAATACCTTCATGTTTTGGCAGATCTGGCGTGACGAGAGGCTGAACTACTAGACGCCGCGTCTAGCCATTCCCATTAATCTTTCCGGGAAGCTATCACAAAGACAGCTTCGAATCAGGATGTTGTGATGTGTTGGTTGGACGAGAAGTAGAGCAGGGAAAAGCCGAAGACGTCTCGGCCTCTCCACAACGAGTGCTGTGACGGCGCTGGTTGGTTTGGCATTGTGCATCAGCAGCCCCGTCCGTCAGTGCTCTCGCCTGAGAGGGTGGAGTATGGCAGAACTTCACCGCATACCGGAAACTGCGCTCGTCATTCCAGCCCTCACTCTTGCATTTTCTGCTCAGAGCACTGTACGACGGTGAAGGCCGATTGTTCGTGTTTGTGCTGCGAAGGCACCATTCACAACTCACAATCATTCAAATTCAAATCGTTCTCGAGAGTTCGGGAAGAACGGGCCGTGGCTCGCGCTCTCAACGAGTCCAATCGCTCGCAAGCCCGCCGGCGTCGTCCAGCACCAGAGCACCAGCACCCGCATCCGCACCAGAACCCTTGCGACACAAGCAACATCCGAGAAACCAACACCCAGCAACCTGGATATAAACAGAGCATCAGACGTTGCCCAAGCTTGGTAGAGCCTGGTTTGCTGCCGAGGCCAGTGACTGCGCACTAGCTGGACCACAACGAACAATCTCCGAGCATTTGCATCTGCGGAGCTTGACCCGCGCGAGCGAGCGATCGCCTGGCCCACGGGACGCTTGACGTTGGACATCAGGAGCTACGGAAGACAATCCACAGCACGCACGAAACGAGGCTGCTCCGCTGACGCTGATTGACACGCCTGCCGTGCGACGCGTGCTACAGAACTGCAAAGAAGGAGCGCGGATTCTGTGAAGGGAGCCGCGGTGTTGCATTCATGGCAGCTCCGGCGACGCAGTCATTGAAGGTGGGTTAGAACTATGGAAACATCGCGATTATGCAGGATACAACGCTGATGCCGGATACAGTGCGTGGTGACGGGCGACGGTGCAGTCGGAAAGGTACTATCTGGGCTCCACGATCACACAACAGGAGCTCTCCGGCTGACGTATGCCAGACATGTCTGCTGATATCCTACACTACGAATGCCTTCCCAGGCGAGTACATACCCACAGTGTATGCCGAACACGAAGCAGAAATTGAAGCGAACCTCATGCTAAAACATGCACAGTTTCGACAACTACTCAGCGAGCGTGATGGTCGATAACAAGCCGATAAGTCTAGGGCTTTGGGATACTGCAGGTCAAGAGGACTACGACCGACTGAGACCGCTCTCATACCCACAGACAGACGTATTTCTGATCTGCTTCTCCATCGTCAGCCCCTCATCATTTGACAACGTCAAGGCAAAGGTGCGCTCACCCTGGGACATGATTCACGACATGCTTGGCTGACGATCGATCTGCAGTGGTACCCTGAAATCGAGCACCACGCACCTGGGGTCCCAATCATCCTTGTAGGCACAAAACTCGACCTAAGAGACGACCCCGAAGTGCGAGAGCAGCTGCGACAAAGGAAGATGGCGCCGATTCAGTACGAGCAGGCTGTGCAGGTCGCCAAGGACATCAAGGCAGTGAAATACTTAGAATGCTCCGCATTGACGCAGAGGAATTTGAAGAGTGTATTTGATGAGGCAATTAAGTATGAAGCGATCAGACAAGCGCTATCAAGACACGTTGTGGCTAACATGTCGCGCAGAGCCGTCATCAGCCCAAAACCACCAGCAAAGATCAAGAGGTCGAAGTGCAGGATCTTATGAGCACCACCCGCGAATAGCAGCATTCTGCAGATCGACAAGCTATACACACACCTCCCCGATAAGCACTTCGACAGTCTCCCGCCTCCTTCTGAACTATCCTTGACACGAAACGCACGAAATCGAAGCCCACAACAATCACGACCAACGAGCAGCGAAGCACAGCTGATAGCAGTAAAGGTACTCCATAGAGCATGGCATGATCGCGAGATTCTTCTCGATCCTTGTGCCACCACCACAATACGGCGTTTTCTATAATGGGCAGGCGTTCAATTGTTCATGCAGGTTCTCTAGGCTCTTGTCTACCGTCTCTCTTTTCAGCAGGCTGAGCAGCATTGTTTTGATACCACTTGGAGCTTCGCTGGAGTTCTGCAGAGGGGTATAAATCTTTAAGATGCGAGATCATGCTCTGGAGATCTCTTGTTACGAGTCTGGGAGCCTGCAATGAGGAACGCTGACCGTCTTGCTAGGGTTGTCTACAAATGGTTGTTTGTAGATATGCGAATTTTGTTCCTGATCTAGTCGTGACATCACTGTGCCATCTCCCTTTCCCATTTTATCATGTCAGTCAGCGTAATGATTGTATGGGAGTAAACTTCGGCACCGCCTCATCAAACAGCCAATCAAAGTTCAGCTTACGGCCCACGAGCTCCGAGATGCCGACGCGAAAGAGCAGCTTCTAGTACACTCTTTGCTTCATTCTTCCTGCTAACGACACCACAAGTCATCAACCAGACTCCTGAACGAGACACAGACACAACAGAATCTACATCAAAATGCCTCGTCAATCCCGTGGTCCAGCCCCGGCACCAAAGCGTCCAGTCGCCGCTCCAGCGCGACCTGCTCCTCCGCAACAGCAGCGCCCAGTACGTTCTTCATAAGAAACATCTGACCAGAACGCAAGCATCATACTAACGCCCGAATTTCAGGCCTCAACATCCGCATACCCACCTCAACAACAAAATGCCGCACCACCACCAGCCGCGCAACCACAAGCCTCTGGCGGCTCAGGACTTTTCGGCCAAATGGCATCCACGGCAGCCGGTGTAGCAGTCGGCTCTTCCATCGGCCACGCAGTTGGCGGGTGGTTTAGCGGTGGAAGCTCAACACCAGCTGCTCCAGCCGATGCTACACCAGCTCAGCAGGAACAGTACGTGCAAGCTCAGGGTGCTGTGCAAAACGCCCCAAGAGTTTGCGCGACTGAGGTCGAGGGATTCAAGAGGTGTATGGATGATAACCAGGGCAACCTCACGATTTGCGGCTGGTATTTGGATCAGTTGAAGGCTTGTCAGGCCGCGAGCAGTCAGTACTAGAAAGAAGTGATGGGAGGGGAGATGATGGTGGCCACGCTGGTGGCGCTGTAAATATATCTGATCACCCCCTTTACGATGCATTGCATTGCGGCTTGATAAGAATAAAAAGATGCATGGGAGGCAAGGAAGATGCTATTAGATGAGATAGAATCGCTGTATGGAATCGGACGTCTCTCCTCTAGCCCTCCACAATGTTGGCATCTATCTGGTTGCCTTGCGCAGACGTTTTGCCCGTCATGTCCGGACCCGGAACCGAGTAGGCATCCTGATCCTGATGGTTCGCGTCACGACGCTTTGATTACCGCCAGCATTGGTGTTGACAGTACTGAAGTTGGAATTGAAGCCGTGAGCTGGGTCCATGGCTAAAGCAAGCAGAATCTCTCGTACAGAGCATTCGCCTTGCCTTGCCTTGCCACTAATATTCTCAATTTTGATTCCTCCAACACGTAGCCATCCAACACATATCGCTCGCATTCTGATTACTTCTTGTATTTTATGGTCTCGCTTGCTGAATTGTGCCATTGCCATTGATTTGTGTGCCGTCGGAGTTGACGATGAAGGATTGTCTGCTGTTGAACGGGGAGGAGGAGGACATGTTGTGTGTGTGTGTGTGTGTGTGTGTGTGTGTGTGTGTGTGTGTGTGTGTGTGTGTGTGTGTGTGTGTGTGTGTGGGAGAAAAGCTGGCGTACTCTGCGAATGAATAGGCTGGATCTGTGGTGTTGTAAGGTTTGCTATAGGTTTCTTGAAAGGCTGTGGTGACTGAGTTTGGAGGTGCTAAGTTCTTCTGTGGATTATATATGTGATGTGAAGCCGCGGATGGCAGTCACTATGGCGTCGAGCCTCGTCTTTTCGATGATCGGAGTGTTAGACTCGAGCGTTTCGTGTTGGCATGAACCGCTTGGCTCTTCTCTGTTGAGTCTACTGCTCGAGGCAATTGATGTCTCGGAGTGACAATGCTCGTGTCTCTGATCAGAGTCAAACAGTGCCGCATAGCGTGTGAGGTTCTGGGTCATCTTCACCAGACGGCACAAACATCCCTCCAATAAGCCGTAGACGGTGAGAAAGGGCAGAGAGAGAATGGTTCTCAGTGATCTCACTGACATTATGCATTACCCATATCGATATCACCTTCCATGCGACGCGTACGCCGGCATCTTCTTATCTATCCTAATGTCTTTCTTCTTCAACGACATCTCGATGTCTCGCTCTTCATCACTCGTGCTGCGAGCTGCTCGATGCTCTTGGTATGTATGCAGCGCATCGTGGTCTCGCAAACTCGTGGACTATGCGAGGAAAGCGCCTGCCCATGTCGAAAAGGAAATCCAAATCCCTGGCCACGTATCTTACAATGCTTTTTCGTACAAATACATCCACACAATTCGTTTCGCATCGATCAGTTACCCGCCTCCATTTCTCGGACTCTAGCCAAGACGGAGGAGTTCTTGCCTTCGTGAGTCGATGACTTCTCGACGTCCAAAGATTTTCGTGTCGGCGAAGGACTTCTTGGTACACGCAGAGAAGGTGCCTGAAGTAAGTTTCGGGGAGTGGCTTCCTTCGCCGGCGCAGGTTCTGCACTTGTTGTGCTGTTCGGATCTGTAACAGCTGGCTTTTCTTCTTTCTCTTCTGGATCCGCTGCCGGAGTGACAGGCAGATCTCTGTGCTCGCTGGCATCCTCAAAAGGCGTTGAAGGCTCAACATCTTCAGCGCCATTGCCGGCTTGTGTATCGAGTTCAGTCTGAAGCTGTTCTGACGGCTCCTTCTCGTCACCAGAAGCATCTTCTGACTTGTGTTGCTGCAAGCTGGGCATAGCTTGGGACGCAGCACCAGTCGACATGCCAAGAATGGCAGTTGCAATGCTTCCTGGCCTTTCTCGAACCTCGAGCTGCTGTAAAGGCTCCTCGGCCTCTTCATCGGACCTCTGCACGTCCTTCGCTCGACCTTCGGGAATGCTGTCGAGGCTCTGCCGACGGCTCTTGAGACCTGCAGCCGAGCTCGGGGTCTGAGGAGCAGTCTTCTGAGAAGATTGATGGATGCATGGAATTACGCCTCCACCAACCCTCGACCAGAACATTTTCTCACGTAGTCTGACGCTCTCTTCCCAAGCAGACTTTTGGTCCTCTTCGGATTCACACTTCCAATGTCCATCTTTGACCATTCGTAAGAAGCCTACGAAATCGCAGCTCGCCCGCAGCCTAGACACACAAAAGTCGCAGATTGGCTTGGAGACATTGTCCTCCTCCGAGGTCCTGAATCGGTACTTTCGTACGTACGGCTCGCTCCTTCTGCTCTCGCCACAAAGCGTGCAAGCAAAGTAGTGCTTGTTCTGCGGGTAAGGCTCGACAGCTAGAGTGCCTTGCAGAAGTGCGCCGAGCACAGTCCTCCTGCTCAGGAAGGATAGTCCAGGTGCCAGGTCTAACCTCAGAGTCGGCTCAATATCCTCGGTGAGCACACGCTTATAGAATTTGCTATCCTTGAGAGGAGGAATGTTCGAAGCGCTGTTATATGCTGATGTCGGGCTTGAAGTCGCAAAGGAGAAGGAGCCAGGCAAATTCGGTGACGGTGAAGACATGTTAGTGTTTGGCTGTGCATTGTACGCAACCTGACTGGCTTGGCTGCTGTTGCTCCTGGAATGCACTCCAAGTCGCCTGGCAAGCAACAAGAGGTCCTGGAAGTCGTTGAAAGCAGCAATGTCACTTCTCAGCACTGGCGATATCAGGTGTGAGAAGTGAAGTGGATGCTCCGGGAACTGTTCCAGGTCTGCGCCATTTGGAGAAGCTTGCAAAGCATCGAACATGGTGTGGTTGGTGGTGATCGGCGTTGATGGTATGCTCGGGTCATTTGGTCGTATGGATGGTGACTGCTCTTGAAGCTTTTCCATCGTGCCTTTGAGATCCTGCAATTGCTCCTGCTGTGAAGACATGAGCATCTCGGTGTCTTGCAACTGTGCCTTCAGCTGGGCATTTCTCTTCTCCACAGCTTCGGTGTCCCTCCGCGCTGCCGCCACCATACTGTTCGCCTCCTCAAAAAGTGCGCTGGTCAAATTCTCCAGCTCACCTTCAACCTGCTTCTTAGCCTTCTCCGCTGCTTCCCGGGCCGATTTCTCTCTGGACAGCTCTGCCCTGAGTCTGGCGATGGTCTTATCAACATCAGCCTTTTTCACAAGCACGCCGCCCGTCACCATCTCGTCCATGCGTTGCTTCTCCGCCGTGAGAGTCGCAATTTCCTGCCGCGCCTGCTCCAACTCATGTCGCGTCTGCTGCAGCGAGTCGTCCAAGTTTGTCTGGTAATTTATGGCATTCACGAGCTTCGTGCTGAGCAAGGCCACTTCCGCGCTCAAATCCGGCTTGTAATTCGGATCGCCATTGCTCTCGTTGGACATGATCTTCGGCGCAGGCGAAGGCGTGCGCGTGTCCATGACATGGTCGTCGCGCATAGCTGGGATGGGCGGGGGCGGCGAAGCGACAGCTGCCATGCCTCTATTAATGTTCGGTGAGGAGGTCGACTTGTACAGTCTCGGGAGGCCGAAGCGTGACTTCTGCTGCGTCGCGGGCTGTGGCGTGACGCTCCGTGTCAACTGAGCCGCTCTCGTGGTCGTACTGTTGGGGGCTAGCTGTCCATGGTCGGCATGGCTCGCGAAGCCGGACGTGAGCAGAAAGCTGAGAGACTATTAGAATGGCCGTCTGCTTGCCTGCGCATCGTGGAAAGGGGAATTCCGCTTACTCCGCCAGCTTGTCGGGTGGGCGTGTTGTCGTAAGTTATTAACGTTGGTGGTAGCCGCCCTACCTAGACTGTTCGACTGCGCCGTTTGTCGTGTGACCAGGGGTTGCACGGACGCTGGCTGGGCTGGCATAAAGGATATTGTCCGATTGTTGCACGCCCAGCCTCGTCCCATACAGTTCGGTATAACACTATCTCTCGATGGCCTAGAGGCAGTAGTAGCGAAATTGGCTGAGCTGTGGCGTTGGACGGTTTGGAGAGACGCGAGGGCGTTGGTAGAGCGTCTGATTTTACACTTTGGAGGCGACGCCCGCCCCCAGTCCCAAGGTTCCCTCTGCCGAGCCGCTCAGCCTCGACGTCAGCCAGCGACCATTGCCATTGCCTCTTGTTTTCTCGGGCATGAACCTGGGTGTAACACGAACTGCATGCCGATGCTTCTTTTCTGCTTCCCATTACCAACGAGCATGATCCAGGAGGTGCGCTATAAAGAGAAGCACATCATGCCAGTATTCGCCTTGTATGTTGCAACAATGTCGCCACGAACGTATCCCTACCAAACACTGAAAAGGTGGTCCACTTAGAATAGCAGCAAAGACGTAACGCCGATGTAACGGACACGGCGGCTGTCGCAATCAATCGCGATCAATCTCTGGCAAAGAGATCGAGCACCGGAAAGATGAGCCAATAGCCTTATATCGCTAATCTAGGCAAAGAAAAGCCAGGAGCCTCATATTGCTAATCAGGAAGAGGTAGATCAGTATACGGCTTGAGTCAAGCGTGAACGACTTTCACCATGTTGTTGTTGTTAGGCAGAGAATGGAGATGTGGCACATGCTGCAATGCCAGATACGTTGTCTCGGGCAAGAAAATAACTCTATCTCTTCAAGCGATCAACGTTGATCCTCCGTTTAATTCTCCTGTGCCCATGGTCATGCCCATTGCCAGCGGCCTTCTCTCTCTTCTCAATACCATACTTCCTCACCAGATCATAAAGCGGTTGAGGGTCTCGACATGTCCGACGATCATAGACTCCTTCGGCAATATCACCCTTCAGATTCCCATAGATATCTCTCGCCAGCTCAAAAGTATCATCGGCCTGGCAAAGGATTGACATGCGCAGATAATGGAGACAATGTGGCCAATGCGGATCATCATGAGCATCCTTGCCAATGTTTTCGCCTGCGGATGCTCTTTGCAACGCCTTCCGAATGCCAGCGAGACAGTGTAGTGAATGAAACATTCCGATACTGCCTTCGTCGTGCTTTTGGTCGAGGCTATAGCCGGAAGCATTGAAGGGCGGGAAAGCAATATTTCCATGGTCTTCGGCGAGTTCGATCTCCCACAAGTAATCCCATTTGTGGTCTATTGACATGTAATTCTCATCGTGTCCGAAAATGGGATGTTGGTTCAATGGACCTGATGATACGCGGCGGTCTGTGCCAGTATCGGAAGATGAGACCTTGCCGCCGAACATGGAATACACGTTGAGGCCGAGTAATAGAATCAGGATGAACTCGACAGTGTATCGAATGATTTGTAAAGATCGCCTTCGCTGGCTCGTCGTCTCTGGGAAGTTTTGAAGGATTCGGTGCACTAGGGCGTCTTCCTCGTGGTCTGCATAACTCCCGCTGGGGCTAGTCAATGGTTTGTACTCGTCGTTTGCCATGGCAGGAGGTATTCGCCAGGTAAGTGGCGCTGCGCATGGTGGTTCTTAGCATTTCTTGCGGATTAGCTGTGCAAGATGGCAAGCGATGCCGCGATTGAACAAAGGAGTCCGTTTCCTAGAATTGGGGGTCAATAGGCATGAATTACGACAGATGACACTGGTGTCTTGCAGGTTTATTAGCAAGACATACATGATGCTGTGTCGCGGAGCCCTAGGCATTCGTAATGCGGCGTCATGGTCTGTCGATGAAGGTGGGAATAGCGTCGCGGCGCGGTTTGATCGAGGGTGAAAATACCTCACGCTGTGACGTCTGGCACAGATTTATTAATATCTGCGGTTATGAGTGTGCGGTCGGGCGTCCGCGCGGCCCCGACGACTACCTAGTACGCAACAGGAACGAAATCAAGGCAAGGACAATAATCGCAAGTCGAACACTCGTTTCTTCACAAAGGATGGATGGCTTGGCTTGATGACGAGCACGATGGCGTTATCTTCGCACGACTGACGACAGAATGCCGCCAGGATTCTGGCTGATTTGAAAAGATGCAATCAGCGACAAACAAACACCATCCCGTTGACCATCAAAACCCGCTCATTCTGCGGCAGACGCTAAAGCGCAGGCTATTACTGATACCTGGCCGTGGGCCTTGGCAGGGCATACTGTCGATCAGGTTCGATTCCTCAAAAGCGCTTGCCGTGACTCTGTGCGAGCTAGCACCACCTTCACTTCCAATTCCAACTTCAAAGCCTACGTTTAACCGCCGCTCAAATCACGTTGGCCAACGAACTACTTCCTGACGGAGCCGAAGGCCGTACGCACGTTCAGCCTTGGAATTACTAGCGCTGTCAAAGTCTATATAATACGACATGGCAAACCCACCACACGGTAAGGAAGCGCACACCTCGTTCTTCCACATCCAAGTTGCTGCATATGCTGACACTGCGGCCTCAGGCGGCGTCCTCAAGGACCTGATTTCCCGCGATGCCCCTCGCCGAGCCCAGCTTTTTGCTGAGGCCGAAACCCTCCCAGCCATCGTTCTCCGAGACCGCCAGCTCTGTGATTTAGAATTGATCCTCAATGGAGGCTTCTCACCTCTTGAGGGTTTCATGAACGAGAAGGACTACAATGGCGTTGTGGAGAACAACCGTCTTGCTGACGGCAACCTCTTCTCCATACCAATCTGCTTGGACCTGAACAAGAAGGAAATTGAAGAATTGGGAGTCAAGCCGGGTGCGCGCCTTACACTGCGCGATTCTCGTGATGACCGCAACCTCGGCATAATCACTGTGGACGACGTCTACACACCTGACAAGCAGAAGGAAGCCAAGGAAGTCTTTGGTGGTGACCCAGAGCACCCTGCAGTCAAGTTCCTGTTTGACCAGACTGCCGACTTTTACGTGGGCGGCAAGATCGAGGCCATCGATCGTCTTCAGCACTACGACTACGTCGGCCTCCGTTACACGCCTGCTGAGCTCCGCCAGCACTTCGACAAGCTCGGCTGGTCCAGAGTCGTCGCATTTCAGACCCGAAACCCCATGCACCGTGCTCACCGCGAGCTCACTGTTCGCGCTGCTCGTGCTCGTCAAGCCAATGTTCTTATCCACCCAGTCGTTGGTATGACCAAGCCAGGTGACATCGACCACTTCACTCGTGTGCGTGTCTACCAGGCCTTGCTCCCACGTTACCCCAATGGTATGGCCGTCCTCGGTCTCCTCCCTCTCGCTATGCGTATGGGTGGTCCTCGCGAGGCTATCTGGCACGCCATCATCCGCAAGAACCATGGTGCCACTCACTTCATCGTCGGTCGTGATCACGCTGGTCCAGGCAAGAACAGCAAGGGCGAAGAGTTCTATGGGCCGTACGATGCTCAATATGCCGTTGAGAAGTACAGGGATGAGCTTGGAATCGAGGTAGTGCCATTCCAGCAGATGACCTACCTTCCAGACACAGATGAATACAAGCCCAAGGATGAGGTTCCAAAGGAGGTCAAGACACTCGACATCTCAGGCACAGAACTTCGTCGTCGTCTGCGAACTGGTGGTGATATTCCTGAGTGGTTCTCGTACCCAGAGGTCGTCAAGGTCCTTCGGGAATCTCACCCACCACGCAACAAGCAAGGTTTCACCATCTTCCTTACCGGATACACAAACTCTGGTAAGGATGCCATCGCTCGTGCGCTGAATGTTACTCTCAACCAGCAGGGAGGCCGATCTGTCTCCCTCTTGCTCGGTGAGACTGTTCGCTCGGAGCTCTCCTCCGAGCTTGGATTTTCTCGCGAGGACCGCGACAAGAACATCCAACGCATTGGTTTCGTGGCATCTGAGCTCACTCGTGCTGGTGCGGCAGTCATTGCTGCCCCAATTGCACCATTCGCACAATCGCGAAAGGCTGCTCGCGAGATCGTTGAGAAGCACGGCTCATTCTACCTGGTGCACGTCGCCACCCCTCTCGAGTACGCAGAGAAGACCGACAAGCGTGGTGTGTACGCCAAGGCTCGCCGTGGCGAGATCAAGGGTTTTACCGGCGTTGACGACCCATATGAGGAGCCAAAGGACAAGGAGGCCGATCTCACTGTTGACCTTACTAAAGTCAATGTGAGAACTGCCGTGCACCAGATCGTGCTCCTGCTTGAGGCTGAGGGTCTGCTTGATCAATTGTAGAATAACGGTTTGGCACTGCACCTACTTGTATTGCATTGTGGACTAGACTTTGAGAGCGCAGTCCGGTGGAAAAAAAGGATACGAAGGATAGATATCAGGTCTCATAGACAGAGGCGCATGGGAATGAAGCATTTACTGGCACCCTGTATGCTCTACTCGATACAACGCTCACCCACTTCTGACTGAGAATTCTTCAGTACTTACCGAGGAACTTCATGCTTGGGCCGCCTTTGCGAGGCTGCACGTCGCTCCTGCTCTACAGCGTTGTCTCGCCAGCAGTAACCCATTTGAGCGTATGCCGCGCTACATTGAGATGGCTGTCTGTACTGACTGTATGTATGGAAGTCATGTGCCCTGGAGGTTGAGCCTGGAGTTATGGAAACGGCAGCCCATCCACACTGCTGTGTACGAAGATGTTTGCTTTGTACCTAGGCTCGTATATTTCCTTCGCGGCTAGTAGACGAGGACGCGTTGCACTGTCGATCACTGACGAAGGTGGAAAATTGGGTGTGAAGTAGACTTCTGGTCGTCAAAAGCATCAGGAAACAGTGTCATGTGACAACTCTTGATTAACATGATAATAATAATCTTGTTTGGACGAGTTGTGGATCAAAGCGTAACAGGCGCTGCGAGTGTTTTCTCACGCTCACTCTCCACACCAGGTGTGCCAGGCATGGAGACCAAAGCCTCTCGCAATCCATCTAGACTGCCCGCAGCTTCTCCCATTCCATCCAGCACGTCTAATCCTTGGAAACCATCCTCGACAATCCACTTCTGCGCGGGCTTTTGAAGCACTTCGCAAGAATTGCCCACAACAAGTAGTCCAGGCGGCCTCGAGCCTTCTTCCTCAACCGCCGTGCACACATGTTCCAGTGTTGTCCGGATGACACGCTGATCGGGGCAAGAAGCACGCTCGATCACTGCACAAGGTGTCGTTGGCGGGTAAGGAATAATCTTGTGGTCGAGCAGGCTGGTGATTAGGTCCTGCAGTCTATGCAATGCCATCAGGAACACCACAGTCTGGTTCGAGAGATAGGCAGGTGGATTTGGCGAGGCGCCTTTGCGACCAGTCCCTGTGCAGACCAGCACCTGGTCGCTGACGCTACGATGCGTTACAGGTATCTGTGCAAACAGCGGGCCACTGAGCGACGACGTAACGCCAGGCAACACCACTGCTTCATAGCCATGCTCGCGGAAGAAAGCCACTTCTTCAGCGCCGCGGCCGTAGAGATACGGATCTCCTTGCTTCAGCCGTAATACTGTCTTTCCTTGCTGGATTGCTTCCAGCGCCATGCTGTGCAATTCATCCTGGGCCTGATCAGCGTTTCCAGGAAACTTGCGAGCAATCTTGATGGGAGTTCTTCTGGGAACAAGCTCTAACACCGGTGCCGGCACCAGCTTGTCTGCTAGGATGAGGTCTGCGCTCCGAATCGCCTTCAGCGTCGCCGCTGTGAGGAGATCAGGATGGCCGGGTCCAGATCCAGCAAGTATGATGCGCCCAGAATTGCGACGTGCATCGATTGCGGCGATACTGATTGGAGGCTTCTCTTCACCCAATTGTGAAGACGCCGCTTCTTGCTTATACGCTCGGAGAATCTGCTCCACGTCTTCATCTGTAATTGCTGCTAGGCGGCGCAAAGGCCAGTACTCGCAAATCTGCGCCAACCACCTCATCCTACGCGCCTTTGCTGCCTCGGCGTCGGTGGGAAGCACGAGCTTGTTAAATGCAGCATTTTGACCTGACTCTTCATCTTCTACTGCTGGATCTGCGCTGCCATCATTGGCGTGATCTTGCTCCCAGATCTTTCTCCGTACAGTGCCTAGACGTTCTACAGCAGGACCCAAATCGTGAGGAAGAGCAGCAGCGATTTCTCTTCGTATCCTGGAGGCTAGTTTACAACCTCTACCGCTTGTCGTCACACCAATCTGCAACGGACCAGAGCTGTGGGTGCTCAGCAAGGTGAATGTGCACAAATTCGGTGCATCTGCGACATTGATTGGTATTCGCAGTCTTCTACAAATTGTGCTTATTTTTGTGGCAAGCTCGCTCTTTCCCCCCGAGGTTACGAAGACTGCATCCACGACATGGTCGACCTCTTCCCGCCCAAGCGCTGTGAGATGGCCCTCCTCAAATTCCTTCTGCACCCACTGCACGGCTTTTTCTTCGATCCGTTTTGCGAGGCCGTAATGTATGGTCGCATTCTCGGGCGCTATGAGAATCGGTTTCGCACCAACTTCGATCGATCTCGCGCATCGTGCCCCAGCTAGAGGGTTTGATCCAATTATGAGGTGCACATGGGCAGTCGAGTCTACCGCAGTGAGTAATGCGGGCGCCATTGTAAAATTGTTCGAGGACAATGGGAATGGCTGTCACTCTTTGCTAATTGAGAGAAGACCAGCAATGCAGTAAAGATAGCAACGCCTTGATCCTGGGGACGTAGCAGTATCTCCTAGGCACACATCGTGGCAAAGCAAATAGGTTGATAAGTTCGTGCATTGATAAGTCAGAGATCGGCGCCAAGTCAAGCATGCAAGCCCTCCAAATCCCGAGAACGGAGCGGGAGCTGCAGCCGCGGAGAAGCGTGGCGCAAGTTCACAAACAAAGAGCACTTTGTGCCTGGAACTGTTCTCCGGCGGGCTGCCAGTGCCGCAATAATTTGCATCAAATGCTACGCAGCACTGCCGCCGTTGTCACATCAGCCCTCCTCATGCTCTTGACCCATGACCACGCCCAGAGCACGTCGCGAAAGAGCCACAGTGCGCTCGAGTGCAGCCAGCTTCGCCATGGCAGCCATTAGACTTGGGTCTTGCGACTCAACTCTGACCTTCTCTCTCACGCGAACTTCCTGCCCTTTGTATGTGAAGACCTCATGCGCTTCGTCGTGGAATGCCTTCACGCCGCCTCCAAGTACGGCTCCCAAGCGCTCGCGCAACGAGAATCCGCTGTAAGATGCTCCACCGGACGGCGTACTTAGCGATAATGGTGTGTTCGTGCCTGTGTTCGGGTAGGCAAGTTCGAGCGTGCGAACAAACAGTAGGACTGCGGCTTCGGAGACAGAAATATGGAGCGAGACGTTCGCAGGCAGCGGTGGATTGAAGGCATTCTCATCGATCGGCTCCTCGTGCCATGATTTCTGATTCTGTGTCCATCCCTTCAGGGCAGACTTCGCTTCCTGTATGTTGTCATGGAGCAGACGTAGTTGGCCTGAGATGAAATTGGCATTCTTGCTGTCGCCTGTCCATTGCGTCGCGTCCACCACATCCAGACAGGCGTTGATTAGCGTGCGCGTCGTGGTAAGCTGTGAGAGAACGATAGTGGCGGCGGTAGGTAGACTGGACACGGACAGCTTGTAGTTGCTGTGCCCCTTGGGCGGAGGCAGCGATGGCAGTCGGAGCTGGATGTCACCCTTCACGATCCTGGCGCCCACTCTGGTGATGAAGCCTTTGAGGTTTTCCGAGCGCAGCGACGACAGCACCAATGTCGAGCCAGGCTCTTTGGGGGCAAGCAGCTCGGCACACTCCTCCAGACCATGCTTCAAGCTGCGGAGGGTGTCTTGCAAGGAGGCGAGCAGGCATTCGAGCTCACGCGTCAGTGTGGCTTCTTCTTCTTTGACCAGGTTTTCCGGCGTGATGGCTGGCCACAGCACAGTGGTCATGTTGCAGACGAGTCCCGAGGTGGTCGAGGTGCGATGGAGCTTCCCGGCCGAGGAGGAGCACTCGCAGCACCACCCAGCAATCAATTCACGCAGCGATTCAGTTCCAACTTCCAGGTTGCACAGCCAAGGCAAGGCAAGCCACATGTGATCTGATCGTATCGTGATCCCAGTCCAGATGTACCGCCCGGCTCGCGTTGCCATGTGACATGACTTCATTGACAAAGGCTGTTGGAATGCCCACGCAGCGCAGCAAAGCAATCATTGTTCCGAGTTCGACCTCCAGCGCACGCTTCCAGCTCATGTCACATGTGCACCATCTGCATGCGTTCCCACCACCACCACCACCGCCACCACCACCGCCGCCGCCTCTACACGCACTTCTTCAATCAATCCAAGCGAAGAATCCTCCGGTGCGGTGGGCATCCCCGTCACCCCGTCACCCCGGCAGCGGCAGCGGCAGCGATTGACTTCGCAGCAACGTCATTTGCCTCGTAGCTTTGGCGCCAGCAAGCTTTCTGCTGCTGCTTCTGCGAGATCACATCACGCACCGCCAAAGCGCGACCTGATCATCGACCACGTCACATCCCAAGCAGCAACCACAGCTGCCATACTGCTCACCTAAGTTACGTAGAAGAATCACCTGCGCCTCGCCTTCTGCATCCTTGCCCCCACCTGCGAACATTCTTGTTTGATAAAACACTCCCAAACCTGAGAGCCAGCGTCCCAGCGGCCGAGCCGTTTCAAGGAGCGCGTGTTTTGTTGCCCCTATTCCACTCCCTAGGGAACAAAATCATCCAACCACACCAGATCTGACACAGCTCTTGTAACGAGCATCTCCCCTGTCCGCTGCTCGCTGCCGAACGACCACCGTCGCAGACGCCAGACACCATGCTACTTTCACGTGAGTACTCCAGCTTCAACCCGGATCGACGAGATATACGACGCCTACTAACACGAATGATTAGGCGCAACCCTGGCGTTCACCGCCGTGCTCCTCGTCGCAGGAGGCATCGTCATGGAATTCTTGGTCATCCTGTCAGGCCTAAACAGTTCGCCATTGAACCGCGTCTACTTCCTGCAAGCAGACACCACGGGTATCACAGGCGGGAACGACCACTTCCGAAACCCTGCACGATGGACCTACCTGGCCATCTGCGGTGTTGACAATGGCCGCAACGCGAACTGCAACCCGAGGGGCGCCGCGATTCCATTCAGCCCAGTGAGGAACTTTGGAACTACGACTGGAGTGCCAGAGCAATTCATCGGTACCAACTCTTACTACTATCTCAGCCGTGTCGCCTGGGCATTCTACCTGGTCGCACTGTTCTTCTCGGTCTGCACATTTTTCACCAGCATTGCCGCATACTTTGCGCGTCTCGGTGCCTATATGACCGGCTTCTTCGCCTTCCTGGCATTCCTCTTCCAGGCTCTGTGCTCCTCGCTCATGACGTGAGTATATCTCTACGCGTGTCACGTCGGAGAAAACTAATGTATGTCAACAGCGCATGGACCGTCAAGGCACGCAACGCCTTCCGCAGCAACAACCAATCTGCTTCCCTCGGCGTCAAGGCATATGCTTTCTCCTGGGCATCGACTGCTTGCTTCCTCTTCGCAGCACTTCTCTTCTGTGTCGGTGGCAGTGTTGGCAAGAGCAAGAACATCAAGTCCAAGGGCTACTTCGGCCGCAAGAAGAGCACTCGAAGCAACCACACCCGAGGAAGCTTCATCGACAGCAACGAGCGGGGCATCAAGGATGAGTATGTAAAATCCTAATTGCAAGTTCAGGTAAGCAGCTATTTGGCTGACAGATCGACTAACAGGTACAAATAGTCACTCCTTCGAGCGATCGTCCTTCGATCGCGCAACATAGAAGTAGCGCAGCAACGCCTCTTCACAACGCGACTACGATGGGCTGAGTTTGAATGACAGCACTGCCGGCAGGAGCAGCAACAGAGCTGATACGGAGAAGATCTCGTAACGTGTCTATGCTTTCACGATTGTACGCACGCAAACTGGTGTCCAGGTTTTGAATAACAAATACCCAGTAGGAAACAAGTATGTAATGTGTTGTCCTTGTAATTAGGAGAGAAATTTATGATAATGTATCAAGACAGTATATTTCTATCTAGCGACTTCTACTCCTACACCCAGCCAATTTGAGTTAGGCAGTGACTGCTGATTGTGGAACCCTGCTAACAGGTTGACTACGCATATGCATTGACGCCGACGTAGCGAGTGAAACAATCCTCGTCGGTCTCTGAGTCAGTCTCGCTCTGGATCCGCGACACTTCCAAGCTCGACCTACTGCCCCCCTAGTCCGGTAGCGCTACACACCACTCTGGTTGCAATCGCGCTACACAATAATTCCAGAAGAGAACTCATCAGTATCGACAAGTTCACCCCAACGCGTCACTCCCTCAGATTGCTCTCACAATTCCTGGACTTGGAGAACATGATGACTATTTACGACACGCTGGATCTGCATCAACCGTGTTTCTACAAATATGACTGGGCATTTCGCGTCGTGGGGGATGGACCGAACGGCAATCACTCATCATTCGACGAAGAGACAGACAGCCTCGTCGCCAGAGCCCCAAGCACCCCAGTGAATATGGACGCGGTCGAGAACCATCTGCTCTGGCAGCCTCGCCCCAGCCCCTTCATGTCCGTCTACACTCTCTGGCGCAAAGCCCTGCACAGAGCTCAATGGCTCTGCGACCGCGGAGCTCAGAACGTCCGAATCTATGTCATCGACATGGAGGAAGTCGCCATCACCTCTCCGGGCCTCATCGCTTTCGACGCCACATCTCTGGCTACAAAACTCGGCTTCCGTGCCCTCACTCCATGGCAGAAACGCAACAGATCCCATTTGCCTCAGTGGCTCAATCGACAGAATCTCGATAACCATGAATCCGAACTGCTGATTTACCGTGCAATCCCAGATGTCAGCATCACGGTCCTCGCGGTTATTCCTTCTGATGGGCCGACGCTACGCTTTCCTGTACACCTTGGAGTCATGGAAGTTCCGACCAAATTCGTCGAATGGAGACAAGTCGCTGCCCAGTCTGGGGTTTTTCGACAGCGTGATACAATCGACGCTATTGAGAATTTGGAACAGGATATCTGCTCCGATGACAGCCCGGCTAGGAAAGTCTACGATATTGTTTTCCAGGCTATAGATGGCCAACTGCAATACGGCCCTCGATGGAGTACAGATACAATTCTTTTTGCTATGCAGGCGATGTTGATTGAAGACTGGTCCTACGTATAATATTATCATCATCATCATCTATTTCTAAAATCCACAAAATCCGACTGATACGAACGACATCTTCTTCTCCTGTCTCAATATCCTTTCTAAATCGCAGAAACACTCGAACACCTCGTCCCCATCCGTTGCTGCACCTCAACCCTCCCATATATCTTCCCCTTCACCTCACTCATCCCCGCAACCACCTGCAACAATTTCCCCTCATCTAACCATCCCCGACATCGAAAAATCTCAAGAAAAAACCAACTCAACACCGAATCCAATTTCCTCACATCTTCCGCTTTTTCTTCTTCTTCTTCTTCCTCTTCCATCCCATTGCGTCGAAACGCACTCGAATAATACATCTCCGGACTCTCCCTCTTCACATCCTCCTCCTCATGCTCCGCATAAAATTCAATTTCGTCCCAAAGTTCCTGCGGCAGGGAAATCGTTCCGAAATAGGTCGTGAGGGAACGAGAGATGCCTCCGGCTGGGATTTCGAATAATTGTCCGATTCCCAGATCGAGGGTGTTGGAATATACCAGAATTTCTGAAGCGAAGGTGCGGGTTCGGAGGGTTCGGCCGAGCTTTCTTCGGTGGAGTTCTTCGATTAGGAGGGGTGAGGAGTAGATTGGGGTGTAGTAGGATAGGAGGTCGAGGTCTAGGGCTTGGATGGAGATGTTGGAGGAGGAGGAGGGGTTGTGGCGTTGGAGCCAGCGGGATTGGCCTAGGGCTCGGTCCCAGGATGTGTAGAGGATTTGGAGACCGGTGTTGGGGTCTTTTGGGTTGTTGAGGATGGTGTGGGCGGAGGAGAGGGTTGGAAAGAGTGAGATTTTGCCGGTGAAGGTTGTACTGGCTGTACTGCTGCTGGTGGCGGTGGTGTTGGTCAGGCTTGTATCGGTACTCTTGGTTGATGTGACTGAGATAGGTTCATCTTCCTTGATGTCTTTGACGCTGTGATCTGAGATTTGGAGTTTTGCTAAGGCTTTGGTGAGAGATGGTGGCTCGGGACTGTCGGGGATATCTTCTGTCGTCTCGTCTTCTGGGATAGGTACAATGGAGTTTTTTCTGTCGATCTCGCTTGGACTGTTATCTATTACTCTGAAAGCGATGCCTCTAGAGAAGAGAGGATACGCTGTGATGTTGTATTGGCAGTAGTCCGGTATGGGGACATCGGGAACTCTTTTCGGTTTGGATGCCTTCTTCGGCTGCGTACTCTTGGAGTTGCGAGGATTTGGAGTCATTTTGCTATTCCTTCAGTAGGAAGCAGTTCGTTCGAGTGAGAGAGATCCTAATGTCGTGAGCATCGTAGTCTCATGCCAGGATACATCGGATATATGTATAGCTGGAACTGTTGCAAGGATAGCCAGTGTTGCTCCACGACTTCGCAAAGTTTGAGATAGTGAGCGAAAGTTGCGTGACGCAGCAAGATCTGTGTCGATATGCGAAATTGCAGTATCGATCTCTTGCTTATCGGATTAGTTCTCCTCCTCATCATCACTTGCACAGCTGGGCCGCAAAGCATAGCAGCACCCGAGTAAATGCTTATATCGCCGAACAGCGGTACTTTGGGGAATTTCTCATCCTGCTATCACGATCGATAGTAAGTAGTGATACGACGAGGAAGTTGGGACGGTTGTGCTGCCAAATTCAAAGCCAGTGGCCGCGATTCTCGGTGCAACCCAGTAGCCTGTAGTGGTGGTGTTGGCTTGGCAATCGGTTCCACTTGCTCCCGCTGACAGGCATCGCAGTTGGATCATCACGTCGGCTCGCTGCCGACCGCCTGGTTGGCCTACTACGGAGCCAGGCCAAGCCGTGACGACACTCCACATCGAAGGATCGCATCGCATCGCAAACACGATGATGATCTGCGGCGTGTCGCTGCACCAAATCTTCCCAGTTTCAGCTCACGTTCCAATGATACCATGGCATGGCTAACACGCTGGGCCAAGGACATGGCGTTCCAGGAACCGCATAAACACGCGAGACGTGAAAGAGCATAATGTTCCGATGCCCTTTGCACTTGAGCCTTCACCTCCTCAGTCGTGCAAGCCCTTCTACCTTGAACCGTTACTACTAAGAAAATGCCCATCCTTCACGCAGCCGCCGCTCTGGGCGCGATATCTGCAGCAGATAAGTTCAGCTCGCGGCAGGGGAAGAGAGTGCTAAATGCAGAAGAAGCCTTAGCGTCCAGGGCGAGCACAAGTTCGGACACGAACGAGCGCATACAACCTGACGGTCCCGTCGTCACTGCTGTCAGACCAGCCCGAACATCGTCGAATGTCACCAGCTCTTCGAAATCGCTCAGGTCTCCCACAAGTGTACCATCTTCAGCGACCAGCAGCGACGCACAAGCTCCGCCATCTGTGCGAGTGCACACGAAAGGCCCGACCTTAGGGAGCGGTTTCCCCTATCACCCTGCTCTCTTCGATCTTCGCGTGCATCCAATCAAATGGGAGCAATTCACAGAATCGATTGTCGAGACTACAAAGCTTTCGACCAAGGAACGCATGAAAGTATGGGCGTTCGGTGCAGGAGTTGTGGCCGGAATTGGTACGCCAGACTCTGTCCACATCGCTCGCAATAAGAGTCGGCGGTATCAAGAAGACAAGATCAAAGCTGGTGTTGCAGAAGAATCGGAGTCTAGTCTTGGGGAGCTTCTTCGTCAGTGGAACGAGAAGTACTTCGCCGAGCGCGGTCTTCTCGCGAGGCTGGAGCTCAGCGAGTCCGCTTTAAAGTCTCCAAATCAGCAAAGCAAGCTGTTCCAGCGAGAAGCGCATTGGTATGGTAACAAGGAGGACCGTGAGCGCAAGCGTGAGGAGCGCAAGTTCGCAATCGTGATTACGCAGCTTTACACGCCGGACGAGCTAGGTGATGCAATGCACGAGCTCGACGCTGGCTCTTCTATTGAAGAGGCCCCGGATTCTACAGACGCCAGAGTCTATCATGTTGAGGCTCCAACTGCGAACAAGGACCTGCCCGAACTACCAAGCGGCGCTGACTGGGAGAAAGACGTTTCGGAACTGCCGGACAAAAAGGTGCATCTGCTTGCAGAATTGCCGTCGGCAACACAATACGCTGAGCTTGAAGGCGACAGCCACCCTGTGCCTCAGTCATGCAATACGATGAGCGCTGCTACTCACGCCAAAGTGCATCAGAACATAAGCCATGTGTGATCTATGCGATGCGAATGGTAGCAGACTTGCGGTGAGAGGAGAGCACAGGAGAGGACAAGTGATGGGTGGTGCTTGCATAACACACACACTTGTGAGGATGTTAGGGTAGGGTAGGGTGGGGTGGGGTGGGGTGGGTGCGGTGCGGTGCGGTGCGCAGTTGCACGATCGAAGCGTGGCGTGGCAAGAATGACACCCAAAGCGGACTGCCGATCGATTGAGCTAGTCGGTCTTATCGCCGCCGACAACGTCACTATGTACATCACCATCCCCGCATGATCCAGCCCTCGATGCAACATTGCGCACGCGCTAGTGGGCTGGGGTCGAGTCGCACCGCAACACTACCTGGTCTGGTCGCCATGGCATGCGATGAAAAAGAAGGCATTGGATCCGGTGCGCATCCAGAAGAAGCAGGCAGTCGCCGCTCCGGTAGCGTCCATCGGATTGATAACGAGCACTGACGATCGTTTATAATCTCGTCTTCAGAATGCCCGTGTCCGCAGTGCTCAATCAATGTTCTTTGCCTTCACATTGCGTCAACAACAATGATCTTCGACCGAACTTTTGCTGCCGCTGCCGCTGCGTGCCTGCTCTCGACAGCTTCGTTGGCATCAGCGTCACTGGGTCCGAGATTTCATCTTCACCCCAAGCAGGAGCATGGCAAGCGACAATATTATCCCAAGGTATATCTACGAGCACATTGTCGAAGAATCACAATTTGGCTGATAGCACGTAGGAAGCAAGCAATGTCACAACCATCACCACGCCCACGGGAGTCAAAATTCGATACAAGGAGCCTGGCAATGACGGCGTCTGCGAGACTACACCAGGCGTGAACAGCTATTCTGGTTATGTCGACGTAGCACCAAATATCCACGTCTTCTTCTGGTTCTTTGAAAGCCGACGCGATCCAGCTGCCGACGACTTCACTCTGTGGCTGAATGGAGGACCGGGTTCTGATTCCTTAATCGGACTTTTTGAAGAGCTCGGACCTTGTAGGATTTCAGACAACCTCACCAGCTATCTCAATCCATACAGCTGGAACGAAGTCAGCAATATGCTCTTCCTCAGTCAGCCAGTCGGCGTGGGATTCAGCAATCAGAAAGAAGGGGAGGGCACTTACACCAATTACACAGGAAGCTATCTTGATGCTTCTCAGGCTGCACAGGCAGGATACACCACAGATGATCTAGCCCGCTTGCCGCTTCTGGATCCTCTTTATAAAGGCGAGATTGATACCACAGAATTGGCCGCCGCTGCAGCATGGCAGGTCTTCCAGGGCTTCCTGTCTGGACTGCCACAACTTGGAGGAAACGAGGCCACTAGCCCGAAGAAATTCAACTTGTGGACAGAGAGCTATGGAGGCCATTACGGTACGTATCATTATTCCACTCCAATTTGAGGCGCGCCGCTGACCGTTTCATCTTAGGTCCTGCTTTCTTCGACTACTTCTACAACCAGAACGAGCACATCAAGAATGGCAGCATTTCGGGCTATGAATTCGATTTCAACAACCTTGGCATAATCAACGGTATCATCGACGAGCGTATACAAGCAGAGTATTATCCAGAGTTTGCGGTCAACAATACCTACGGCATCAAGCTGTACAACGACACGGTGTACAACTACGCTCATTTTGCTACATTCATGCCCAATGGATGCTATGATCAGATCGACACCTGCGTGGCAGCCGCACAAGATGTACTTGGCGGCTTCGAGAATGGACTCATTACCAATGCTGCACTCAAATTCCCAGCAGTTTCGGGGCTATGTACCAGCGCTGGCAACATGTGCCGAGACAACGTTGAAGGTCTTTACTACTCATTCGGCGATCGTGGCATCTACGACATTCGCCACCCAAGGGACGACCCTACGCCAGAAGAATATTTCGCCGACTACCTTAATCAAGCCGAGGTTCAAGACGCCATCGGAGTCGATCTCAACTACACCACTTCAAACGGGGATATCTACTACAATTTCCAGGACACTGGAGACTTCATCTTTCCAAATTTCATGCGACACCTCGAAAATATCCTTGCTAGTGGTGTGAGAGTGACTCTGGCATATGGAGACGCAGACTACATCTGCAACTGGTTTGGAGGGCAAGCTATCTCTCTAGCCGTCAACTACACCCACAGCAAAGAGTTCCGCGCTGCAGGGTACGCTCCATTCCTGTGGTCTGATGCCAACTTTCAGGCTGGTGAAGTTCGCGAATATGGTAACTTCAGCTTTGTTCGTTTGTACGACGCTGGACATGAGATTCCTTATTACCAGCCAGGACCTTCACTCGCCATCTTCAACCGCTCAATCAGCGGTCTAGGTATCGCTGATGGCAAGGAGAAGGTGACGGCAAACTATACGACCACCGGCAATGCCAACACCACCCACACGCACAGCCTCATTCCGCTCCCACCAACGGAAACTGCGGCCTCTGCTTCTTGGAGTGCGAGCGTCATTGCAAGCTACTCAATTTACGACCAGGCTCCTGAGCCTACTGCCCCTTCTACGAAGCGATTCATAGCGTGATTGAGAAATCCTCCGCGAGGCATGACAGCATGAATGAACGAAATTGCATATCAGCAGGAGCAGGAGCATTGGCTGAACAGGAAGCAGGCTCATGATATCAAAATATGACAGTACCAACGACAAGACTTATGACATTGGACAGAATCAAAACTGAAGAGAATCCCATTGGCGCTGGAGCAGTCGCGCTGCACATGTTTCAATGAAAACGCATCTTGGTCGGTCTTCTGTGTTCCCGGATGAGCTCCCGGGGAGCTGGTGTCGAAACGTGAAGTTCTCCGCTTGGCTCTGACGTTGCGGGACAACGGCGCATCGACGACTTGTGGTGATCGTATTGGCAAAGAAATGTGAACATTATTGCGCATCTATCTCAATAATAATAATGCGCGAGAAGTTCAGGCAAAGATAAGCACCAAAACCAGCCCGAAAATAGCTCGGGCCGGCAGAACCGAGAGAGCCAAGAATTTCTATTTACAGCTGGCTTTCCTGCCAGAGGTGGTCTGCACTCTGCCACTCAGATCTCAAGTGACATGAGCCTCGTCAACATGGGTGCCGATGTCCAAAATACCATCCGAGAAGAACCGAACCTGCTTCCCAATTCGGTCTTGACTATAAGCCGCTCCACAACAATAGACACACAAGTCGCACCTTCTGTCCTTGGCGCTTCTTCGACTGGGGTATTCGAGACTCTGTGTGTGGCAACGCCAATTGGCTGTCTCAAACTCTTCCGAAAGCGGGTGGCCTCTGCTACCATTGTGCTAGGATACTTATTACATCCTCGACATTACTGCATCGTAAGCCTGCAGTGATGTCCAAACCTTAGTAATTACTAAAATAGTAATTACTATAGGGACAGAGTAATTACTAAAATAGTAATTACTATTACTACGAGATTTAAGAAATAGTAATATAGATAGTAATTACTAAATACTATATTACTATTATATTACTGTTTCCTATTAATAGAAAAGTTCTTTTAGAATAAGAGATTTTTAATAGCTTTTTATAGATATAGTACTATTATAAATATTTTCTAAAGATTATATAATATATCTATAAAAATAAAGTACTTCTCTATATATAAATAGTATATAGTAATTACTATATTACTATATAGTTACAAGTAATTACTAAATAGTAATTACTATTACTACGTCTCGAAATTTCTATAGTAATTACTATAGGGATAGTAATTACTACTTACTAAGGTTTAGACATTACTATCGTAAGGCTCGTATTAACGTATAGCGTCGGTGCACTTCCGAGTAAACGCACTCGATTGCTCGTCCTGGACTTCATAAATTGCAACGAACCAAGGGGCTGAATTTCGCACACCGAAGGCATCGCACCCGCTTCCGCTCCTGTTTGTGAAGAGGCTGCATGCATTCCGTGGTCATGCTCATGTCACCAAATTTGTCAATGAATGCAGGGAAGCCCTGTTGAATCGATCCATCGCGGATCTGCGGCCACGACATTGTACCTAGACCAATACAAGCTTATACGATAAGTCTACCTGCGAGATGCCGGGCTCCACAGGAGGTTTTGGGCAATGAGCTTCGCGGAGACCTTGTCGCTCGTATTTGGGCCCGGTGGCTCGTCCTCTTCGGGGAAACTTCGTCATCATCACGAAAAGCCTCGTATGTCCAGGATCAGCCTTGGCAAAGACGTGGGAGTCTGGTCAACACGAGATCTATCACCGGAGGACGGAGGCGCAGGTTGAGCCCGGGCCATGTAGCACGAGAACATTGGTATAAGTATTGCATCCTTCTCCAATCTCCTTGAAGGCATCAATCAGCTACACACTCATAGCCTCAACATCAACTCCACTTCCCAAAAAAAAGCAATCGCTGTAACGCCATATCATCATTATGTCCACCAAGACTCTCGCCCTCCTAGCATTGGCCAGCACTTCAATCCTCGCAACACCCTTTCCGCTGGCACAATCTGACGTGCCCTCCTTCGGGGACAAAATAGGCATCGAGGCTACAGGCACCAACATCGCAAAGGTCGACCTTAGGGCAAAGCAAGGCCAAATCTTCGTCGGAGGATCCCAAGATGCCGTATGCGATGGGGGCCAAACACAAGACGTCGCTACATTCGTTCTATACTCCGATGGCACGCTCTTCTTGTACAAGCTCTCCAATCCTCCTCAGCAGCTCTGGGTCGATAATGGTGGAAATGGAGGCGGAGTCACCGGTTACACGAGTGGTAGTGAGCCACTATCCAAGAGCGCGTCAAGGAGCAAGTTCGCCTTGGACGGTGATGGAAACTTGACGTTTGAGGGTACGGGAGCCAAGGCTTGTCCTACCAAGGATGCAGACACGTACACTGTCTGGTTCACGAGCAGCGCGAAGCCTGGGAACCAGGATGGCTGCGTCGACATTAAGCTGAAGGCTTACAAGGCACCGGCAAGAGTCGCTTGTGAGTATAGTCATAGCCCGTGAGGGGACTGAGTGAGCGAAGCTAGATAGTTGTATTGTAATTCTTGCTTTTTGGAATTGGGGGAATTTCAGTATAGCGATTGTTTCACGACATGTACGGTAAAAGTAACTACACATACTGTATGGATGGCCTGCACCGAATTTGAGCCGTGATGAACCGTGACGAACGTCATTTCAGGTACACTTCGATCAATGAAGATTGCAGACTGGGCTATCCCTCGCCTTGCAGCCGGCAGCCTACCAGATTGGGCACTCTCTGATCTTCTTCGCCAAGCCTAGAGACTGCCTACCTGCCTATCATAGGTAGGGCAACACGGAGGATACCGAGACAGCTTGCAATTCCAGTTCTACCTGTTCAGATCTAGCGTGCTGGGATAGGCTGGCCTTGTTGACTTGCCTAATGCCAGCCGGAAGGCAAAGCGCAGCCTTGCAGTCAAGCTTTGCAGGGGAGAACCAGTAACGTCCAAACCTTAGCAATTGCTAGAATAGTAATTGCTGCAGGGACAGAGTAATTGCTAAAAGTAAATGCTATAGCAATAGTAATTACTATTACTACGAGATTTAAGAAATAGCAATATAGATAGTAAACTATATTACTATTATATTACTATTTTTTATTAATAGAAAATCTCTATTAGAATAGGAGATTCTTAATAGCTTTTTATAGATATAGTACTATTATATACATTTTCTAAAGATTATATAATATATCTATAAAAATAAAGTACTTCTCGATATATATATAGTATATAGTAATTACTATATTACTATATACTAACAAGCAATTACTACCGCTATAGGATTCTAAAAAAATAGTAATAGTAATTACTATTACTACGTCTCGGAATTTCTATAGTAATTACTATTGGGATAGCAATTGCTGCTTACTAAGGTTTGGACATCACTGGGGAGAACCTTCAACTCTCATTACACCCTAGATGACCACATTGACCGTTCGCTGGCGTGCTTGGATCCTCGTCCGATCTTTTCCCCTGGGCAGATCAGATGACTTCCGGGTCCGGGCTTGTTAAATTCCCCCGGGATTCGGGAACTTCTCTTCGACCACATGTCGTCGCCTTAATGAACTTGTTGATGAGAAGAAGCAGTGTCCTTTAAGTTTGGTGAGAGTCAATGCAATCTGAGCCTTTGCTCAACGGAACGCATCTTGCGGTCCGTGTGCTTCTCGCTAGAACTTGCAGAATGATGTTTGAGGTCTAGCAAAAGCTGTCAGCCTGTCGCCGACTCTTCGAATACGATAATAAAGGACCGTCTGTACAGGCAGGTGCTGCCTGAGGGTGGCCCAGGGAAGGTATTAGGCCAATACTTCTTTTTTTTTGGTACGTGATTTCGTTTGTTTTTTCCAATCAGAGGCCTAGCAGGAATCAGGATTGGTATGAAACATTTTGCACGTGATAGTATTGAGTATACAAATTCTGACTGTTCTTCCACTTAGCTCGTAAACGGACAACACCTTCGCATCCTCGTCGCAAGCTCCTCGAATGCTCCGGCTTATGCCTGTTTACTTCGCTTCGCTCAGATTATGGATTGCAAAGCTTCAAGAAAGACGGTCCAGCCGTGTCTCCAGAATCCTTGTTGGATTTTTGTCAGGGTCGTGCCTGTCTACGTTTTTGTGAAAAACCATGGATCTTCCAATCTTCATTGATTTTGTTCATCTGTCTTCTGCGTCTTCTCTTAAAGCCATACTCAGGCGATGGGTAAGTAGCGGGGAGCGATCACCGGTCATTATCTACAAAGAAGAAGTTCCCTATCATTCGTGAAATAAGCCATCATCATCAGCTCTGCTGCGGCTGATGAGCGACCTTGCCCTTCTCATGCCAAAAAGTCCGTTCAGCAATGCTTCCATTAGAGGCCTCTCTGACCATCGAGCCGATTTTTCATCGTGCTAATTATACCTCCAAGTTTCATGCCCTCCCATTTGCGGTAACATCGGGCCATAACCGGCACCTGGCGGGCCTCCCGGTTGTGGCCGATGGTTCATACCGTTATGGTTTAGAGGATTGGGTAGTGGTCCACTCTGCTGTTGCGGTAGAGCGCCCCATGGACCGGACGCTGTTGGTGTCGTGCCTCTCCCATAGCCGGGGGTATTTGGATCCGAAAGTGGACTTGGTGTGGGAGCTTGAGGACTATTCCACATTCTCGAATTGTCGTACGCATTGCCAAAGCTGTTTCTTGGGTAAGGATTATAGCTGGAATAATTGTTGTATCCTTGATCGCGTAACATTCTAGCTTGGGCTCCTTCTCGGCTTGCTGTGCTGGCCAGACCTCCTTGTTGAATCTGGCGCTGGAAGTCCTGAGGTGTTGAATGCTGAACCGGGACATATTGCCTTGGAGGTGGTCCTGGCTGGTAGAGAGGATTCTGTGGAAGCGGAGGCGGCGTCTGCTGCTTGTCCTGCAACCCTGCCGCAGACCAGACCTGAGACGGCGGAGTCCATTGTGAGCTAGGTCGTCGCTCGTTCAAGGTGGTGATGGAGTTGCTCGGTGTGTGCATAGAGCGAGGTCTCCTATCGCCAGCTCCACCATTCTGCGATGCCTCTAGCGCTTTGGCAGAAACCCCTCCACCGATCAAGTAAGGTGATTCATACACCTTGGGCCGACGACAGAAGCTGTTCAGCAGGTATGGATACTTCTGCAAACTCTGCAAGTATGCCTGATCTGCATGTGATCCATCTGTCTTCGACAATGAGGAAGTGGTTGTCGCCGGCGTGAGCAGCTGCCCTACCGACGGGGAGTGATGGCTCATCGCTGACGACGAAGGTCTGCTATTCGAGACAGGGGCGTAAGGCCCTGTATACGGATTCGGAGGGATCGGCGACCCTGACGAAGGGCCTTGCTTGAGAAGTGTCTTCTGGTGAGACACCGATTGGTAGTTGGGCACGTAACCGGCTGCCTCAAAGTTAGGCCGCTGCATGGTCTGCGCGCCTTGCGACTCGCGTCTGAATTTCGAATACTCGCCTTGATACGCCGCTGGCAATGTCTTGGAGGAATAGTATTGCTCGGATGGGAAAGCGCGAATCGGCGTAGCTGTGCGAGAAGCATCGCCTCCTTGATAATTGTATTGCGGAGCTGGCGGCTGTTCCATTGGTGGCGGCGGCGATTGCTGGTTGTAGACTGAAGATTGTTGATTACCTTCTGCCAGGAAGGAGCGCTGGTTTGCCAAAGCTTGGTAGTCGACGGCGCACAGGACGTTCGGTTTCACCGTCTCCTTAGGCTTGTATTGGTAAGGTTTCTCGTTTCGAGCTCCAGCTGCGGTATTCATATGGGCGGTGGGGTTGGGGAATGATTGCGAACGCCATGTCGGCTGTGCTGGTGCAAGAGTCTGCTTGACCGCTGCATATTGAATGCTGTGCTTAGGCTGTACGCGATCCATGAAGTTGCCCTTGGGTGCAATCTCCTTGCTTCCAGGCTTGTCAGTGAAGAATACCTTAGCATCCGTGGAGACCTCGGGCAGGTAGTAATAAAGCTGGTCTGGTGCATTGACATCGACTTTCAATTTGAGTGGCGCCTTGTACGGCACGGTCAGGAATCCTGGTGGAGGCGTGTGGTAATTGTAGAAATCGTGCCACTTGTACGCTGAATCGGTGTTGAACGTGTCGTCCTGTGATGGAACGCCATCTTGCCTGTTCTCGAGAGAAAACTTGTTCTTGTTGATGTTTTCCGGCATAGGCAGGGCTGCGGCTGATGGCTTTGGCCGCACAGAATCGTCAGGGTCCAAGACACATATCCACCGCCACTCGATCTCAACGCGATCGCCGTCCGGAAGCACGTCGACGATGACTGTGCGTTCTTGCGGCCGATTCTCGACGACCAGACCTCCGAAGACTTCTCCACCAACGAAGCGGGCTTGCACTGTGTCGTTGGGTTTTAGCTGCTTGGCGTGGTCCAAAATCAGCTTGTTGACCTCGAAAGCCTCCGTGTCAGGATTCTTGCCCATCTTTGGTCGGTGATAACGGCATCGGAAATCAAAGCCTTCTTCGAAGTATTCCGTGCCGTCTTCGCTGAATGTAGGCACCAGGCCAGAGTCGACAAGTACACCAGCTGCAACCGCGCAGGTAGCGTGGAACGCACGAGTGCACTTCTTCGAGGAGCACTGAAAACAAGCACCTTTCTTAGAGCGACAGAAATTGCACTTGAGATCCAAGCGAGCCTTGTCAATATTCGCAACACCGTACACCTTGTCTTTGCCGTCCTCGGTGACGATGTAGGTCTCTGGGGTGTAGAGCGCGCAAGATTTGTGCGCTTGCTTGCCAGTGTCGGTGGGTAGGAGCTCATCCCACTTATTCTCGTTCGGACACATGCAACACGGCTCTCTCGTTGGCAGACGAATTCTAATCCTGATCTTCTTCTTCTTCTTCTTCGGCTCTTCCTTCCTGGCCTCTCGCTTGCGTTTCTTGCCCTTGCCTTTGACACTGGCAGGAGGAGTGGGCAATTTACTGTCCTCGATATCCTCATCTTCGCCCTCGCTGTCAGTTTCCTCGTAGTATTCCGGAGTCGGCTCGCCTCTCAGCTTGCGTTCGATTTCGCCGACATCAACCCAAACATTGTCGGCTTCGCAATTGCACTTCTTTGCAATGCGACCAAACTCCAGCCACGACTCGGTCGCGAAGTTCACTGATTCTGCACAGTTGTAACCAAGGTTGTATCCAGAGTGGTAGCCATATGGATACGTGATCACGAATTCGCCTTCGTAATGCACGAGCTTGTTGACCTTGACACCATACTGCTTCTGGAGCACATCTGGCGAAATCAGGTAGGTCTTGTGCCGCAAGAATTGATCGCAATTCTTGGCGTCAACAGGCCAGGCCTGCTTCATCGCGCGCTCGAACTTTCGAGCATCTTCCTGTGAAATGCTGTACCACTGCTTTGGAGCACCAAAATGGATGTAATTGATACTGTAGAGGTCGACGTCCTCGAGATGCCAAGCGAAGGTTGCTTTCCACATTCCCATGTAAAGATAAGCGGTGTTGACACCAGGCACTTTCGTACCGAGAACGTCCAGCAGATTGGGCAGCTTTGCCACATTCCAGCTCGTGACCGTGTCGTCGAACAAAGATCCTGGCATATCGGCGGCATACATGGGTTGATTGAAACCCATTGTCTTCCAGTACATACTCTCCAGCTCTGCACAACGCTCCGGCGTGAACTCATCGAGATTTTCCAGGTGATAGTCGAAGTTCTTGAAAGCCTTCTCATCGATATGGTCGACAGTCTCGGCAGTGTTGTTCAGTCTGCGAGACGTGACTGACTTGGTGCCTCCGCTCTTGGCTTGGCGACCGGGTTTCTTCTTCGCAGGTGGCTCTGCTGGAGGGGTCGCTGGTGCTCGCTTTCGGCTGCTCACTGATTCGTCATCAGATGCTTCATCTGCAGGAGTTGCGTTCCGTCGTGGTCGACCAGGCTTGCGCTTGGCTTTTGGAGTGCCATCGTCTTCTTCCTTGATAGCTGCAGCACGTCCTCGTAAACTGCCCCCTCCTCGGATGACTTCTTTCTGTCCTCGTCTTCGTTCTCCACGCTTGGCCGGAGGTTGATGGCTGGTCTCCTCCGTGAGAGCTTTCCATTCCGGGAGATTGTAGGAGCGCTGCTTCTCGACGTTTTGCTGTGTGTAAGTGCCGAAAGTGCCGTTAAATTCCTGTGTGATGGGATTCTTTATCTTGACGCGCTTTACATATTCGTGCAGCTCGGGAAGAGACTCGCGCCTGCAGGGATGGTCAGTGCCCGCTGATCACGCTCCGGCGCGTGCGTACTTACCATTCTTGCGGAGGAACAACTTTTACAATACCAGATTTCATGCCATACTTGTCGATCTGCCCAATGAATTTCTGGAAGTCTGCAAATTGGGCCATGGTTGGCTTGAAGACGGGTATTCGGCCTCCATGCTCTCCGTCCCAGTAGTGATCCGGGAATATCTCCTCTTCCTCTTCCTCCAAATCAAGGTCGCTCAGTTCTGACTCGTCTCCATCGTGCTTGCGCTCATGGTCCTCTGATGTTGGTGGCGTCAAGACGGTCGCGGTCTGCTCTGTGGTCGGCTTGATATCGTGCGCATCGTGAGATTCGGGCGACAAGGCGCCCGCGGTTGCCATGATGGATTGTGTCCACCACTTCCGCGGTGGGCGCGTGGGTGTTGGTGTACTGCAGCGCGGTGTAGTGCGGCCGGCGTGTTGAAGGTCGAGATGCGAGGTGCGAGGGTGCGCTTCGAGGCGGGGCGGGCCGCCTCAAGCGACGTCGGCGGAGACAGGCAGCCTGCGCACACACACACTGCTGCAGTGCGCTCGACGCAGCGTTCAAAGGTTGAGAATCAGGAATGAATGCTCGCTGCGGGTTGAGCAAAAAGCACCAGACAGCTCGTGGAAAGAGAAGATGTGTGTGTCGCGGAGTGAAGGTACAAGAAATAGATACATGACGCTCTCGCCCTGGCAAGGGAACGAGCACTAGCCTTCAAGAACGCGCTAGCGCGACTTATCAGGCCACTAGCCCACCGAAACTCGTGAACAGGCTTCGTCTGGAAAAACGCTTATAGGAGAGGTTCATCGCTTGAAATAGTTTGTCAATGAGCAGCGAACATGAGTGATGCTTGATGGCCAAGAATCGGGACTTGGACACTATTTCATATCATTGCAATACAGGGGAAAGTCACGTGAGCGTCGCTGGACTGTTGGGAGGCATTCATGGAGTGTGTAAATGCATGCTATGAACATGCGTTGCAACAGCGGTTGGGCTATAGTCTTGTGTAGCTGTCTGGGAATGGTGATATAGCACGATCTGGTGGAGCTAGGGTCTCGAGCTTGGATGGCTTCACGCGCCGGAGCACAGCCGGACCTCAAATCAATCGCATTGCGAACACACAGGCTTCTAATCATTCCCAACCACCTTGATGAGTGTTGCGTGATGGGACCTACCTTCCCCCATCTTATTTCATCGTGCTCTGACTACTGGGAGTTGCGCAATGTGGATGTCGCGGTACCTTGCATCGATGCGCTAGATCCTGCAAGACATCTTTAATTCTCCGCCACAACCCCCGGGATCCACTCGCGTGGTAGACAAGCTCTGTGCATCAGCCAGGTACCGTTTCCCGAGCGTCAGGCCAGTGGCCGATTTGACGGCGCTACAAGCCTCGAGAACTTCTTGTGAGGACTACTGTTTATCGTCGAGGGGCCTTTGGTCAGATGACATGCACCGCGGAGTCCTCGGGAATGTCTCGTACTCACTTGTGCAATCCCTTCGGCGAGCTGACAGAGTGCATTGTATCAAGCGAGAATAATCGGTGCGAAACCTGAGAGCTCTGTCGTAGCGATGGCTTTGATGGAAAGTAGGATGGGACTTGCCTGATGCATTGCGGTGTGTTTCTAGGGCACGCTTCATCCAGCTGCCAGCAGCTTCGAGCTTGGCCCATCGCCGCGGGGAAACATCTCGTCACCCAACGCGTACGGACATCGGGTACATGTAATTGTGAGCTCGGTATGCTCGTCATTGCGTGTTCACATCTGTCATGGTCTTCATGTAGTATTCATAGCATTTTTCTTCAGGTCGGACGCTTCGCTCGTGGTGTTGAAGTCCAGGCATCCTTCGTCCTCGCACTGCCAAACATACCGCCACTTCGCGGAGTAGAAAGTCTGTCAGCAAGTGACCTTGCCGCAGGTGTCATGCCGCCGCTTTTAATGTTTGCACCGCTCGCAAATTTAGGTGTAGGCGTCCGTCCAGGAGTGATGCCCAGCTTTCGGAGTTGCTCTAATCTTCCACCGTCTTTTCTCCTGCTAGCATCTGCCTTTTCCACGAGCTTGTGGTGCAGCTCTTCCCGCTTGCTGCGTTCTTTGATGTTGAAAGGACTGATTCCATGTTCATCTAGCTTTGGTAGGAATTGTTTTGCAGCTTCCTGCTCAGCAGCATCTGCCTCTTCATCTGTGACAGGCACTCCCATCTCGCCGGGTGTGGGTTCTGCATCTACAAAGGCATAGCCGTTAACGCGAGGTGTTTCTGCACCCGAATAGCCATTTTCAGACTCCGTAGCCCTTGCTCTGCCCGCAATCGCAGCATCGATGGCGCTCATAGAAGGGCTTGGCGGCACAGCGGTGTCTGCAGCCGGGCGATTATCTGGGAATCTAGTCCCAGGATAATTTACACTTTTCGGCGGGGCATTCGAGACCAGCTCGGCTTTTTGCGCCCTTGTCACTACAAGATCTTCTACGCCCTCTGGACCAAACATGAAATGATTTCGTGGACCCTGCCGGCTGGGAAAGCTGTCCACAGAAGCAGGCCTCGCATCTAGATCCTGAGAGGGTCTCGCTGTGACTACTTGCATCGATGTATCATCGGACCCGGTTGTTCTGATCAAAGCTGTGGACGAGCTCTCGCCATTGTCGATCCGCTTTTTCTCCTTCTCACGCCAGGCGATTTGTCGCGCAGTGGGTATCTTGTTACCATGATGGAAGAATCCGTACTTGGCAGCCCGCTTCTCGTTCTGCCGGTCCAGCAGCGCGTTAAAGCTTTCGTTGTCCTCTGACGTGTACTTTGCTTGGAAAGCTGCCAGCGACATGTTCACGTCCACGTCTGGCCTCTCTTCTTCAGGCGCGAAGTGATCTGTATCAAGTGGTGTTCGTCCCGGGGTCTCTCCGACGAAATTTCTCGGGGTATCGCCCACTGCTGTCGTTCTTTGCGGAGTGAAACTTGTTCCTCTCCCTGCTCGCCTCCTGCTGTCTGGTCCAGGCGTCATCACTGTGGTCAGGTTCCTGCCAGCTTCTCGAATCCAGTCCTTGTTATGGCTATCGAGTGCATCCATATACTCTTTCTGCGCCTCGGTCTCCAATAAACCTGGAAAGAAATCTCGTGCGATGATGTGCGATACCGCTTCGGCGTACACATCTTCGTCCAACAACTTCGCCGGCCGCTTCTGTCTTTTTGGAGGGGGCGGTGGAGGCATCAGCGCCGAGTCGGAGTTGCGCTTCGCGAGCGCCTGGCTGTTCGAGCTTGCCATGGCGTGTAAGTGGAGCGGTAGAAGCACATGAAGTCCAAGATAGGTCGTGATCAGGCTGGAGGAGCGTCAGGGTGTATTCCACGCATGTGCAAGATAGCGGCGGCGTGCTTCAAGAAGTGCAGCCATCAGATTAGATGAGGTGAGAATGAGCTCGCAGAGCTTATATAAGGAGTATTAGTCCGGCTGTTGCTACCCGCACCCGTAAACAGCTCAGTCTGGAATTCACAGTGCTGCACTTTCCTCATTTATCACGCAACGCAATTCGCTGACAGAATCTCGTGTTTCTACTTTGGATCAACTCTCGCCCTTCAGAACTGCCATCACCACCGTCTCAAATCCACATACGAGACCGAGACCCGCCGCGGAGCAACAAAATGGCAGCTGCCGCAGTCGAGAACCCCATGCCCGTGACCGACTCCAAGTCTGCACGCAAGAAGAAGGCAAAGGCTGAGGCTACTACTGCTACCAATGGGTCCGTAAGTGGCGCTGCGGTCACACCTCAAGCAGTCTCCAAGGACGAGTCTGCGGCAGCTGAGGATGTGTCTGGAGAGCACGCATACATCAAAGAGCTGCAGAAGCAAATCCGCAACACCACCAAAAAGCTGAGCAGTCTGGCAAAGGTTGACGCCATTTTGTCAGAGAACCCAGGCGTGTCGCTTGACGACCTTGTTGCTCAGCGCAAGATCAACAACGACCAGAGAGCGGCTGCCCAGAAGAAGCCTCAACTGCAGGCTCAACTGGTCGATCTTGAGGAGCGCATAGAACATTACCGCAAGTTGGACCAAGACTATCAGGCCAAGTTCACAAAGCAGCGCGACGAGCTCGCGTCGCAACATGAGCAGACCACCGCCAAGCTGAGGAAGGAGCTGAGCCAAGACGCCTTCGAGACCGCGCAGAAGCTCCTGCGCCAGAAGCTGTTGACATTTTCCCAGTTCCTTCGCTGTGCAGCTGCTAAGCGCAATGCTGAAGAGGCCGTGGACGACGATGAGAGCAGGGCGTTTGAGGGAGCACTTTTATTGGTCTATGGAGGCGATCAGAAGGCCGTGGATACCGCCATGAACCTCATCGATGGCAGCAACGAGACCGTGCCCAACATCGACGGCGAGCCATTGCAATTCACGTGTGAGTATAGTCCCGCCCTCTTATGATCAACACGTGCTCATCGTTCATACCATCACGTGCTGAATTTCCTGCTTTGTACATCGACGCTAACGTGGATCACAGTCGCACAAGTCAAGGAGGTCTCGTTGAAGTACACGCCATTCGCTAATGAAGAGACCTGGGTTGACCAGGTCGCCGATGCGACCAGCGGTGAAGCCCCGCAGCCACCCTCCGACAGTGCTGCAGCCACATCCGATCCCACAATCGTAAATGCAGGCCTCACCGAGCTGGAGGCATCGACCGTGCCGAATGGTCACGTCGAGCCTACATCTGCTCCTCTATCTGGTGAAGCAGCAGGCAACGTTGCTGGAGAGCGCTGGGATGCGGACGCCGCTGGAACCTCTGCAGGTGCCCAGCAAGGCAGTCTCCAGGAGAGCTACGAGATTGTCCCTCGCCCTTCCGAAGAGGTGGAGATTCCAGCTGAGACTCCCGCTCCGACACAACAACAAGGTACAAGCTGGGCTGAAGAGTCACACGAGGCTGCGACTGGCAACCAAGCTGGAGAATCATGGCACACCAAAGCTCCAGGAGAGCAAGACAATAGCTGGGGCGACAGCGCTGCGGACACTCTAGCTCCAACGACGGATGCAGATGGCTTCAGCGAGGTTCCTGGCCGTACTCGTGGGCGCGGTGGCTTCCGTGGCAGAGGTGATGATGAGTTCCGTGGGCGCGGCGGACGTCGTGGCAACTTCCGCGGTCGTGGAGATGGCGAGTTCAGAGGCGGCCGAGGCGGCGGTCGAGGCCGTGGCGAGGGAGGCGAGTTCAGGGGCCGTGGCCGTGGACGCGGTGGTCCCCGCGGTGGTGCAGCGGCTCCGGCAGCATCTTAAGGAGATGCTGAATGGTAGACCATGCCACCTAGGCAAGATCACGATGATGCACGAAGCACGATCGAGGACTCCGCAAGTCGAAAGAGGACGATTGATCTCAATAAATGCTATAGCGTTCTAGCACCGCATGAATAGGTCACAGGAAGGTCGGAATGGGAACATGAATGTACAACACAAAAGCCATCTGCACTGCCAGATGAAGCTTCATGGGCGGCGGCGCCTTGGAGTGCGTTTGTATAGATAACATACCAAGCTGAAAACTCCTGAAACTACCTATGATGGTATGCAGACACACTGTGACGTCTCAAATGTCCATGATGTGCCCGCGTCAAATGATCTTCGAATCCTGAAGCTCTAGATCAAATACTTGACCATCTCCCCACCACTCGACGGCCTCCCATGCTGCAAAGTCTGATCTCCCATAGCATCAACATACCAAAACCAAACTTCTGCAACATTCCACAAGCATCCTTCGTCCAACTCACACAATTCTATCCCTCCTCAGGCAAAAGTACTTCATCCCTCAACAAACCCTCAATCTCAACATCTTTCAACACTTTTGTAATGCCAACAGCACCTAGAGATTGAATTTCGGTTGTGATACGGTATCTACTGGGCTTCGAACGCGGAACGGAATTCCCAGGCTCTGGTGATTGTGCTGGAGTCTGCGGCGTCGTAGAATGCACTTTCTGAGCATTTATCAAGCACGCTAGTAGAGTCAGCCAAATGTCACTCTGAGGTCCATTGCATCTTCCACTCCTCCAGAAGTCCACCGATGTAGCATCCCGAGAGTTTGATGATACCGTGATCCGACATCCCAAGCAAGATGATCATCTTCCTCGCATTTTGCCAAAATGCGTCGCTTGCGAGACGAGGGAAGATCGGTATGCCATATGTCAGACATAGTATTCCAAGACCAAGCAGAGCGCACCTTGACGGTCCGACACTCTTCACTCATATCCAGCCGGGTTATCTCTCATCTCGCCGGTCTTTCGCCTTCGCAGACAACAGCCTGCTTCAATAGCAGAGCATAAATTGCGTAAACATGAACGGAATCGTTGAAGGAAGTTGGTCAGCTTAGTCCGCAATATTGAGTTAAAGGGACTGGTTTTGACATGGAGAATAGGGTTGGGAATCGGGCTTTTTGTAGAAGTGTGCGAATGCTGATGAAGAGAGGAGGCTGAGGAGGTTACATGACCTGCTTGCCGACACCATAGGCTTGAATATCTTGAAGGTGTCATTACTTGCTGATCCTTGGTGTTTTTCTAGCTTGAGAATAGAAATCTGGCCTCAGAATTCTTGCTTCCTCCATGGGGCGTCGTGAAAGCTTCAAGATAGGCAACTGGAATTCATGACCACAGACCTTGAGGCTCCGTCGTCACTCGCAAATGCAAGCCTTGTCTTACATATGCTCACAACTGTACGATTGTGGACATGCTCTTTCTGTGATCGCGAACTGTCGGCTGCGTACACTGCCCTTTCGTGTTCTACGCCTCGCCCGCTGGACTAGAGACTGAAGCCTTGGGCAAGTATTGTGGGATATTCACGCCGATGGTGATCAAGCAAATGATAGCAGTTCTCGGCAGGCACAAAGGTGATGCACTGCCGATCCAGACACTTCAGGAGGAAGTCGATGAGGCTCTCGGCAAGGCTGAGATAGAGGGGCGCCACTTTCGATTCTATATGTGGTTCGGGCAGAAAAACACGATGTGAGTTTTTGGTAGGACTGAGAATGAGATGAAAATGAAGATACTCTCCATTGAATTATTGAAGCCTGTCGCATAGTTCTGAAGAGTGAAGTGATAGAATATATGCTGCCGCGCCGCGCCGCGCCTACGCGCCCCACTTCACTTCAACTTCGCGCAACACTCGCGTTGGTCGCGACATTGGCTTTCACCCACACCGCACCTTCACACTTGACTTTGACTCAATTGCACAGCGTGGAAATGGTCTGCTGTCAACTACTAACAGCTTTCACTTAGAACGCTGTACGGCTTTTCACGGCGATGCTCCTCACCGCAACCACTGCACGACCTCGTGGGCGCCGATGATGGAGATCATCGACCTGACCTCCGATGCAGAAGACGAGTCACCTTCCAAGGTCCTGAAATCATTCAAGCCACGGAAAGATACCCGTAAAGAGCAAGGACGGTTGAAAGAGCGCAACGTGAATGGGCAAATTACACCTCACAGTACGGGTTTGGCAACGAAGTCGCTCGATGTCTCGCATGGTCAGCAAAGTGGAAGTGACCTTGGCCGTGCCTCGGAAGTGCGCAGACCCTCGTCATCCATAAACGGCGCAACTTCAACTTCAGTGCGGCCTACACCAGCTCCCAGAAATGGACCGACAAGTGGATCCCGTACTGCTCAGAAAGATGTGGCTTCGCAAAGAGGCTTTTTGTCCAAGGCACATGAAGCCGCGCTTGGCACGCCTGCCAGGAGACTGAGTATGGAGCTCAAGGACATCGATCAGAACCTACAGAAATCGATGCGGCAATCTGAGGCTGAGAGACAGGAAAGACTTACAAAGGCGAACATGTTCCAAGAGCGCCGCGTGTCAGCCAACACTTCGTCAAACCCTTTGACAGCTGTAACGGCAGCCATTGCAGCGAAGAGCAGAGATTCGGGCAGTGCAGGGCGGACCAAGGCCCACGGTGACTTCTTCAGCCTGTATAAGAATGGACAGAACGCCCCATCGAACGTGGACAGGATCAAGCCCCCGACCTTCTTTGAGAACGCAAGAGTAGCTCCGAATGAGCAGCGACATACGGGACCAGTGCTATCCGGTCCCGGCATTGCTATTAGCAGATTGACTCACACGCAGCCGCAGACAGACTCACCCTCAACGAAGAATGGGTTCAAACGTCCTTACTCGGACGATTCTCCTAAAATCGCCCAAAAGCCTGTCACTAAGCGGCCTCGCACTGCAGAGACAGACGTCAGTCTGAGCGAGCTGTTGCAGCATGCCAACAGCCAGACAAAAACAGCGCAGCAGACTAGCGAACCCTCGCAACGGAAAGCACCTGCAAGTAAGCGCCAAAGTGTATTGAACGATGTTACCGACAGGAACTTCGAGCGCATTTCGTACAGTGACGAGCCAGAGCCAGAGCCAGCTCCACTAAGCACGTCTCGGCCGCACAAATTAGATCTGATACAGTCGATACTCTCAAAGCTTCCGGACTTGCCGCCGAACAAGCCAACATCACAGCGTACTGGCAAAGACTTGGGAAACAAATTCGGACAGGAGTACACCGCTGAGGAAGACATTCTTCTAAAGCGACTCAAGGAAGTCGACCAGGTGACATGGCATGACATGCCCAAGCATTTTGAGGGCCGAACAGCGGCCTCTCTGCAGACTCGATACTCAAATAAGCTGAAAGGTAAACTTTTCCCAGCGAGCAGTCCCTCTCCGGCCGTCGACAAAGAGCCTGCGCCAGAATCCGCTGCAGTTTCGTCGCAATTGCAGCCGAGGCCGCGGCGTCCTTCGCCTGCCGAGCAGCATCAGAAGGCATCTAAACCCACCGTCATCGCATCAACTCCAGGACCTAAGAAGCCGGGGGGAAGGTATTCTGACGAGGATGATGCCTTGATACGCACCCTCAAGGAAGTCAACAAATTGAGCTTCGAAGAGATGCTGCGATATTTCCCGGAACGTGCTGCCGGATCGCTCGCTGTACGCTACTACACGAAAAGCAAATTCGTTGCGCTTCTGCCAAACGATCATCCTCGCATGGTTCCTCTGGAAAGAGCAGATTCGCAGGAATATGCTGAGCAGCCCAAAGTCAAGCGCCAGAGACGGAGCGCACCTGCGGCGACTGAGGGCGTTGTGTCCTGGAATACTGCTCGGTCCATTATGAGGAATGATACTCCAGCGAGCGAAAGCGTCGATATATACGCAAAGACTGCGCCTGATTCTAGCGCCTTTCTCAATCAAGACATTGCGTTTCCAAAGTCTGTAACTCAAATCCTGCGCCAGCGAGAGACTGGCAGCACAGGGGGCCGCCGTTCGTGGACTTCGTCTAGGTGCTCCGTACCTGAGGAGCTTAAAAACCATGCCTTGGATGACTACACCTTGCAAAAGTTCTATCACGGCACCTCAGGCGACGTCGTGGGCCTATCTTGGTCCGAGTCTGGAAAGTACTTCGCTGCTGGATCCATTGCGATTACCGATGCCCAATCTCAACAGTACAATATGAGTCGTAACCTGCTGGTCGGCGACAATGAGCGCGGTGAGCTACAAGAGTTGTCAGATCACCATGTGCCGCGCCCAGTCATCAGTGAAGCCAACAATGTCAACGCGCTGCGTTCAATGCAACAATCACAAGATTCTCGATTGTTCATGACTGTCACAAGCACGGCTTTCTCTCAAGTACAAGATCGCGAGCCTTGGTTGTTTACAGCTGGAACCGACAGGATGCTAAGAAAGTACACCATCAAGGACTGTTCGTCAGGCGAGCGAAGCGGTATCAGAGAGACCAAAGCGAGCTATGCTGTCGAGCACTGTGCTTCAGTAGATCTTCTGGCCATGCATCCAGACGGCCTAGTTGCTACAGGATGCCATGCAGCAGGCGACAGCATTAAGGTCTTTGATTGTGAACGCGACGACTATGGCTGTAAGTTTACCGGCTCTCCGAATCGTAGTGACCTTCAGACCTCAGCCGCTATATATCCCTCGGCCTTGAAATGGGGAGAGCACCCTGTCCATCGGCGCTTTCTCCTTGCCGGATTTTCAGGAGATGAAGACAAGCAGCTAGCGGGAGAGACTGCTTTATGGGATGTCGAATATGGTCGACGAGAAGAGATGATTGGCACAACGCGCAACGTATTTGACGTTGCCTGGAACCCCTGTCCTAGTGCGGCTTCTGTAGCATTTGGCGTGGCGTCCAACCCGAGTTCCATCAACCTTGGTAGAGGTATGCGCACTGCTATACAGTGTTTTGCTCCGCTCGATACTGGAATCAGAAGAGTCATCACTTGGGAGTGCCCAGCCTTGGACATCAATGATCTTGTCTTCTGCCCTCACGATGACAACCTAGTCGCTGCGGGCGCTACCAATGGCAAAGTCTACATTTGGGACAAACGCTGGGCTGGACAGCATCAAAAGCCGTGGCACATACTGTCTCATGGCGAGTCGTTGAACGTACTCCCTCACGATCGTGCTCGAGAAGAGACAGATACTGGCGTCCGTTTCCTCTCTTGGGGTGCAACGAAGAGTCGTCTCTATTCAGGCTCATCAGACGGCATTGTAAAGGTTTGGAACCCGTATCGAGCTGAGAATTGTGCCCACATATCCGACATAGATGTGCCGCGCCAGCATCGTTCAGCTGTGATGTCAGGCGCATTTAGCCCAGATCATCGCGAGCTGCTCATCGGTACGGAGAACGGGCGAATAAATGCGTTCATGATTGGAGGAGGTGCTGTGCACAAGGCAAAACAGTTCAAGCTTCACACTGCTCCTGCGCCACAGCAAGAGAACGAGAGCTTGCACGATCTGGCAAGCGCTCTGGCCGAGTCCGACACTATCGTCTTCCGCCCTTGCGGCGCCATGCCAATCATTCAGGCAGTGCAAGGACACAATTATCAAGGCCCGTTCCTTGCTCCCTCTGCAGAGCAATTGGGCCAGGCAGAGCAGAAACTTCGGCAAGCGCAGGACGAGCAGAACGATATCGAGACACAATTGGCAGAACAAGGCCTCAGTAACTTCGAGACCGACAGCTTGATGAAAGCGCAGACGCGCGTCAAAGAGGCTCAGACTGCAATTGAAGATCTTCGAGATCGTCTGGATTTTGCTGAAACCTCGCGTCCCAAAGCTAGGGCATTCCAAAAATCTTTAGTAAAAGCAGAGAGGGAGCGTAACGCTTTGCAGGAAAAAGCAAACGAGCTCTTTGGCAGAGACGTCGAGCGATGCACATTGCCTTGCGCTCACCTACCTACCTCAGAAGAGCTTGATGATAATGGTCGTTCGAAGCTTCGCGTTCCTGGCCTCCTATCATCCATAAGCAATCAAGGACTCGCGAGAACGCGCCTCGACGCTGAGGATAAAGCAGAGACGTGCACCTTCTGCGAGCCGCAGAATGCCAAGCTTACACGCGGGAAACGTACCAAGTGTCTAACATGCATGCTAAAGCATCTCGGTTTAAGTACAGAGTGTGTACGATGTTCTGCGCCGGCGCGCGTCGAGGTACAGAGCGGGAAAGCGCCACTATGCGAGCGCTGCAACTTCACTTGCTTCAGATGCTCGCAGCCCGTCAGCTTCTCTAGGGACACCTATTCGATCACGTGCGAAGCTTGTAGCATTTCTTGGGAAGCTGGTGTTTTAGGTTACGAAGTTGTGAACTTCCCAAGACGCGAAAGCTCAACTCAGAACAAAGTCGCGCAGGACGACTCTTACGACGATGACGACTTTGGTCGCTTGGAAATAGAGCGGTTGGCATCGAGATTCGAAGTTCAAGAGGAAGACTCATACAATGCATATTGAGAGCATAGATACCCAACAAGTAATCTAACAAGATCATGATTCTTTCATGGCCAGCTTAGTTTCCGTCTCCACCCCTAACTCTCCATCTTCATCAATCGGATGCGGCTTACCCTCGAGCGTAGGATCCGCATCTTGCACGACGGGAGGACCAGTGAAGTTCTTTCGGCCGTGGATGATGTACCAAGCAAAACTCATTGCTGCGAATCCAACAAAGACAACGCTAGCGTAGTTCATTGATCCAGCGGTGACTGGGAGACTGCGAGCAGGTTAGTATACTGAATATCAAACATGTCGTGATGAACTGACCTGACTGGCATGCAGAAAAGTGCAATGGCCAAAGCAATCCAGCAAAGACACAAAATGTTAATGGCAAAACCGAACTTTCCCAGAGGGAAGGACGAGTACTTTACCATTTTCCTTCCTCGTAGCACAGATACCAGGATGGGTAGGCCGTATCCGCATGACAGACAGATGGTGGCTACACCAGTGAAGCTGTTGAATGCAGCTGTCGAGCCAAAGTAGATCAGACCTAGCAGACAGTCGACAATAGTCGACAAAACCAGGCCCCAAAGTGGAATATCGAGAGTCTTGTTCGTTGTGCCCAGCCATTTGTATCCAGGAATGGCACCATCTCTCGCAAACGCATACGTGCATCGACTCGACGCCGTGAGAGCGCCAACACCAGCAAAGAACAAGATGCCCAAGATCAAAAACAACAGCCCAAAACCTCCTGCGGCCGAACCAGTGACAATCTTGAAAAGTGTCCCAATAGGCTGTCCGCTCGCCACATCCAACAGCGTCTGAATGTCCGGCAAAACAAACAGAAGTGGGATCAAATAAATGATCCCCGTAACGCCCGCCGCGGCAACGGACAATACCATAGCTTTAGGAACCTCTCTCGCAGGATTCTGTACTTCCTCACACATCGACGCCACCAATCCATATCCCGTCAACGTATACGCCGCCTGCAGCAATCCGACGAAAAACGCCCAACCATCCGGCCACCCGCTGGCACTCGCATCATAATGCGCAAAAACAAACTCCCCGCTGCGATAGTTATCGCTCATCGCCAGCAACGTCACGATAATTATCAGCACGCTCGCCGCCGTCCAGGAAATACAAACCTTATTGATCAAGTCCAGGTATTTGCTCCCGAAGGCGTTGACGGCGAAACATACTCCCATCCATGCCCAGAACATGAGCACTGTTTGCCAGGAATTCGCACTCCAGTCTTCTCGCCACAATCCTATGGCCGAGAGAATCAGTTGTGCTCCCGAGAAGTTGATGGAGAGGGTCACGGTCCAGTTTCCCACGAGGTTGAACCAGCCCGTGATCCAGGAAGCGATAGGGGCGTATTTTCGTGTCGACATCATTGCGGACCAGTAGTATACACCTTCATCAAACACACATCCAAAAAAAATCAGCCTCATTCATTCATTCATCCATTCAAAAAAAAAACCCCCTCAACATTTGTTTTTTTCTTCTACTTACCCCCAGCCGTAGGATACACCGCACAAATCTCCGCCAAACTCGCCGCAATGCTCAAACTTATCAGCGACACCAACACCCATCCCCAGATTATCGTGACGGATTGGCCGTCGGTTAAGGTGATGTAGAGGGTGGTGGAGAGGCCGAAGGGCACGGCCATGATGGCGAAAGATAGGCCTAGAATGCTTAACATGCTGAGAGAGCGTGGGAGGTCGGATGTGTAGCCCATTTTCGCGAGGTCGGCGTCTGCATTTTGGGCTTGGAGGGAGGATTGTCTTTGCGCTCGGCCGGTGGAGGAGAGGCGGCGTTTTATGGTGTGCATGATTTGTGAGGGGAGTGAGTGTCTTTGGAAGTAGAATTCGAAGGGAAGGTTTGAGGAGTGTAGAATAGTATGAGATTATAATTCTCGGCTCGTGTCGCGGAGTCCGTGGTATCTTTGCTATCAGTGGAGATGATGCGGTGCCCAGTCACGCCCTGTCGCGTCTACGGCTCGAGGTCGGAAGTATTGTAGAGATACTAGGTAGAATCAGGAATCGGTCAAGCCGTCGGTTAACGTTACCGCGTGGTCGTCGCGTGGGCCCTTTTAGTCTTTGCATTACGTTCGATAGAGATGTAGACTCACGGTGTATTTAATTTCCGGGCTTATGAACACGGTGTTCACTATATGAACATATACGAGACACAGATTGGTTAGCAAGTGGATCTAGTTATTATAGCGTATCCTATACAAAGTAGAACAATGAAGGAAATAAGACATGTAGAAGGTATATAGTGACAATCTTAGTATAGACAACAGCCCTACTGGCTGTTACTGTCGGCAGTGAGGTCGACAGCGTTGTTGCCGCTATCTTCGTCTATATTATCGCCGCCATTGATACTAACACGAAAGAACGCGAACAAACACGCCCTCGAGGTAGTACGGACCGGGGCATAAAAAAATCTCTGCAGCGCCAGTGCTTCGAGAACCCGGCTAGGGCGGCAAACCAGCCATTCTAGCCATTCTAGCTACTTATCTAAGTGATTATTACTAATCTTATATTCACCTACGTGTTCATAAGACACGCGCTAAGGTGGTCTGTGTTCACCGTGTAATAACGGTGATGTTCACGGCTGTGCCATTGTGTACAACATCTCTAACGTTCGATGCTCTAGCGCCTTTTGAGCAGGTCTTAGCGTGGTTCTACAAAAAGGAAGAGTAAGTACGAATTGGGTTTAGATGAGGCTTGCCAAGAAATCGTTATCAATGGGTCTAGGCTGTGTGAGATAGGGTTGTGTAGAATAGCAGAAGGTCATAATGATATACAACTAGCCTGGCAAGATATATACAACAGAAGTAGCACCATTATCTACAGAAAAACCCATGCTAGGCCGTGAAAGATCTTCAATCCATCCCAATCAGTTTTGTTCGTTGTTCGTATGCGATCAGTGTCGACAACATTTCATGTCGTTGGCTCTCTTTTAAAACCCACTCCGATAAGTATTCCACAACGTCTGGATCCTCGAAACCTGTCCAGGCGTGAAGTTCGTGTAGCAAGAATCAGAAGAGTAATCCATGTAATTATGAATTGGATCAACACCCGTGGCTGAGGGACAACTATCCTTCGCCGGCTTCGTGGGACAACCGTCCGTACTGGTAGATTGCATGGGAGTATCTGCAATCATATCGCCATCGCCGGTACAAGAGTAACCCTCAAAGGTATGCAGCAGACCAAGCCAGTGACCAGTTTCGTGAACTGCAGTCATGCCCAGATTGTAGCCAGTCATGGAACCGCCGGGCATGGTGTTGGCGTTGATGTTGCAGCCATCGGTGTAGTATTGGCTTGGTAGGGTCTGCGCCGTCACTTGTGAAGGTAGAGTGCATGTGCCAAGGATACCGCCTGTAAGATCGGAGTGGAAATAGAGGTTGAGGTCTTTGTACGTGCCGACACGGAGGGCTTTCTTGGCATCGTCCATTGCAGTGCCATCGCCTACAGACCATGCATCATTGGGTGTGAATGACGTATTGACCAGGTTGAAAGACACTCCGATCGGGTTGTAGGCTTTGTTCAGAGCAGCTGCTTGTTGCGTAGCCATGTCTTGGGTGATCTGGCCAGACTTGGCAGTGGTTGTGAGAACATGAAAGTATGTTTGGATTGTAATGGCTGGGCTGACGGTCTGTCTTCTCGAAATCGCTTGGAGGCCATTTGGTCTTCTGCTGTTTCGAAGCAGAAACTTGGTTGTGTCGTTGAAATGTGCCGAAGCCTTGCCCCGGTTGACATCGCAGTCGAAATGGCGGATGGTTATATTCGTTGCAGGATCCACGAATGTCGAGATCTTAGCTGACGCCACTGCAATGCAGGCTGCCAAGGCGGTGATCGTAAAGGTCTTCATCTTTCCGTACTGTGACTTCCGCGTTCAGCGAAAGGCGGATCGGGGTCAGAAGTTATCGGCAGATCCGAGGAATGTATGCTGTACACGTGGTCGTCTAGCCGACTTTGAAGAATGTGCAAGTAATTTATGTACAAGAATGATCGATCACCACGTCGTTGTACAAGTGTACATCTGTTTCTTGGCGGGTAGAAGAGTTCTCGCTGATATTTATCCAGATCGCCATTGCGTTCTAGGTTTCCAGCACCAGGCCGCGACCTTCAACGGGGTCGACGTTTGCGGCTACATTTGACATGAAACCAAGACGTCGGATACTCAACAAAGGTGCTACCAGTTCTGTGGGTTGCCACATGCACAGGGATTCTCCAGTTGAAACAGCAAATCTAGACCGGCGAGAGGAATCGGCGACGGCAACTAAACTATTAGCAGACATGTGTAGCTGTTCCAGTCGGTTGTGCGGCTCCGCTTTACTGTGTACTGGTACCACGCTATCCGAGCAAAGAACTGGAAATGCTCGGATGGCTGCAATGGGACAATCTCACAAAAGAGCTGGGTCGCCCGAATGAAAGAAGGGTTCAGCAATGGTGTGGAGGAAAGACGTAGGGACGACGTAGCAGATGCGTGAGATCTGGATCGTGACGAGTAGATTTCGAGCCAACATACAAGGCACTTGTAGGCATCGGTGCCACCGGCAAAGCGTGTGGGTAGTAAGCCGACTGTACCCCAGTAAACGCCTTGAGCCCCGAACTCCTGATCCGACCGCGTATCTCTAACAATGAATAATGGACGTCTCGGTTCATGCTGCTTCGTTAGTTCTGGGCGCTCTCCCGGTTGTAGTTGCCGTTGAGGGCTGGTCTGTGTTCCAAGTAAGGTAACTATGGTCTCCAAGTTTTCTATTGAAACATTCGAATTAGCTGCCGCAGTCTGGAGGCTCTGATGGTCAGACGTGAAGACTTACCTTGGTTTGATTAATTGGGTCACGGTGAATAGGCCGCCAAGCAGGATGCAGAGCCCTCCCACGACAATGTATGCGATGCCAAGGAACGGATTCCTGCCGCCCATCACTGTTCTTGTGGAGATTAAAATGGACTTTGTGCCGTCGTAGACCGTGACGGGAAAGTCTGCAAGGGACAAACGTTAGCAGCCAACCTGAAGCGTGAATCTTGCCAAGACTTCGCACTTACAATCATGTATTCTAATCTCGTATCTGCCGATCGCCATGCTCTCATTGTCATTTCTAAGGGCCAACTTGCTGAACGTGGGAAGACCGGCGGTACGCATCCAGACATGGAATTCCTCCCACGTCTTGAGATTTGGCTGTGGGAAGCTGGCGTTGTATTCTGGATATCTCTCTCGCCAGTTTGGAGGTGGGACGACCTGATCATCTGTATAAGGTGATTTGCCATAGAGGTCACGATCTGAAGACCAAGCAATACCGTCATTGGTCATGTTATAGGTAATATTGCTTGAGCTCTCGCCTTGTGGGTTGAGCAAGACAGGTGCAAAGAAGGTGTCGTTGAACATGGAGTTTGCGATCAGTCCGCACGGATAGTATGGCTTTTCCGCGCCGTCGGTATCCCTTCCTTGTCGGAGAGGATCGCAGTCGCTGCCTGATATCGAGCTGTTATCCCGGAATGTGCCCTTCAGTTGATCTTGATCGAACGATTGCACATATCGACGGTGGTTCTGGTAGAAGTTCGTGAGCTGATAGTACAGCAGCACAGGCGGCCCAATCTTGTCCGGCATGGAGAATTGTACTCGGCATTGGGTGGTGGGAAGGCTGATCTCATTGTTTTGGCCATAGTTGACCTTGACCGTCTCCTTGCACCACGTCGGAGCGTCTCCGGCATCTGTGCTGTTCTTGAAATGGGCAGTGATGGCGCCACGGGGCATAGTCTTGAAGCCGGCGCTGCACAATGGCGCGGTGGCATTGCATTTCGAGTAGTCGATGGTGATCTCCTGGACGGTCGAGCTGGCCCACAACAGAAGAGCGCCAATGGGCGCAAAGATGATGCCGACGGCGAAGAACAGCGGCAAGACGGTCTTGGGGGTGAGGATGGGTTGCCACGCCTTCAGTCGCTGTTGTCGAAACGCATTATCTGTCCGAGGCCATCAGCTTCTCGATGTCCTCCGTACTGCCTGCTAGCCCGTGTCTCCAGGCTGCGCATCTTACTGGGTGGCCTCCTGCTCTTCTGCTGCTCCTTCTTCTGTTCCTCCTCGCTCTCGCGCGCGCTGTTGTTGTCCGTCTGCAACTCCATGGTTTGCGACATGCTGTTAGGGCGGCGAAAGGGACATCGGGAATGTAGAGTCGCATACAACAACAGTATTGCTTACGAGGTGCTGCACTCAGCCATCGGAGCCGCGCTGCACCGGCTTTAGCGCCTTGCACGTTGCAGGGTCTGGCTGTCGCTGTTCGTCAACTGCACGTGAGGCCTGAGCCTGAGCCGCATGGTCAGCGGCCGAACAATTCATGATGGATGATGCATATTCAGTCGTGAGACGTCCAATCACAATAATCGTGGTATCCTGTGCTATACTCTATAGTGATATGCTTGATATGCTTCCGTCCGCGTATGTGATGCATCAATCGCACTCCGGCCCTTCTCCTCTGCTCGCTCCATCGATCCGACAGTGATCCGAGCTGGTATGGTATGGCACATCTCTATAATCTCGCCTGAACGCTCACATTGCTAAAGCACGGCACAGCATGTAATGCAACTTCTCTCACTGATCGTCGTCTTGGCCGATTCGCTTGTATTTCCCACTTCCACTGCCGTTCGCATCACCTCCGCCGCTCTTCATGCGATCTGCCATATTGCTGATCCAGCCGGCGACACCTTCGCCTCTTTCGCCTTGCTTGATGATTGGCTTGCCATCTTGCACCTCGACTTCCGGAGGCTGTAGGTCCATATTGGGAATCTGGCCACCTGTTTGATCGTCGCCGAGTCGGAAAGAGGGCACAGGAGAGCGGTTGCCGCTGAAAAGAGACTCTACTTCGGCCAATGTTTCTGGAGTGGGGGCGATTGTGGTGGCATCTCCAAAAATGGAATTCATATCTTCGAGACGAATGTTCGCTGTTTCTGGGTAGATGAACCATACTGCTCCCTGTCAGTAATGCATTTGAACCATCACTGCAACTCGACTTACCAACTACGAAACTAACAGCGCAGAAGAATGCGTGTAGTAAGTAAAGTCTCCACTTGATGGCTTGCTGCAAAATAGGAGTCATCTCACCAACAAGCCAGTTGAAGGCCCAATTGGTCGCAGTCGACAGACTCGCGCCCTTGGCTCTGATGCTGAGCGGCAGGATTTCCGGAGGATATAGCCATGGGATCGGACCCCATGAATATCCAAAAGCTGCGTTGTAAATCATCACAAAGATGACGACCAAAGTCGGCGTCAGATGGATGTCCACGTAAATGAAGTACGAGATTGCTGAGAGAGATATCACCATGGCGATGGCACCGGAAAGCAGGATGAACCTGCGTCCGAGCCGGTCCACCACGTACCACGGAGGCACGGTCGATGCCAGGTAGGTGATTCCGTTGATTCCAGTCATGAGAATGGCGTCTCGTCCAACCCAACCGGCCTGCTCGAACACCAGCGGAGCATAATATGAGATGACATTAATGCCATTCAATTGAGCGAGAGCTTGCGCAGACATGGCAATGAAGACGCGCTTGTAGTAGCGCTTGAACATGTCCCTGTAGGACCGCTCGCCTTCTTGGCGTTGCAGCAAAACGTTCATCTTGATCTCGCGGTACTCATCGCGAGCCTTCTGGTTGTGGATATCGCCCTTTCCGTAAAGGTTCGCGATTACGACAATGCCCTCCTCATCATGGTCATTGTCTAGTAGCCATCTCGGCGATTCAACGATCAAGAAGCTACCCACTGCGAGCAGACCTCCCATGACTACCTGCATGAGCAGAGGTAGACGCCAAGCCCAGTGTCCTTCAATGAAACTGCAGAAGTAATCCACCCAGACACTGCACATGTAGCCGAAAATGTTTCCAGAGAACTCGATGCATGCCAGCTTTCCACGGTTGTGGGGCGGGCTGATTTCGCTCTGGTAGACAGGCACAATCGTGCTTAACGCTCCAACACCCAACCCTGCAATGATTCTGCCCAGCATCATCATGGGCATGCCTGTTGCGAAAGTCTGGATGGCTCCTCCGACTACGAATATTAATGCGCCGTATAGGATAGTCTTTCTTCGTCCAAGGAGGTCACCAATTCGGCCAACAGAGAGGGAAGATATGAACGCTCCAATCTCCAGGATAGCTACCATGGTTCCTATCTCTGCTGCCGAGGGCTGATTGAAGTAGTCCTTGAAGTACGGACCCGTGATAATGCCCGACATCACGCCCTGGTCATAACCGAATAAGAACACTCCTAATGACACGAATATAGACAAGAAGTAGATGAGCTTCTTGCCATGCAGGCCGTGCATGCGTGCATGGTCATCGCTGGGTGCCATTGTTCTAGCTAGAAGTCGCTGTCCCCACCCAATGCGCCTGGGCGGTGGACTAGGTATTCTTATATCCTCCTTCCTCTTAACGACGCCAGGTTGGCGCGGCTTCTCGTCGTGTGAGCCGTTGGAGGCGTATCGTACACGCTTAGAGCGTCGGTTACGACCTCGTCGTGGCTGAGCCTCGAGACTCTCCCGTAAACGGGCAGCGAGAGGGTCTTCGTCGTCAGCAAGCTGATCGACGAGATCCCCAGTATCGCTCCAAAGTGAGAAATCAGAGGCGGCGTCGTCGTCAGAGTCAAAAGATCCGGAGCGCCGCCCGGGGCGTTGACGGTCTTCCTTCTCGTCGTACGACTCGCTACTCTGCCGTCTGCCAGAGGAGGACGAAAGGGTATGGAGAGGGATGTTGGCGGGTCTGCGATTCGAATTGCTGGCGAAGTTGAGCGGAATGATGAGTGCTACCGGGCTGTCTTCGCGCAGCCAGGCGAAGAAATTTAGTTGGCTGCTAAAATTCGAGCAGAAGCCAGGTGCTCTGGAATGTGTGTGCTGCAGAGCAGTGCTGTCTCATGCAGCTCGACGTATGATCACGTATCCTGGTAGGTCAACAGACTTCCAGCCGGGTGCTCATAGCAATGGCGGGAATGGAGACACGTGATGTTCCGATGGGCGAGGGGGAGGCATGTAACGAGCGGCGGTGCTGGCGGAGGAGGAGAAGGGTGGTGAAAGCGAGACTCGAGGCTTGTGCTGACGTTGAACAGAACTACGGAAAGATGTTATTCGTTCTATCCAACAGAATCGACACAAACTACGCCTGGCGATCGTCGCTTAGAATAGATCCCGAAAAGGGGGGGGTGCACGCCCAGTCCGACGTATTCGCGCCTGCATCTCACTATTATTTCCTTGCGCCCTCCTGCACATAGCGTTGAAAGGTCGTCACGGTGCACAAGGACGCTGCGCTGCGTGACCATCGAAGACTTCACGTCGTGACCGGTACACAGTACAACTACAACTACGCCAAGAAACACCGTCAGACGCTTCGTAAGCCAAATTCACCAGCCTGTCCTGATACCGAAGGAGTAGTTCTGGGAGTCTGAGTACAAGCAGAACCAGCGAAGCATCCAACTCAAATTACGACGCGTCTCTTGCGTCTCAAGCTGGAACGGGCGTCGAGGTCATTTGCATGTGAAGTGCTCGACGGCGGTAGAACAAATACCGCCATAGGAGCACCGCTGATGCTCAAGCATTCACCACGCATCTTCGATGTCGGAAATGAGCTCAGACGGGATTCCGTAGAACGAAAGGTTGCAATGGGTACTCCTCAACGTAATCTCCATTCGCATCTACGTGATGTGCCGCAAGTTCATCAGTCGTATATCTGTACATTCAGTGGAGGGTGTGCGAACACGTATCCAATCAATGCAAAACTCCCAGCAGATGCATAAGTATCTTCTCGCCCGCGCTTTTCAACACCTCCCATTCCAACGCCCGGGTATCATCGCAAAGTCGTAATGTACATTAGAATCGAGTTCGCCTATCGACCAACCTGATCGAGCCACAGTTGGGTCTCTCTTCGCAGAGCGCAAGCGCAGGCTCGTCCTTCCTCTTCCCATTGAACTGCCCCAGTAGCCAGTCTGTCACAGACACTACTCGAGTCATCTTGTCACAATGTCCACCTTCGTCTGTATGTTCAATAGTGTGTTTCTGAATGCGTCCTTGTTCATCGAACTCGAAAATGAAAACTCCACAAAACTCTTCGGCGTCCTCTTCACTCTTGTGTTTTGAGCCATCATTTCTGGTCCCGGAGATGAAGTCCTTGATCTTATCGACTGGATCCCTCGCTGCAGCCAGGCCCATGCCGCGGTATATACCTCCGGTGCCATCGCGCTGTGTAGTCTTCTTGCCACATGTCTTCCACTTGACTATCAGCTTTTCATCCCGATTTTGATGCTCCACACTACTGCCGCCATTGCGAACCATGCGCTCTGACAGGATGACGAGCTTGACGTTGCCGAATAGAGGCATTCGACCCCATGCCACAGGAGCCGTCCACAATGCAGCAACGTAGGCGATTCGTCCTGAAACTCGAGGGAGGTGTGGATGTGTCGAAGGGAAGAGATGTAGTGAAATATTCGGAGACAGAATGTCGGAGGGCAGCGGCTCTTTCAAAAGAGTTGGCAGGCGCTCGTGTAAAGTTCTAACTGTCTTGCCTAGTTGGAGCGTTCGTTCGTCGGGCGGCGAGTGGTCTCCATTTCCATCAAGGCCAGGAGGCACATACCGAGGCGCTGAGCTGGTGAACCAGATATCTCTGTTCCATTGTTCGGTATCGTTGACCTGTGCAAAGGATCTTTGCGCGAGGCAATTACAGTTTCGAAGGCATGAGTGCGGATCGCGACAGGGTCGGGAGCTTGAGGCCGCAGCGACAAATATCGTTCGCGTCGATGCGGTGGTTATCGAAGTACGATTGGGGAGGAAACACAATGGCGGACGCGGGCGCATCAGCCTAGACGGCGTCATCTGATATCACGCGCAAGATTTCGGTCCATTGATTGAGCGAAAGATTGAGCAGATGAGAGTGGCACGTCGGTGTAGCTCTCAGACAACGTAGAAATGACATGGATAATATGCGAAGCTTTCACGTGTCGAAGCTTAAAAAAAGCATGGACCTGTTCTGACATCACCCCAAAAGAGGAAGGAGATAGACAAGGACAGGACCTAGCACATTCAGGCTCTTTAATCAGCCGCCAAGGTGAGGAGTTTGTTCAACCTCTTCACAAGCATCTAAATATCTTCCATCTTCCAGCAGACCAGAAAGTTCTCATCTTCAACCATGGCGACAGGAGGCAAGCGTATCGTATTCACCGGCGGCTCTGGCAAGGCTGGACGCCACGTAATTCCATACCTGTTGAATCAGGGCCACAAAGTGAGTAAATCTCCACCCGAGTAGGAGCCAGTCTAACATGTCTAATACAGATCCTCAACCTCGACCTCGTGGACTTCCCAGATCCAAAGGCCGACGTCGTCACATTGAAATGTGATCTCACACAGAGCGGACAAGTCTTCAACGCACTTACTACCCATTACAGCATGGCGGGCTACGAAGATGGCGCTCCCGAACCACCTCCAGATGTAGTCATCCATTTCGGAGCATACGCAAGGAACATGATCGTGCCCGACAACGAGACATTCAAAGCGAACGTCGTTTCGACCGTGAGGCCTCGCCCCCATCCCAGCAGATCCATTCCCTAACCTTTCCATCTTCGCAGTACAACGTAATCGAAGCCGCCTCAAAGCTCGGCGTGAAAAAAATCATCATCGCCTCCAGCGAAACCACGTATGGCGTCTGCTTCGCCGAAGGCGACACCGACTACCACAGTTTCCCCTTGGAAGAAGACTACGACAACGACCCCATGGACTCCTACGCGCTATCAAAACTCTGCAACGAACGCACAGCACGCACCTTTGCGCGTCGCTACAACTCCGACATCTACGCCCTGCGCATGGGAAACGTCTTCGAACCGCACGAATACAACGAAAATTTCAAGAACTTCGTCGAGAACCCCATGCGCCGGAAACGTAATGCGTGGTCGTACATCGATGCTCGGGATTTGGGACAGATTTGTAATCTCTGTATCGAGAAGGATGGGCTTGGATATCAAGTTTTCAATGCGACGAATACGACCATCACGACGAAAATTCCTACGGAAACGTTTTTGAAGCAGGTTTGTCCGAATGTGCCGATTACGAGGAAGATGGATGAGTGGGAGGCGCCGTTGAGTAATCGGAAGATTCGAGAGGTGCTGGGGTTTGTGGAGGAGCATGATTGGAGGAAGTATGTCAAGGTTTGATGTGAGGACAACGATGTCCTCGTCGTATTTGTAGTTGCTGTGATGTTCGCACATGTCCTCAGTAAATGCTACATTACATCCCTCTGGTCGTCCATAGGCTGGTGGGCTGAAACATCGACTGGCCTCGACCCATAAACACGCGCTCCACTGGCAGAGCTCATGAAGCACATGAGTAAAGCGACCTGAGGACAAGGAAATATATAAAATATACCAAAGCGTCTCTTTCTTGCCGAATATATTCCAACCAAGTTCACCGTAGAGATCAGATTGTGCAATCAAGGCCGAAACTCCAAGCACAGCGACAAGATGGGCTTGAAATACTTTCCCGAAATCGATGATGAGCCACAATGGCAGCGAACGCCAAAAAGAAGCAAGTTCGCGTACCTTTCAGACTGGGACTGGGATGACGAGGAGCCTGTAACCTCCACAAACCCAGGAAGTAGCGGCCAGAAATCAACGCACGCTCGCTCGATCGTGAAATCTGCAATCAGTTTCGCCAAGAAAGGTCTAGAATTCCTGAAGCCAACAACCTCCATGAAAGCCGACGTGGGAAACGACAATGGTGGCATGGCCATGGGCGGGAAGGACGTAGGTGCTCAACAGGACTCATGCAAAAAACGCAGGGCGGCGTCTTTGGATGAAAAGCGTGCGAAGAGGGAGCGCGAGCACCAGTACATGGGTCGGCAGACGATTGTGACGGTGTGGCCGTGAAGGGTGGAGTGATGGTGTGTTGGGAAGTGTGTAGATTATTAGATTGGGATGCGGTGTGAGGAGGTGTTGTGGCGTGTGTCAGGCTGGGAAGTACCGAAGGTGTCATGCAGAAGAGCTGCTGGGTACTGAAGGCAAAGGCAAGAATGGCTCGCGACTCAGTAGCGTCATCTCGTCGAGCAGGTCGTCCATGGCTTTCGCGCGGCTTAGCAGTTGTCCTTACGGTAAATCTTGAAACCTCCAAAGTCCCAGACGCCAGCAGTAATTCCAGTGCTTCATCCTGTATGGAAAAAAAAAATGCAAATCCACCCTGAGCCAGCGTCTGACGATCTAGAGCAGTCCCCTCATGATTCCAACCACGCCAGAGGCACGCGTCGCCGAAGCACAGGAGAAGCGGCAGTCCAGAATCCCAGCATGTCCGAGAGAAATGGTGGTCTCATGTTAGGAGATCCCTGCGCTAGAGATGGAAAAGGTGTACGCCAGAGGAAGGGCGGCCTGAAATATACAAAATTCATTCAAAAGCTATAGAAGAGAGAAACTCTCCAGAGTCTCGTTCACTTCCGTCTCCACCTCTTCCAAAACCTCCACCCCTCACCTTCCTCCCCTCTCCTCCCACTTTTCCGCCGTCGACTCCCCACCCGCCACCAATACAGCGGCACACCGACCGCCAGAAACCCCAGCACAATCAACGCCTGCCAAGGCTTCGCAAACACAGCTCTGCTCAGCAAGAACAAGCTGACACAGCAAAAAATAACGGGCGTCGTAATCCAACATTTATAAGGTCTTTCCAATTCCGGTTCTTTGACTCTCAACACGATCAAGCCGACGACGACCGCGAAGTAGAAGAGGTAAGAAGCTACGCCGTAGAACGTCGTGAGCGTCGTGAAATCTCCGATGATGATGTAGAGGATTGTGAGGATGGCGTTGAGGGTCATGGCGTAGATGGGTGTGTAGAAGAAGCCTTGTTCATCGGCGAGGAAATGGGCGAGTTTTTTGCCTCCTCGACGTGGGAGACGCATGCGTCGTGAGGTGTCGGAGAAGCCGATTGTGGCGAAAAGTTCGGGGATGTAGCCTTCTTTTCCTGCGGAGTAGACGAGGCGGCCTGATGTGAAGGTTGTTGCGTTTAGGGCGCCGAAGCAAGAGCCTGCGACTGCGAGGGCGAGAAGGAGAGAACCGAGGGGCCCGAGGACGGTTGAGCCGAAGGATACTGCGATTGTGTTGCTTTTGTTGATGATGTCTGTTGGGAGGACGAAGATGTAGGCTAGGTTGGCGAGGAGGTAGGATAGTATGACCACGGGTAGGGCTGTGTGAATGACTCTTGGGAGGTCGCGGCTGGCGTGGACCATTTCGCCCGTGACATAGTTGGTGTTGTCCCATCCATCGTAAGCCCAGAGTCCGGCATAGAGTGCGACAGCCCATTCGGAGGACGACAAGGAGGTACCAGAAAACCAAGACGTATTTTTCCACTTCTGCGACAGCTCGTCCTTGTGATACGCCAAACCCGTAGTCGCCACGATCACCCCGGCTACCGTAACAGCTAGGAGTGCTGCAAATTTGAAAAACATGAAGAAATCCGCAGATCTTGTCCCCAGTTTCGTGCTCACACAATTGAGTCCCGTAACAATCAGCAGCCCTGCCAACGCAACGCCTTTATTTATCCAAGCACTCGCCTCCCCCGCCTCAGCGCCAATGATTGCGCGGACAACATACTCCCCAAATATAATCGCGATGATCGCCGCACTCCCAGGTTTGAGTACTACAACCGCACACCACGTAAACAAAAACCCAGCCCACTCCCCGAAAATTTTACTCAAATATATCTGCGCCCCTCCATTCAGCGGTATCGCACCTCCCAGCTCTGCATAACTCGCCGCGCCCGTCCATGCCAGAACACCCGAAATGATCCATACCGACAGCGCAGCAGCAGGACTCCCAGCGTTGAGGTTTACAGAAGCTGGAGAGCTGAAGATCCCACTCCCGATTATAAGACCCACAACCAGTGACAGTCCGTTTAAATATGTCAAACTCTTATTCCTTTCCAGACTCCCACCAGCTTCGGTAGAGAAGTGTGGAGTTGCGGGTGTTCCGAGACTTGTATATGCGCCGACTCCTCCTGCGGTAGCTGATAGAGGGAAGAGTGAGGAATTGAAATCAAAAGCACTGCTGACGGAATAACTTCTCCCATGAAAAGCTCTTCCAGATCCATTCATCGGTGTTGCCGGGTTCGAGAAGCTGAGTTTACGACTACTCGGCGGTCCGCCAGAGCTGCTGTCGAGGGAGTCGCGGCGGTCATGGTTGTTGGAAGAGGATGCGAGGGAGGCGAGTTCGAGGGAGTCGCGTGATGGGCGGAGAGGTTGATGCTGCATCTGTGGCAGAAGGACGATTCGATATGCGCGGATGTCGGGGATCAATGTTGCATACTACGGCGGTTATAGGCATGCGCGTGGACGGTTTGTGATCGTTGAGCGAAGAGCCATCGGTGCAGAAGAAAACAGCGGCCCGCACTGCCCATTGGGAGACGCGAACTGAGAAAAGTAGTGATGGGAGCAGATCATCGCACTCTGTCGGACTTGCCGCATGCCAAGATATCGTCCGCATTTGGTAACAATGACCTGGTCACACTCAACACTCAACCCTCATCCAACAACACCAACGTTGACGAGATGCTCGTGCAATCAGAACTGGAAAGTAATTTGAAACCGCTTTTTGGCTATCCGCTTTCTCTAGACAACCAAATGCATCGGGAAAAACAAATGAAAAGTTTCATGCCATAACCTCCTCAAGTACTTTCTCGTTTCATCACTGAAGTCCGTCGTGCAGGAGCATATGTTGCCTGCGCTGATCTAGTCGTGCTTTTCCATGACAGCATACCTGTATCAGCCACTGCAAAAGACGCCCGCAAATGCTCGACATCCTCCTCTGGGTATCCCAAGCACCTTCCATCTCATCAGCATTCTCATCGGCGCGCTGTTTAGAGCTTGTCGTAGTAGTTCTCGTAGCCTGGAACGTCTGGCTTGATACCCTTGCGCTTTCGCATCTCCTCGACGATCTTTCCTGGGTTGGTGGTCTTGTCGAGTGGTGAACCACCTGGAAGGATCTGCCAGTGGTCAAAAACTGACTGTGGGAAAGCCTGACCGGATGTATTGGATCGGAGATCTGCGTTGAATCCGAAAGACTCGTTGACGGGCAGGTATGCCTTGATGTTGAAGAGTGGAGTACCTGGACGCTGGACCTCCTCGAAAACGTGACCTCTTCGGCGGGTAAGCACACCGTAGATACCACCCATAGCCTGTTCTGGAACCTGGATCTCGACCAAGAAGACGGGCTCGAGAAGACCCGGGTCGGCAAGAAGAGTGGCGGCGTAGAGCACACGACGCGCAGTTGGAATGATCTGCCCACCACCACGGTGAATGGCATCAGTGTGGAGGGTAACATCCATGATGTTGAAGCGCACTGATCGCATTGGCTCCTCAGCAACTGGACCTTCCTTGGTCGCCCACTGGAAACCAGAGACGAAAGAATCCTTGATTTCGTTGAGGTACTGCACGGCCTTGGTCTGGTCGACGAGCAAGTTGGCGCCGTTGGTGTCTGGTCCGAAACACCAGATCTTACGGGCATCAGTCACGTCCCATCCGTGCTCGTCAGCAAGGATACGGGCACGGGCCTTGAAATCGTCGCGTGGTCCAATCTTGCCAGCCTCAATGTCCTTGCTCACTTCCTCAGCAAGAGGACAGGCAGTGACGTAGAGACGGTTGTGCTTGTTGGGTGATTTGGAAAGGGCCTGCATGCTGGACTCAGCACCGACGGTCTCACGGTACTGGACGACTGGGTCGGAAATGCGGAGTGGGACACCAGCGTGGTCCTCCTCGAGATCCTTCAAGCAAATTTCGAGATGGAGCTCACCGGCACCAGCAACGACGTGCTCACCAGACTCGTTGATGAGAGTAAGAACGCAAGGATCCGACTTGGACAGACGCTTGAGACCTTCGACAAGCTTGGGCAAATCGTTGGCGTTCTTGACTTCGACGGATCGCTGCACGACGGGCGAGACGGAGAACTTCATGACCTTGAGGTTGTGCGAGCTCTCCTCGGTGGTGAGGGTACCGGACTTGAGCAAGAACTGGTCAATACCGACCAGACCAAGAATGTTACCGGCTGGCACATCCTCAATTGGCTCGGTGTAGCGACCCATCATGAGAATGGTACGCTGGATAGACTTGACGAACAAGTCCTCCTTCTTGCCTGGAACGTAGTTTGGTCCCTGGATACGGACCTTGAGACCAGAGCGGGCGGTACCAGAGAAGACACGACCGAAAGCGTAGAAACGTCCCTTATCGGAAGTCGGCACCATCTTGGAGACGTACAACATGAGGGGACCCTTTGGATCACAGTCACGGATACCAATGGCAGAGATGTCGTCTGGAGGACCCTCGTACAGAGTCTCCATACGGTACTTCTGGGCAGTAGCTGGAGATGGAAGATGGAGAATCATCATCTCCATGAGGGCATCTGCGGCGGGCAAGAACTTGCGCATGACGACCTTGAGGAGTTGCTTGCCCTCAAGATCCTTCTCGTCACCGACAAGCTTGATCTCGAGCTTCTCGAGGAGCTTTGGAATCTCCTCCTTCTTGAAATTCATGATGGTGTCGAAAATGCGGAAAATTGGGTCCAAACAGAACTGGTTGAAGGCACGCTCAGCGCCCTCTGCAGACTTGGTCCACTTCTTGGTCTTGGCGTTGAAGTACGACTCGCCCTGCGAAAGGATCAGAACATGCGTTCAGCGGCAAGATTGGTGCAGAGAACTTACCCAAAGACGCTGCATCATCTTGGTCTTGTCGACACCAAACTTCTTGGAGTACTTGGCGGCGAACTGGCGGACGGTGAAAGCCCAGCCGTGGAGACCGGAACCGAAGGCGACGGTACCCTTCTCCGGGTAGACCTGGACATCACCAAGAGCCTTGTCGTAGTAGGTGGAGATGACGACGTTGACGGACTCGATGACACGAGAGAAGTTCTGGTACAGATCTTCCTTGGAAAGCTGGAGTTCGAGAAGAGCACGGTCGACCTTGTTGATGATGACGACTGGCTTGATACGCTCACCAAGGGCCTGTCGGAGCACAGTCTCGGTCTGCACGCACACACCTTCAATGGTGTCGACGACGACCAGGGCACCGTCAGTGACACGGAGAGCAGCAGTGACCTCAGACGAGAAGTCAACGTGACCTGGCGAGTCAATCAGGTTGACCAAGAAGTCGTTCTTCTCCGTCTTGACGGGGATATCCTTCAGGTCCTCTGGGTCGATGAGGGTGCCGTAGAGGGAGATGGCGGTCGACTTGATGGTGACACCTCGCTCTTGTTCATCGGCACGAGTGTCTGTAAAGCGCGCAGTACCGGCGTTCTTGGCTGAGATGATACCAGCTCGCTGGACGAGGGAGTCGGTGAGGGTGGACTTTCCGTGATCGACGTGGGCAATGACGGACATGTTACGGATGTTGATTGGGTTGTCCATGAGCTGGCCTGCCAACAGTCAGTGTCCGCCATCTTCCACGGCCGCCCCATGCATCACGCCGACTTACGGAGCTCCTCGACGGTGAACTGCACCATCTTGGCGGTGTTGTGCGGGTGTTGTTTCGAGGGGAAGAAGAGGAGGGTTTGGTATGCGTTGGGATGCCCCGCTTCGAGCGCTCTGTCAACGCGACCTCGAAGTAATTGTCGTGCCTATAGTTGATGTCAGAGGCAGGCAGCGACGAGGCGGACGGTGGATATTTGTACCTGTCAAAGGCTGGTGCTTGGGGTAGAGCGGTGATGGGCAGAGGCAAAGATTGGAAGAAGTGCTTGAAAATCAGCAAGGTGGGAAGGTGGGGTCCCTGCCGGCACTAGTCCCAATGAGGATCCCCGCTATAACGGTGAACGGTGTCATCGATGGCAGCGCCTCCGCCTCGAGCACTTCCATTTTCACATTTTCACGCGTGCAGGCCACAGCCGACTCAGCTTCCGGCCAACCAGACGTTTACGATGCTCGTTTCCATTGTGGCAGTGGCACTACAACCGAGCACAAATGTGAGTCACACCGATCTGAGCCAACACACACCAAAGTGATGGCCGGGCTGGATTTCGAAATTCGAATGTGCGCCCCGCGAAAACATTTCTCCGACTCCGAAACCATATTTTCTGCTGACATTTCTTGTGCGTGCTGTCTATGTGCCGCTCTCATCCTGTACAGGCCTCAATGCACGGTAAAAGACACATTATTCCCCCTCGACTCCGCGAGCATCTTCTTCTCAAGATGCCGCCTCCCTAACCGCTCCCCCCAGAATCTTCCCGTACGCATCCTCGACTTCTTTACACACTTCCAAAAGGGTCACAATGATGATCTGATGCGTGACATTCGGCAAGCGATCTCGGTGCAAGCCGACCCATTCGAGCGGTGGCGTTGCCTCTCCCATGTCTCGCAGTTGCGGCGTTTCGATGACTGCTGGCTCCAGAGCATGATACTCGTATCGACTCTGCGGCAGATTGATCTCAGCCGTAATCTTCTCCTGCGGCTGCGGCTGCGGCTGTGGCGCCGAGTCCCTGTCGCCACTGCTCGAAGGAGGCGAGGGAGAATCGGCAGCAGGTCCCTCAGCTTTGATCTTGACCGCTGATTCTGGGAGAGACTTGTCCAGCCGCGAGGCCAATGCCCGATAACCGGATTCCCACATGCCCTTGATGAAGTTGATGCGCGACAGGTTCCAGCCAACGTCAATCTTGCCATCGAAGAGTGACTTGAAGATGTAGTCCACTTCACATCCTTTCGGTGCCTGCCACGTCTGCATGCTCGCCACCACTTGAGGCACGCGTAAAATGATGCCTCCCTTTGCGTTCAGAGCACTGTTGATGACTTCATCCGCCGTCATCTCCAAAGCCTTGGGCACGGCAGTCATTCGGCGCACAGACGAAAGCGCGACCTGTAGCTGGCCAAGAGTCATGCCCAGTGCACATGTTATCCTTCCGCCTTCGAGGCCAACGGCAAATCGAGCTTGGATGTTGCTGGCCTCGAGCTTGAGCATTTGACTGTCGAAGAATGTGCTTGGGTACACTCCAAAACATATGCCACCCATCGTGACCACCACGTCGGTATGGAGTGAAATCGGGCTCTTCTCCGCTCTTTTCTCTGCCACCGGAGAGTCTGGAATTTGGGGTCCAAATCTCGTCGGCACCACCGTGCTTTCTCGGCGCAAGTGCTTCTCAATCTCCTTGAGGGACTGCATGTATGCAGATTGCTTTTCGTGGATGAGCCGATCGAAAGCTTGGTACAACGCTACAGCTTGCGAAGGACTGCTGGATGTGCAAAACACGTGTGCCTTTCCGCAATCCAATACTGCAACGAGTCGATCGCCCGTTCCATGCTGCTCGCGAACATTGTACATCAGGAAGTCGAAGTTGCCAATGTCGCCGAAAGCAAATGCTTGGTAGTCAAACGCCGCTTTGGCCTTGAGTTCTTTGACTCCGATCGATGCCTGGATGAGCGGAGTCTTGCGCAGTGTCGCCTGGGTCGACTCCTCTGGCCATTTGATGGACGTTCTGACTCCGAGCTTGCCCAAATGAATGAAGCCGCTCATTCTGCCAGTGCTATCGACACCCATCTCGTCCAGCCCTATGCACAGATTCTGTTCCCAATTCGAAGACTTCTGCTGACTTGCCCAAAGATTTATGATTCGGAAAGACGACTTGCCGATACTCTGTCCGAGATCGACGTCGACAGCCAGTTCAGTTATGTTGACAGTGGCGTTCCATGGAAATGCAGCGGCCGCAGCAAAAGTTTGGTATTTCTGAACCACGAACTCATCAGGTCTTTGGACTGTAATGGCTGGTGCAGCTCCTTGTGCAGGGGAAGCAGCGCTCGGCTTGCGAATTTCAGGTGGTAGCCAGATTTCTCTGAACAACAGCAAGTCTTGAAACTGCTTGCCATTGATTGCAATCTTGGTCGGGTTAATATTCAAGATTGCGGAGATTCCAGCGCTCCCGCTCAAATGCTTGTTGTTCATTGCCGATAGCACGATTGAATCCATCTCATAGCTGAACGTTGGTTCGCGAGAGTACATGTGCTTCACCTGCGCGCCAAGCTTCGTCATGACCGCAGACATGGCAAAGAAATGCCCATGTTCGTCCGAGTCAATGGTGTTCATGGTGAGATAGAAGCCCTCCAGTGAGGCCTTTGCATCGACTCGTGCAATGGGCTGACAGCTTAGCCCAAACTCTTGCTTCGCAATGCGGAAGCCTAGGTCCACCTTCGTCTTGCCAAAGATCTTAGCTGGGGTAGTTGCAACGATGTTGTCATCCTCGAAGAACTGCTTGGCTCTCGATTGATCGGGGCTGGGCCTCTGATCTTCCGCGGTGTCCGGTTTAGGTGGTGTCTGAGGCTTTGTCTTCTCGTCCTGGCTTCGCACGACTTCCTTGACGCTATTTGAGATCTCCAGTACCAAAGGCACCACATTCGGCGCCAGCATGTTGGTAGAGGCATCGATCATCAGCTCGCCGTTCAGTCGTGGCTGTACATCATCCCGGTTGTACTCCATCTTGAGCGAGATTCCAGGAGCAGTCAAAGTTGTTTGCATGAGAGCACCATCAGCAGCGAACTGACCGTATCTGCCGTGCTGAGTACCGTGCTGCTGAGATGCTGCAGCGATTGATGCTAGACTATTGCTTCGGGGTCCAGAGCCTTGTATGTATACCTGCGCGCCCGCGAAGTCGGCCTCCACGAGAACCGAGCTCAGCCTCTTGGTATCGAAAGAAGGCGTCCTCGGCGCGCCAGAAGTCGTTGGCATACTCTGCCAAGTTGCAGTGCCGGTCTTGAATTTGTCCCGGGCAAGCTCAATAGACTTCTGCACTGCGGAGACTGGGAACATGAACTTCGACTCAAGACGCAGGTCAAGCGGCTTTCCTGTTGCCTTCAAGGCAAGCTTCACGTTCTTGCCCTTCTCTGACCAGTAGGCCACGCTGAAGCCGACTTCAGGCAGAAGCGCAGAATTCAGCGCGCGATACTGCTTGCTTTCCTTCCTTTTCACGAGCTGCAACTGGATATTCTGAATGTTGAGACGCGCCTCATGCCCACCTCTCGTCTTGAACTCAATACTCTGTATGGAGAACACAAGATCGTCGACCTGTGCACCACGTCGTGCAGCAAAGGAAGAATCCACCAACCATGTAGCTTGAATTTCCGTCAGCTCAATCGTCGTCGTGATCGAAAGCAGGTCTTCCGGCGAGAAAGGCATTTCATCATCGTCAGGCCAGCCTTCATCGCCCTTGATACGCTTGATGACAGTATGTCTGCGCTCATCTCGAAGCTTTCGAAGATACTCGACTTCTTTCGATAGGTCTAGACGCTTGATTCGATCCTCCAGGTGATTGATGACATCTACGACAGTCGATGCTGTTTCTGGGTTTGCATTGATCTCGATTCCATCACTGCGAACCTTCAACTCACGGTGCACAACACCGTTTTCGCCTACGATGTTGTTAAAGTGTAGGCGAATGCTCATGGTAGCGTTGCCACAAGGTCGAATCTTGCCTCGCTCCTTGATGCGTAGTGCGGCGCCGATGTCTTGTATATGGGCTCGGACTTCTGGGATGAGTGGGTTGGCGTCCTTGGATGTCTCCCTGTTTGATGCTGTGGCGTGCAGAGGTCCTGTGCCTAACTCCACTTCGGCCATGGCTCTGTAGCGATGGGCGTCTTTCGCTGTTGGCGTATGTGCAGAAATTCTGATACCGAGTAGTGCAAGCCGAGCATCAAAAAGAATGCGCTGCTCTTTGACAGGCTTCGGCTTCTCAAGTTCATTCTTTGGGAAGACATATTCAACATGGTGTTGAATGTCTTCCACTCCAGCTTTGATTGACTTGAACACGTCTTGAACCTCGGGTTGATTCATAACCCCAATCACTCCTTGCATAGCACCGGCGTCAACCTCCACCCTTTCAATCGTTGTTGCGACCGACACAGAAGTCTCGTCGTTTCCAAGCTCGAGACCAACGTGACCATTGATTGGCGGTACGTCAAGGAGGCCTTGTATGTGCCGCTCCTCTTCAGACGTGTTGACAAACGCATGCTTCTGCTTGCCAACATCGAAATCGATGCTGAAAACCTTGTCCTTGGTCAATCTCGGGGCCACTCTAACGCTGGCAGCAACACCTTCAAGCATGTAGCCCAGATTCTGCAGTAACGAAACTTCGAGGTGAATATTGCCTGCAAGGACAGCCACGTGGAGCTTCGGCGGCACTGATCCGAAAGTGGTTTCCGATGCTTGGGTCGTCTTTGTTTTCTGCTCCCTCACAGCAGGTGATGCTGTTGCTGAAGACGACGGACGCGGCTGCACGATTTCAGCAAGTTTTTGGCACTTGGCAACCTCATCCAGAATGATTAGATCGATGAGATGTAGAATTCCGGGCACCTGTTCGGTGATCCTGATCTGGAGGTCCTCGTACGCCAAGGCGAGTGTTATCGTTGCCGGACCATCAGCTCCAGGCGCTGGCTGCAGGCAATCGATGTAGAGACTTGGTGAGATAAGCAGCGTCTGCCAGATCCGAGTATTGGTGCCGCAGAGTTCAGTGATGGCACGATCAACATTGATGATGGCACTGGCGCACTGACCAAACTGCTCGCTTGCCTGTGTCGTGCCAATGACTGAAACCTTGAGACCTTCAGCCTGCGAGACATGTCGCACATTTATGGTCTGAAGCGTAATACTACCGGTATCGGTGGATAGCACAATATGGACGTCGTGCCTAGCGAGTCCGTCGTCGATAGCTTGCCTCGTAGTCCTCTTTCCACCAGCTTGCAGCTTGGATGAAACCTGCTGGATCTTGTCATTCAAGGAGATGACATCTTCAGCAATCTTGAGCAGCTCCCAGTCAAGATTGAGGGCGAAGATGCCCATGTGGAGCTGTATCAAAGTCTTGGTGCGCATGTTTTCGTCTACGAGCATCAAACCCTCCGGCCTAGTAGGCGGGATGTTTTCCATTCCCAGCGAAGTCTCCTCTATAACGATCTCGCTGCTGGTCTTCTCGCTCTCCAGGGCGATGCGTAAGGACTCTGATCTGAATGTAACAGTCAAAGGCGGTTTATCCGGCGAAGACTCTTGGTTGAGCTCGTCTGGTCGCCAGATCATTTTAAAAGCCATTGTCTGATTCACATATGGCACGTCCCAGTTCCGCCACTGTGTCCAACTTTCAAGTGTCCTTTCAGGAGCACCTGCCGGGAAGGCGAGTCGGTTCTCTCTGCAATGTGCCTCGAGCTCGTCCGCCTTCTCCTTTGGAAGATGCATGAGGATATTGCGGAAGCGGGAAAGTATTTTCCACGAGTCTGTATTTCTGAAATGTCCCGGAAATGCGCGCAGGATATAGAGCATGCGAGCCATGAAAGGTGGATCGCTCACAATCTCGCCATTTTGTGTCAGCACGTATGTCAGCCATTGCAAACGCCGTGTATCGTTGGTGAAAATGTCATCAAACCGTTCCATAATGCCAGTGATAAGTGGAACCAGCTTGAGGGCCAATTCAGTGAGATAAGTGGTCTGGGGGCTGTTAACAGAGACCACGGCCTCCCTCAAGGAGACATGGAATGCATGCGTTGATGTCAACGCTAGCCACACCAGGGCATCGTCGACGTGAAGAGAGACAGCCGGCTTCATCAGCTCTCTGCCATTCCTCTGGCTTAGAGAAAAATCCAGATTTCCAAGAAGCGTATGTAGGGCCAAGTATTGCACAGCGCCATTGTCCCGAGGATGAGTCCTGACCCTGACGGCCAGCTCGAGCAAGCTCATTGTTATGTCGATCTGGTCGGCAATTTCATCCTTGTGTTCCTCCAAGGCCACTACCCGCATATGAGCTGCGGGAAGCGAGGCACTGATCTCCAGGATGTTTGTAGGACCGATACGCTCAGAATTGCGGCTCGATATCGCCCCCATGACGCTCATGTGGAAAGAGTCCATCACCTCCTCCGGGTTGTTCGGTAAGACTCTCTCTATCAATTTCGAGACCGTAACAGCCAGATGCGGCTCTACATAGACTCGTATTCCAGGCACGACTTTGATCAGAACGCTGACGTGCTCGGCATTTTGGTCAGTTCCTGGATCGTGAATGACCTGCGAGATTGTCGACTTGACTGAACTGTCATCTTGATCGACGTGTTTCGGGAACTCTGGGACATTCGTCTCATCGGGTGCTGTCATCTCGAGTGGGAAGTATGGCTCGGAGTATGGGCTTGAGAATGCCATAGTGGATGCCGGAAGCCCCACCTTGGCACGCTCAGCATCGTTCGGAAGTCTGTCATCCCCGCGATGGAACGACTCAACGGAAGATGATCGACTGCTCGCTCCGGCTGAATGAAATGACGTTGATGGTCGGCTCCCAGACATTTCTGTGGACACTCGCAGAAGCTCTGGACGCGGCGCTGCCGTCGACAACGGGCGGCCCTTGCGTATCGATCCCGAGATTGAGGTATTCGAGGATTTGGACCGTCCACTGCTGCTAATACTTCTGGAAGACTTGACAGAATGTGGCCGATTCCTATCGTAGACCAGTGGCTCAGGCATTGGCGGATAGGGCATCGCGGGCGGTTCGTAGAGAAGTTCGTCCTCTGGCTTGATTGGCGCGTCAATGTCTGGCCTTATCAAGAATGGAAACCTGCCAGTCCTTTGATCATGTAGTCTGAAATGAGCCTGCTGCTTTTTGGTCTCGACTTCGAAGTGAAGCTTCCTGCCCACTACATCGATCGACACGCCTGTTTGAAGAAAGGCGTACGTCCGGACCGGTCTCTTCTTGACGAATGGAGAGCGATGTCGAGACGCACTGCGGCCGTTAACGCAGGCAAATGTGATCAAGGGTACGAGTACATTGACCCGCTGGGAGAACAAGCTGCTCGCCCAACCGTTGACATCTACAGCGACGGGATTCAGATCAATGAGGAGAGCATCTCCTCCGACATGCATCCAGAGGCGTACGGTGTCTGTCCGCACTTGGACAAAACTGGCATCCAAGGCGACCGCGGGAGAACTCACGGGCAGAGCGTTCTCAGCATCCTGGATACTGAAAGCAAATGCTCTTCCGGCTAAAGCCAGATCTCTGACGAACTTACTAGACATCTCGCCTGATATTTTGCCAATGTCAATGTCCCACTGACTCACGTAAGCGTCTTCGTTCGGTGGTAGGCCGAAAGCACGATGTCCGTTGAGGTCCACATGTGCTACCCAGAACTGGGTGCTAGATTGCCTATCGACTGGATCGTCATCGTCCTCATCCTTCGTCGCCGAGACACCAGTCAAGAAGCTGATGGGTGAGAGTTGAAGGCCCATGTCCAAATAGTAGCTCACGATCCGGAGGTCAAGATCCGCCCGAGGAAGTTCTGCTCGCACGAACTCCTTGCATGAGTACAGATTTGTCGGGAACATGACGGTTGCCTCCTCTGCTACTATGCACAAGATGACGTCCAGCTCGTTGATTGAAGTGGGCTTTGGAAAGCTAGCAGTCTTGGCATTGGCTTCCTCGAGGTCATCGCTCGCGGCTTGGAATTCCTCGAGCGTCTTGAAATGCATGTAGTCACCGAAGTAATTCTCCTTTATGCTGACGAGTTGGCGCACGTAGAACCCGAAAGCTTTGAGTGACAAGCCAGTACCAACAATATCCATCCGCAAGACATCGACATTGCCGACCTTGGCTTCCTGATTTGCTGTGTATGAGCCGTTCAAGGTGAGTTTCGGTAAGGTAGCCATGGTCCTGTCCTCTACGTACACGCTGAATGTGCTTTTGGGCGGGCTGTATTGTCGCATGCTGAGGTTCTGAGCTAGCACGTCGAAAGTGATCTTATTACTTTTCGGCCGGTAGTTCTCCATTGGAATGCCGAGTACGGCGTGCAGTTTTCCTTCGATGGTCAAGAAGTCATTCCGGTCGAAGTCCGCCGGGTCGTTGATGATATTAGCGTCATTAACATTGAGATACATTACAAAGTTCTTGAAGGTCATTTCAAGCTGGTAGTTGTAGGGCACAAAAGTCCAGAAGTCTGAAGGTGCTCCGGACGACCAATCATTGACAAGATCAATAATAAGGAAAAGATGATCGCGGAGAATGAAAAGCTCCATGTCGTTGATGACAATGTCGAAGGGCCACTTTCGTAGAGTATTCCACTCGATAGGCTGCGATATATCGGCCTGCACGCTTACCGGCCCAGACCGCCAAAGTAAGCCGTGGTTGACACTACTTTGCATCTCTACACCTTTGACATCGAGGTCGAGGTTGTTGCGATATCCGGCTGGTCTGGGAAACATATCCATGATGTAATTGACGACGGAATCTTTCTTGACCGTTATGTCGAGCCAGCCGAAAGGTCGAGCATCAATTGCTGCCTGCGTTTGCTTGCTTTTCCGCTTGTGCTTTCGCCAGTGTCGACTGCCTTTTCCAGCCGTGGCGCCCGAGCTGGCCGCTGGCTGCGCCTTGTCCGCGCGACCTTTCCATTTCGAATCCTTAGATTCTTCTCGAGCTGGAACACGGAGCACGACATCCTCTTCCACGATCACCTTGATTTTGAAGACCGTACAGACCCGAAGTTCACCAGACTTAAGAGGCTTGGCAGGGACTGCGTCGACATAAGGCGCCGGGAAGAAGATCTGCTGGAGATTGATCCGCTGCCGATCGGCCCACGGACCATATTGTACTACTCCCCCGTAGACCCCCAAATCCATGCCATATTCCGGAGGCGCCATGCCATTGATATCATCCTCGTATTTGGACCCGAGGAGTGTGTCACTGTCGAGCGTACCATCCGAGACTGGGCCAGACATGTCCCAGTAGAAACGCATAGTCACCCTGTCACAATCGACCAGATCGGAGACTTTAGCGTATTCAACCGTTTGCCATTCTTCGTGTTCATTGAGCTCACGGTCCTCAAGATACCGAGTCAGCCCGTGCCATTGACTTTGTCCAGCCAATTGCTCCTTTGGCGGCTGATGGCCAACCATGCCCGACTTCATGGAAGCAGTCCGAAGTGATTCCGCGCTACCATGACGGTGAAAGAGGTAGCGTAGCCGATTCCAGATCCCTCGTGTCCTTTGCATAGCCTCCTTGACCGCCTTTTTCTCAGGTTCGGGTGTTGCCAGCTCTCTCTCTCGCAGAAGGCGTTGGCCAGCATCAAGTTGAAATTCTTTAAAGTCCTTGTTAGGTCTCATGGCGACCTTGACCTTCTCAATTGAAAAGCTGAAGATTAGCTTCCACAAATCTAGAGGTCCAGCATGGCCAGCGTCAACAGTTCCCACAGCTCTTTCCGCTTTCGCTGTCAATACGTTGGTTGTATTCTCGTTTCCGAGAGCTGCAGCAGCGCGCTTGCATTCGACCTTGATGGGAAAGATACGCAAGAAAGCAGGTATCTGAGGCTTCTCCGGGGCAGTTGCGCTGGCGACTGTGGTACGTGTGTGGACCTTTTGAGGCATATTGGAGGCCTTCGAATCGGACTGACTTTTGCTCCCTTGGCTGGAGGAGGTCTGTGATTTCCCAAGATTCTCTCCACGATTACCACCCTTGGCTGCCTCTTTTGCCTTCTTCATAGTCGCCTCTACCACAGCGTCATAGAGAGGACTGCGGTTGTAGATAAATGCCTCCACGCCTGTGACTTTGACAGAGATGCGACACGGAAGCTCCTTCCTAGGCTTGCCTCCGCCTTTCTCCTCCTTGCCGATACTCCTGCTGCGCGCGCGTGGCTTCTCATCACTACTGCTCTTCTCGTCTCTCTCGCCGGCAGCTGTACTCGAGGAGCGTTGCTTGTTGCGCGGGCCGATCTCTTCCTCTTGGAACACTTCAGCCTCTTGCACGCGAGGCAGCCAGTATCTCCAGGTGACATGGCCTTCGTAGACATAGACGGTGACATTGTGGGCGTGATAGCGTATGCTTTTGAAGAAGACTCGGCCACCTAGCAGGCTGATCTGGAGCGCGGAGATGTCTATGTAGGCCTTGAATTTGTACCAGGTGTATGCGCGAATGCCATAGGAAACCGCAGTGGCAAACAGGCGATTGAAGTAGAACAGGAAGAAGAGCGAGAGTATGCCGATGACCAAGATCCAGATCAGGAAGACCCAGTTGAATTGGCCCAGGTTGCTGAGCGGCTGCGCTTCCAGGCCGCTCGCCATCCTCGCTGCGTATCGATGCTGGCGCGTAGCTCCCTCATGGCGGTCGCATGGCCAGGTTGTCGGTGGAGGAGTATGGAGCACTATCGCGTGCGTGCGAGTGGGTGTGTGAGTGAGCGTGAGAGGTGAGGTGAAGCTGGAGGGACCCTCTCGCTCTCGCTCTCGCTCTCGCTCTCCGCACATGAACGCCAAGGTTGCCAAGTTCGAGCTTGGGCTTCATCTCTGTTTCTGTTGTTTCCGACCCAGCATCATCCTCACAAACACAGCATTCTACCACGCCCGTGTCCGTGCCGCCGCGCGCGATGTTGTTCGACGAGGCAGACTCCGAGCTGCTGAAGACGTGGACCATCAAAAAGCTCGAGGCCATCGACTCCGACGCGGATGCGGACGTCCTCGCCGACTATGTTCTCGCGCTGGTCAAGACAGACGATCCCGTCGGCGTCGCAAAGGCCAACTGCACCGAGAACCTGCGCGATTTTCTGAACGAGAAGGCCGATCGCTTCGTCGACGAGCTCTTCCAGGCACTCACTACCAAATCATACGATCCGTCCCGACCACCACCGAAGCCCACCGCGCCCGCCTACCGACCACCACGCCGAGCCGGCTTCGAGCGCGAGCCTCCGCAGGTACAGACCGCCGGCAAGAAGCGCTCCTACCACGATTGGGATCGCGATGATTCTCAAGGCGGCAGATACATGGGCGGTGACAGACCCGTGAAGCAAGCGCGGAGAGGCGGCAGAGGCGGGCGCCAGCAGTTTGGACAGTACTCTCTGCCGCTGCCTCCAACTCCTCCCCCAGGCATGCCAGCATGGGATCTAAACAATCCCTTTGCGTCGCTCCAAGCTATGTATCAGGCTATGGGCATGGTGCTGCCACCGGAGTCCGCCATGCCTCAGCCGCCCTCGAGAAGCAATAGATGCCGGGACTACGACAAAAAGGGCTTCTGCACGAGAGGCGCAACCTGTCCCTATGAACACGGCGACCATGTCAACATCATTACTGGCGATGAGTATGATCCGACCAATCCAGGCGTTTTGAACGTGCAGCCAGTGCGGACTGGAGTTGTCAGCACCTCTCCCGCCAAGACCAACCGTAGTTCACAAAGTGGACGAGGCAAGAATTGGAGGGCCCCAAAGCGCTCCGAATTCTCTCGCCTGGGCCCGAACTACGACAAGTCGATCATGTCTATCGTTGTAGAGCAGATTCCCGAGGAGAACTTCGATGAGCAGACCGTCCGCGACTTCTTTGGCGACTTCGGTAATATTGAACAAGTTACGCTGCATGCGTACAAGCGAGTTGCCATAGTCAAGTACTACAGCTACGATTCGGCTAGGGCTGCATATGACTCTCCAAAGGTCATCTTTGACAATCGCTTTGTAAAGGTCTATTGGTATAAAGACGAGACTTCTTTGCCGCATTCTACCAAATCTCTCCGGCCTAACGAGCAGAGCGCAGATGAGGATATGAATGAAGACGAGCCGCCACTCGACATGGCGCAAATCGCAAAGCAGCAGGAAGAAGCCCAGCGGAGACATGACGAGAGGAAGCTGAAAGCTGAAGAAGCGCAAAAACAAAAGGATGCTTTCGAGGCGCAAGTAAAAGCTCTCGAGGAGCAGAAGAGGAAGATGCTAGCCAGAGTGGCGAAGAAGGAAGGCAAGCCTATCCCGGAAGAGAGCGAGTACACTAAAGCGCTCAGAGAGCAACTCGCAAAGCTCGAAGCTGAAGCTTTGACATTGGGCATTGACCCCCACGCGGCCACCAATGATCTGCACAACCCCAACGATTATTCTCGAGGCAGAAGTGGCTACAGAGGACGGCCGCGAGGTCGTGGCGGCTATAATGCCAGCTTCCGTGGCGGCTGGGCTGCGGGAAGAGGAGGCGCCGTGAAAAGACTCGATAACAGACCCAAGACAATATGCGTGGCATTCACGGAAGGCACATATGATGAGCATGAAGAGGCTCTCCGCTCGTGGCTTCTTGTTCATGCATCGGAGACGACTGCGATGAGCAAACACCCGAGCAGGCAGGACGCCGCACTGATCGCGTTCGAAGAGCGCTATCTGGGCGAGAACTTCCACGCTTCTGTAGCGTCGCCGAGCTTTCCACTCTCCGGCAAAGTCGAGCTGTCCTGGTATGCGGCGCCCAATGCCTCAATCACTAATGGAACATCAACAGACGTTCAAATGGAGCATGCAAGCGACTCGAACGACATGCATGGTCGAGAGGACGAACAGCATGATGCGCGAGACCTTGATGTTGCAGATGAAGACGACCGCTGGGGATGAGGAAGTCTTTACGCTCCATCGTTCTACACATTGCTCCGCCAACAACGACGATCGTGTTGTATCACACCTGAAGCCGTCAGCTGGAATTGCGGCTCAAAGAGGGCGATCGTTTTTCCGAGGAATTCTGAAGGGTCCAGCCACGATTCACCAATGGGAGATCTCGCTTCAGGTTGTATACCCAAAACCAATAGGTCAACCGCAAGCAGAATGACTTGTGGTGGACAGCCTGTGCCACACTGAAGCTGAATGTAGGTATATAGGTGAGCGAGGAATGTGCATAAAGCTTTGCAACATTCCTACATCATTTCCTTTCTCCACAACTAAATTCGACCCTTAGAGAAGCAGCCGCTCAAAACAACGAGCTTTCAGCTGAGCTGCGCCAGACTGACCATGCCCCGTCATCCTTGAAGCAGAACAAGTCATAGGATTAGGGCGGAGGCTTTTGAGAGGGTTGCCAGTGATGGTGGATTGGGTGATGCGCCACCGAAGTATCAGGCTGCTATACTGGTGGTCAGGTAGAGTGTTGTGGATGTGCATTTGCTTTCTTTCGAGTCAGCCTCCGGCTGTTTCCATGCATGATATGTTCGATGTGCTGAGGATCAGAAGTTGAAAGTGCAGGACTTGATGCGTCATTGTATGAGTGATTCCTGGATCAATCGTCGGAAAGTTTTCTGGATTGACTACTTAGCTCTGTCCAGGGTCTCATGCTATTCTACTGTGTGGCAGCTGCAAAGAACACAGCACAGCACAGCACAGCACAGCACCCTCACCTCGCTCTGCGAAGGATTCACCGGTCTCGAGCTGGGTTTCAGATCCTTCTTCCTACTAACAAGATCTAATAGCACCGGCCTAGCGCTTGTCAAGGGTATAGTGGATCGACTAAGTCGTGGGCCCTTCTGAGGGCTTGGCACAAGCTAGACATGTGCAGGGTAGCTGTAGCTGTGGCTGAGGGCTATGGACCAGGCTGCGCGCCTGAGTATCGATCTTCGCGCAGCCATTGCCATCGACAATGGTGCACTCTGCTTCTTGAGATCACAAGGCTTCGACCAAGACGAAGTCAACAATGCTTGCATACACAATCTCTTGGGCACTTCTATGCCCAACACTCTCGGCTATCTTCTTTGGAATCACATTGCATACTTCGAATCAGAACCGACGGTACTGGTTGTTACTACCTCTCATCATCTTTCCGATCCTCTCACTTAACTCAGCAAGAGATCTCGGACTACCAATAGGCATTCGAACGCTCTGGACTCATGGCGTTCTGTTATACATGCTGCATGCCACATCATTACTATTCATCGAAAAATGGCCGTCACCAATCCCTTCGAATGGATTAAGTTTATGGCATTTCAAAGTCTCTACCACGTTGAGACTATGGACAAATTTCCGCATGATCGAACGTCAAAAGCCCAGCCAGAAAACAATCAAATCTCAAAGCCGACTGGCATTCATTTTGCTCCAAACTCTCAAGCTCACTATATATTACTACCTCCACATAACCCTCATCCCAACCTTCACGCAGGCAACTCTCGGCACGATCGAAAGCAAAGACCTCGCCGTCTCGAAATTTCAACTTTTCAACTTCACAACCCTCACACTCCGAGACTCAGCAATCCGCACCTACTTCTCCCTCTACTGGATCTGGGAATCTTTCATCCATCTCGATTCCTTCCACACGATCTTCTCCATCACATCCGTGGCAACCGGCATCGATCAACCTTCGTCCTGCGCCACCCCTCTCTTCGGACACCCTCACCAAGCAACAAGTATCCGAAACTTCTGGAGCAAATTCTGGCATCGACTCATCGCAAGATCTGGTTCGAATTATGGTCGACTCGTCGCAACAAATATCCTCAAACTCCAGCCTGGCAGTCAGATCCATGACCCCGTTGTGGCTTTCGTCGCGTTTGGAATTTCCGGCCTCATACATTCGTTTGTCGCATGGCAACATCATAGCAAGTCATGGGATCGAGACGTTTGGTGGTTTCTCGTCAACTTTGTTGTTGGAGGTTTGGAGAAGACGGTGATGACTTGTGTGAGAGGTGTGGCGAAGCGATTTGGGGTCTCGAGAGAGCTAAGAAGGCTCGAGGAGAGTTGGTTTGGATGTCTGTTTGGCTATGTATGGGTGCTGGGGTTCTTTTGGTGGAGTGTGCCGTTTTGGCAGTATCCGAGACTTGAAGAGCGGGCTTTGCGGCTTGAGTGGTGGAATGGGTATGCGGAGAGGTTGAGAGCGATTAAGGAGAGGAGGGAAGCTGCTGCTTAGACGGTCTTCGTGACTATTAGTTGCCTATCCGTATGGATGCTCCAGGCAAGAGATGAGACCAAGCGATGGATGGAGAGGCCCTCTTGCATATTCCTCGAGACTATCGACCAGATGCTTGCAAGAGCTGCTCTCAGATTCGTGCGGTTGCTGCACTGCTGAGGCTGTGCCACTATTCACACTTGGACAGAATTCTCGGTCTACTCTGTGCCAGCCGGGATGATTCAAGGCACAGTATGAATCATCTACCATTCATCAAGCTTCCATCTCCTCTCATGCCATTCTATCCGATGTGTTATGGGGCTCAGAGCAGTCCGGCTGGTCATCGGACAGTGTGTCTAGCTGCGGGCTGGAACAGGGGGTTGAAGACATCCTAGTAAAGCCGGTCAGCCGTAAGGCTGAGGTTCCAACGCAAGCTTTACTATGAGCCACTTGTTCTCAACAGCCGAAGCATCGCTTATTACCAACTGGGAGAGCGTTCTATTCTGTCGACTTATTTTAGGTATGACGAATGGCGCTGTTGAGGATCGACAGACCGCAGAAGACCAGTGCTCAAAAGTGGACAGGCTGTGTATGCACTGTTTCGCCAAAGATCTGCCGACCTGCACTACCTAGTTGCCAAGGACGTTGCCTCAGATTCTATCCTAATTTCCATGTGGCTCAGCTGCTTTATAGACCTATTTGCGCAGATGAAGTGCTTCTTGACCCTCGAAGATCCAGGTCAACTTGTATTCTCACGCCTTTCTGGCAACGCACCTTTTCACTTCTCAGAAATACTGCTAAAGATGGCCGACATGCAGGACCACAATCACGCAAGAACACAATCAATACTCCAACCACCGCCTTCGCCACTCACAATCGGAAGCAACCATATTTCCGAAGGCGAACGTATCCTCAACATCATATGTCCCGCCAGATACTTCACCTCATCAACATGTACCATCACCGACGAACACGGCGAACTCCTCTTCAAACTCGAGATCCCAGCAGCCTTTAAATCCTACAGCGTACGACGCACATTGAAAGATACCTCAGACCGAACACTCCTGGTACTTCGTCATCCAAATTCAAAAATCCACACTCTGGCCGTAGAAACCGAGACTGGGACGCAACTCTGTCTTATCAAGGATCATGGCCAGCATGTCAGAGACCAGACTGCGCAGATACATTTTGGAGAATGTTATGCGACGATCGATATTCGAGATGTGAATGCGATTGGGACGAAGACTTTGTATCAATTCCAAGGACAGCCTGTCGCGGAATTGGAGATGGTTGTTGATCATGAGCTTGGGCTTTTGACGAGCAAAAGTGATTCCGTCAGGACGGCGTGGAGGCTGAGAATTGCGCCTGGGGTTGATATGGCACTTTTCGTCGCGTTGGCATTTGCTCGGATAGAAATTTCGCAGTCCTGGCGTCGCTGAGAGGCGAGCCATTGAGATGTGAGAGTTGAAGGCAGTATCTCACGTCGATTCGTCGATGGAGCGTTGTGCTTATCTGAGAAGCAGCTGGATAATGGCTTACCGTTGTTCACAACAAACAAGGTAGACCAGACTTCGCGAACCTGAATCTCGGTGGCTGAAATTGTAGTCCTTTGCTATTGATCACAGACGCTATCTGCTCGCAAGAAGTCGAGAGCCACAATGAAGCTGGACGTAGCCTTGCTGTATTAGTCCACTCCCAGTAGGCCTCCGCTTGTGCAGTGGTTGGCCGCAAGTTCTTCCTCAAGTAAGACCAAGCTGAAGATATCACTGCTCTCAAACGACATTCTGATAAATCCTTCCGAAAACCGATAGCCTTGTTGCTGTTTTCGTTTCTTCATGTTAGAGGCCGAACCCTGTCTGCACTATAATGGACATTCTCCACAGGCGCTTACGGCACTTCACCGGCATTGCGGCGCTACATCTAGTGTGCTTCAGCAGACTAGCCGGTGCTATTAGGTCGGGTCCTAGCGGCACCTATAGTGGACGATGGATGCGTGTCTGTTCGAATCTTGCTCTGCCACAATGAGCTGCTCTTGGAAGCACACACAGCGAGATACTATGCGTCGTAGCCGTCACGCTATGGATTCTGGTCTGCAAGAGTTTGTTCGTTCGTAGTAGACACCTTCCCAAGACAATAACAGCGGGTCGTGGGAGCGAGTTGCTGTCCGGATCTGGGAAGCCATGTCGGTCGCGTCAATCTGAATGCAGAGGATCCATTGATTACGACGCGGATCAGGAGACCACCAGCGTTGCCAAATTGCTGTACCGGCTGTCGAGCATCAGTATCGTGATCAGGCTGAGAAAGTGTCGTTTTCGCTGAGGCGTCGAATTGAATAGCACATGGGGATGAATCCATCGCAAGGCTGAGGTGTGTCCAGAGCCTGGGACGCCAGCGTGACTTGATGAAGAAAGTGGATCGCGCTGTAAGCTAGGGTAGCATGCCCTTGCCAAGGATAGCATCGATCCTGTTGATACAATTACAGATGTCTACAAGCCGACCATGGTGGATCCAAGAAGATCCATGTGTTGGTTTTCGCCGATGCGGAAATAGGATTCGAGCCGTGTCCATGATCTCTTTGCTCCGAGCCTCCAGTCAGGATTGATGCGCAATGCCAGAATAACGAAGGAAGTAGCGCGTCTCGTACACTCTCCATACAACACAGCTGGTTGTTGGTTTTATCGACCGCAGCAACGACGGTTTCGTCACCGGTATGGTTCAGGAAGGAGTGGCATGGGCCACAATGATATCAGCTCTTCGCTCCGACAAAGATATATAACAGTCCTCTGCACACCTACAATCTCGTTCATCATCAGCATCAACATCATAACAATCTCCAGCATACAAGCCCACTCAGCTTCACTACCGCTTCCAACATCATCAACTTCAGCCTCGTCACTATCCAAGACAACCCAAACCTCACCAAATCCTAAACAACAACTTCAAAATGGTTTCCGCAAAGCAGGTCGCCGTCGCCGGTGTCGCAGCCGTGGGCATGGTTCAGTTCTGCCCAGCTCCATTCCTCGCAGCATTGACAGCAGTCGAGGTGATGACCACCGTGTCCGGTGTCGTCGGCGCCATCGGCGGTCTCGCCGGTGGAGCAGCCGCAGTTGCCAGCGCTGTTTCGGACGCCAAGGGCAAGAGAAAGCGATCTGAGGGCGAGGTTGACTTCTTCAGCCGCATCAACAAGCGTCAGGAAATGAATGCAGCGGCCATCGAGTCTTGCCACCAGCAACTTGGATCAGCCACCGTCGGATTTCAATCTCAGGGGACCGGAACTGGCAGTGAGTGACACCTTGACCAATCATCATGCTTTGCAAGCTGACTTGTTACAGACGTCCTTGTCACCGGAATTCCATCCAGCTGCATGACGCTCCTGACTGTCATTACTGGCAAGTACAACGAGGGCAACCCAATTCCTATGGGCAGCGATTCTGCTGTATTCCAGAACCTGAGCGACGAGTCTCTCCAGGAGCTTATCGACGCTCTCAGCGCTCACGCTTAGAGAATTTCGACCATCGCCAGCATTTCGGGGTAGTTTCATGGGAGCAGGAGTAGATCGGGAGTAGCTTAGATTTCGTAGCACCACAATCGTTATATCCAATTCGAAAATTAGCTTCCAGAGTCTTGTTGCTTTCGGCTTTGTGGAAGAATCTGAGCAAAGAATCTTGACGTGACGTTTCACAGAAGGACGCGAAGCTTTCGGCAGGAAGAACGGTGAAACGAAACCCCTGTTGTCATTGCACCTAGCCGTTGCTGTTACTGTCTCCCTCATTAGCCATAACATTATATCGTACCTTTCTGGGTTCCCCGTAGCAAGCTCCAACGGATGTCAGCCGGATCTAAGTAGCAGTCGTCCAAGTCCTGCTGGGCTAACACATACTTGAAGTCCAATTCATCTGCATTGCAACACTATCTTCAAGCTTCGAATATTACGCCCAAATGTCATTCTCTGCATCAAAATATGCCGCATCTGAATACGGGAGCATACGCCAGAATCTCCCAGCAGACTATAATCCTTATTAGGCTATGTTTTTGCCACATGAGCGATGTCGATACTTACATGGCAGGGGCGTGCTGACCGGCCCAGTCGCTGTTGATGTTCTGCTGGTTGGAGAAGCCGTTGAAGAAGAGGATGACGTCGAAAAGACTGGCGATGTGCCGTTGCCCCAAGTCCTGGTCTGATCGTAGAAAAAGTTCATAAACTCCGTAGATGCATCGACCTGCTGCGGACTGGTGTTTGCCCAACAGTGGTTGCAAGAATTATCAGTTATGGTGATTTGCGTGATGATACCAGTGTTGTCTGCATTTCCAAATCCGTATCGAATGTAAGAAGGGCCCGTGGCCATGGTGGTGTTGGTACGGCTGTATCCCTGGCGAGCTGCCCATTCGGTAGCCCAATGTGGAATCTCGGGAAGCACTCGGTTTCGTCTGAATCCACCATAATAGTTAATGGTGGCATCATTCACTCCATGCACCTCCATGTAGGCGACATTGTTTCTCGAAGGTGAACAGATAGCCTGGAATAATTAGCAAACTTCGCTGGGATCAGAATGTCACCCTTACCTGAACAGGTGTGTTGACTGGGTCGACGGTGCGAGGATCTTGAGCCGAGTTGGTATTATTTGTGTACATGGCAGCAGACATACCAGTGAACACAGATATAGTAGAGCTCATGACTGGGTCGCATGCCAGCACCTGGACAAGACCACCGCCATTACTGTAGCCCGTGACCCAGATGCGACCAGTGTCAATGCAGAAACTCCCTAGTAGAAAAGCAATCAGAGATCTCACGAAGCTGATGTCGTCCAAGTTCTTGTACTGAGAGCCTGTTGGGCCGTAGTCGGGATTCGAAATGAAAGCGTTGCCAATACCAGTGACATACACAGCAATTCCAAAAGGATTCCGTGTCCCGTCATTGAACTTTGAGTCGCTCTGGATCGAATACGCATCTCCTCCAGTACCATGGAAGCCCAGAATAAGCGGGGACGCCCTATTATTGTAATAGTAACGAGGAATGTGGACAAGATACTGTCTGGTGTAGCCATCGGAGCCGGTGTAGCTGTAGTTAACGCTCGCCCCGTTCGGCACTAAGCCTGGCCAGAGGGCCTGTCCACAGCCTGTTGATGCATTGGCTGTGCCCGCCAGAGGAGGGATTGCATAGTTGGGATTGGGTGGAATACTTCGGACAATAACACTCAGCCCGCTGTTCGCCGTAAGAGCAGTGAAGCCCGTCTTCATGTAGCAAGTAGTGCCCTGTAAAGTGGCGGATTGACATCCTGTATATGCGTCACATGCAGCCATACAGCCAGCAAGGTCTGAGACTGTCTGTTGCGACACGGATGACGGAGAGTTATCAAATCCGCAGTAAACCGTATAGACACTGCCGCAAGGCGAGGTATACTGGGTTTGATTGGCGCCGGGGCAAGCAGGGGACGACGGTGAGACTGCGCCAGAAGTGGTGCACACGCCAGTAAAGCCGGATGGGTATGGCCCTGTGGCTGTAGCTGTTGCAGTCTGCATCTCATCAGTATTGCTCCAAAGCAGCTCTCGTGTTATGCACTGTTCATGAAGATCGTGTCCACGATGAATTGACATGTATACTCACCGGAGTGGAAGCAGCGCCTGATGTAGCTGCAGAGGTAACCTACATTTAGTTAGCAATGGCAATCAACAGGAAATGTGATGAATAGCCTACCGTTGCAGAAATTGAAGCTGGCGTTGAAGAACTCTGTTGAAATTAGCACTGCTAACTGCTTGGCTGTCTCGACGAAGTCGACCCACAGACGAGGTTGATGTTAGTGTCGTAGACCTGACTGTAATTCGGGTCGCGAAGTCTTCGGTGGCGAAGAAGGTAATGCTCTCCTGAGGTACGTCCGCGTAGTCCTTCATGTAGCACACACCACCATTTCCACCGGTTATACCTGACGGCTCTGCATTGTCATAGCTGAATTCGAAGCTGGTGCACTCCTCCTCGGCATTGCAGATGGCAAAACAGGAAGCCATATCGGCCGCATTGACTTGACCTATTGTGACGGCGCCGTTTGCGTTTCTTTGGCAATAGATCTGTTTGTCAGTCAATTAGAGCTCGAGATTTTGTCGTTCAAGTGACGACGCACAGCCCAGAGATTGCCCGCGGAATCTTGCCAAGTAGAGCCATTGTAGTATGGGCAAGGCTGTTGCGCAGAAGCTCTTATCATGTGAGCACCGCCATAGAATGATCCCCATTGATTGTTGGGTGTCGTGCCAGCGTCCAAAACATAGTTTGAGAGCTCTCGGTTCTGGTAGTAGCAAAGGCCGGAGCCACTTGTGGCACCTGTAGACTGTCAGAATCACGACGTCCTTGAGCATCATCGCGTTTTCTTACTGTTTACCGATCCGACAAAGTAGAAGCCTACGCAACCGGGACGTTTGTCACAGCCTCGAAAGCAAGCCGAGACTCCTCGTCCGTTCGTGCCACCATTGTTATTGTAGTATGTCTTCCTGTTTCGCTGGCCGCAATTCATCTGCCATAGAGCGCCGAAGCTATCTGTGAATGTTCCGTTGGCATCTCCGTTGTTGAACGGGGTCAGACCTGCAGTACACGTCGGAGCGAAGGTCCACGCTTGCGTAGCTGTTGGTTGGAAGAGGTCTGCATTTGGCGACTGCTGTGCGATTGCGGGCTGTGTTAGCACTTGAAAAAGCAAGATACCGATGATATTGGCAGATATGGACGGAAACCCCATGGCCATTGGACTCTCGGTGTGAGCGCGCGAATCAAGATGTACGAGAGTTAGGAGATAGAATGAGAATGCTGGAACGGACGTCTCTGGCGAGAATGTGGGTCGCCTAAGCAGTGACCTCCATGAGAGCGCCACAGCAATGCTGGCCTGTAGTCCTGGCCCTGTGCTGGCCGGCTCTTTATCGATTCACCTCTCTGGCTAATAATAACGGTAGAGGACTGTGTTGACTGTCTGCCCACCGAGCTGGAGAGCTCCTGTCCTACCCCCCTTTTGCATCGAGATTGATGTCCAAGGCATGCAGTTCTTGGGTTGCCGTCGGTAAGTGTGCATTCCTCTCAAGGCGCGGCACGTGTGACCGCACAAGCTTTGGAATTTGTGTTCTCCCTCCACAACTGTCCATTGGGAACGGTGTTTTCCAATTCAGCCACGAGGCTAGTCTTGTGAATGTTGGGTCTCTCGAATCTCGATGCTAAGCTAAATGGAGCGCTTGACTTGGGTTGGAGTTTTCTACGCTGTAATCGCTATCGCTCGCGGAATGCATCTTCGATGTGCTTCTGGTTTGAATCAACGATGATCAACGCGATTGTGGTCTGAGACTGGTTTGTTGGGAGGATTGTGGTGGATGCCAGTAGAGTCGTGAAGCTGCAGCGTCGACCATCAGACCAAGCGGGCTTGGCGCCAAGGCCTGCATGCTCGCACTGCCAGCGGTTCCTCGATAACAGACAGGCTGACTCAGAAATGAGCACTAACCGTCTACGGTCCTATAGAGTACACGTCCGGACTTCACGGCTCTACTGTTCACATCACAGGGTTATCATCGACACACTCTGCTATGAGCACGAATCACGCAGAATGCGCGCCATCTCGTTCAGATGATGCAGCCGAAACGCAGGGAAAATATGTGAAGAACCGCATCACGATCGCCATGCTAGCAAACACAGCAAGGCCCTCACTCTGGGCATATGCTGAATCAAAAGACTCAACCGGCGAGAACAAAGGGTAGCAATCAAGCCGTGGCATACTGAGTCGGTGATAATGTGGCTTATTTCTGCCTATGAACGCTCAAGCATTTCAAGCCGACGATGTCGAGCAGGGCATCTCAGCTGCGGACAGAAAAGCCCGGATTCTCCTACACCACTCTCTCCGCACATGGAGTATTCAGCGCCAACGATCGAGACTACCTCAAGCTGTTCCACAACGGGATCGTGTGCGATGGCAAGCGCTGTCGCACGAGCAAACCCCATATAGCAGGTCCAAGATACACGTGTTCTGAATGCGAAGACTTCGATCTGTGCCTCTCCTGCGCTCGGGACAAGGGAAATGGCCATAATGCTTCACATGAGTTCTTCAGGTGTGTGGTTCCTCCAAAAATTGCGGATCCCATCGTAGCAGAGCGGAAATCTCGAGATAGTGATCCAGCGTCTATCATTCAAAAGGGCGACCGGTGTGTCGACACGAAGACTGGCGAGCGCAAGGAAGCTGGGGAATTGCTTGAAGATATGATCTCAGCTCGCGATGGAAGCCATCAGGAAACTACTCATGAAGTACAGAGCAACCTACCGGAAGAAGCAGACCGGAGACAGCAGCGATTGGCATTCGACGAGACGAAAAACCTGGACATCAAGCACGATCACAACAGTCAAGCCGCAAGCCAAAGGCAAGGCGAGGAAAAGCATAGAAAGTGCCTTGTCGATTGAAACCGAACATAGCTGCTAAGGCGAATGGTAACACGGAGTAAGTTGTCCATCGGACAGAGACGATAAATCAGAGCGTCGCAACGCCATCGATAAACCTAGACAAAAATCTTAATAGCCTCTTCAAAGTCCCCATCAATCATCTTCATCACTTCCTCGCCACCAGGCCGCTCACTCTCCGGCGCCTTGGCCACCAACGCTTTCCCAAGCTCATTCGTCAACTTCCTCAAATCCCCCATATCGCCAGACACAGTACTCTGCAAACCCGCCGCCGCCAACTTCTCCTTCTTCTCCTTGAGGCTCGCCATGCAAGCCGCGATATTCGGCTCCAAGATATCTCGAACGTAAGCCGTGATATTCCTGGCCTCTTCCTCGCTCACAACTTCGCTGGCATTGGCGTCGCAAATGGTATTCTTAATGTCTCGTCCGAGTTTGGCTTCGTCGCTGGAGATGCTTGCTGCTGCCAGGAGACCTCCTGAGTAGGCTTTCAGAGTGGCCGTGAGTTTTTGGACCGAGGCATTGATGGTTTCGAGATTGTGTTGTGATGAGGCTGCATCGCGGGGCGTGAGTGCTGCTTTGGCGGAAGCTGCGAGCTGGCTGAACTTGGAGAGTCTCAACATCGTGGCTTGAAGTACGACTTGGAGCGTCTGGTTCGCTTTCTCTTTGGCTTCTGTTTCTGCCTGTATATCGTACCGCAGATCCATGCCAACCTCCGAGGCATTGTGAGTAGCTAGCTACTGAAGTGACCGAAATATCACCAAGCGAACCTACCAATCTCCGGGGTTTGATGCAGTCTAGTGGCACAGCTGTCAGGCAGTGAAATACCAGAACGCCTCCTATTGCGAGCTGGACATCGAGCTGGGGCCGAGGCTTCGCGAGCCATTGGAAGTGTCACATGGAAGATCTGGAGTTGTGGCATGCGTGCGTGCGACACAGATATTATCACGGTGCCTAGGTCCACATAAGATGTCTAGAAGGGCTGTGTACAAGGCTCCAGAATCCTCGTCATGATCGTTGGTGGTGTGTGAGTAGAAGTGTAAGCGTCATCGTTGGTCGTTGGAAGTCGCAGGCATTTTCTCGGCCGAGTGATCGGCATCACCTTCTCCATCCACCTCGTCAACACTCCAATAATCTGTACTGCGCCATACCCAGTACTCTCTACATCACGAGTCAGCGGACAATTCCAACCTTGAGACGCGATCAGTAGGGGTGCTGTTAGTAACCACTTGTCGGTGGAAAGCAACGTTAGTAACAAAACAACGTTAATAACCAGTTAGTATCAATATTCATGCCTTAGGTGTCTATATAGACCTCACCTCTTTATAGTATAGAATAGACTAAGCCTATAGCAATAGCATAGTGCCTTCGTAACTATCTCGGTACTAATGTCCTTTATAGATCCGTCTCTTCCGACTTAGCTAAGCTCAATTTAGTATAGATTAGTATAGAGATTGCTTATATAGCTCTTCCGAGTAGTAGTTGCTTAGGCGACTACTTAGCAGAGGGTTACCTAGCAACTATACTACTAGGGTTAGTAGAATAGTAGGTTTACTAATATTGTCTAAATAGCCTAAAACTAGATAGTTCGAGAGGTATTATTAAGAGAGAATTGCCTACTGTTTTTCTACCTGTTTCGACTACCTAATCCTCCGATTTTCGCATTTCTAGCAATTCTACGAATCTTATAATTCCGACTTTTTTAAAATGCCTCGTTTAAAGGACCTAGTTAACCTTAACTTCTCCTAAGTCGATACCGCTAATATAGGCAAATTTGTAAGGTATATCTAGTACGATAGCGGGAAAGGAACGATAGTAGAAGGAAGCCTATTACGGAAGAAGGCGCACCTAGCGAAATGTTAGAAGTATTTAGACTATAAGAGGGCTTACTATTCTAACGATAAAGAGGCGCCGCCGCGCAAGCAACGTACGCTGCTATTTAGTGTCGCTAAGTCTAAGAAGGTACGTAATTTAGCTATTACGAGGGCGATATTATATAGCGGAAGGCTATTTAATCTCGTAGACGCGAGATTCTATCCTAAATAGCGCGAGGCCTTCTATACCTTCGATACTAATTATAACCCTCTAAGTCGCGATAAGGTAGTAGATTGTATCGATACGGTGCGAGCAGAGGTCGAGAAGGACGTTAAGGCGGTGTTTAATGCGCTTTGAGACCTTAACTTTAGCGCTAATAAGAGTAAGAGCCGCGGTAGTACTCGTTTCTACAACCTGTTAGCTAATATAGTGTCTAGCTCGTTCTTCTATAACCTACTAGACATAAAGAACTCTAACGCTAACGCTATTACCCTCGCGCGGTAGGTAACTAAGCAGGTAGCGCCCTTTATTAATAGTAACCTTAAACGATAGAATAGCCTATAAACCGATACCTACGCGATAATAAGATTACTCTAGGACCGACTCGCCGAGAATCTACTTACTAAGCATATAATTTGCGTCTTCTACGACTCGTATAGTATATAGCTATATATTAGCGACTAGGGTAACTATTAGAAGGACTCGTACCTGCCGTTCTATAGCGACACGCTCCGAGAGGCTTTATACGTACTTGCCTTATTTAAGAGGTCGAAGAAGGCTTAGAATATCCTAAAGGCCTTTACTAAGGACAACGAGGCTATTTTAAGGGCATTTGCTATCGCCTGTCTTACTCGCTAGAGGTTATACTATGCTATAATACATAGCCTGTTTATAGTAATAACAACCCTTTAAGACTGCTCGAGGGTTATAGCTTATAGGCTATTCTAAGGCTCGAATAGTCGCCTCGCAAAGGGCGCCTCTACTGCCTTTAAGACTATTAACTCGCCTCTATTCTAGAGCCGCCTATAGAGCCTTTATACACTCCTTTAGCTAATTAACGAAGTACGGCTAGTTAGTAAGAGCGACACCTCTAAGGTTAGCGATATAGTGCCTCGCTAGTAGCAACTGCGTTGCTCGATTAAGTAGGCGCGCCTGCCTTATTAGAAGGACCTATTATCGCTCTTCGACCTCCGGTTTATTAAGTAAACACAACCCGTCTACTAGGTAGCGTACTCGTTATATATTAACAATCTATTAGTTTCTCGAGAATTTAGTAACCGCGAAGAAGAATGCTGCATTGCCTTCTTTAAGCGCTATTTTGCCTACGAAGACTACGATCCTTCTATATTCGAGCGCTATCTACGATTTAACGACGAATTTATCGAATTCCGAGACTCTACGTAACGCTTCTTCGCTATTAGCAACTACTACGAGCTTAGTCGGCACCGAGAGCGCGGCAATATTACTGCTTATTAGGACTTCCTTACTCGTAAAGCGCCTCTTATAGCGGAAGTCGCCCTCCGCCTATATAGAACACCTACTAACTTAGTGCCTTCCGAGCGAGCCTTTAGCGCTATAAATTTTATATAGAACGACTATCGCTCGAAGCTATCTGCTACGCGCACCGACGACTATACCTATATCTATATAAATAGCCGCGCCTTACGTAGGCGACTAGTAGAAGAGATAGTAAGACGGTAACGATAAGCTAAGTTACGAGAGATATAGTAGCGACAGTTAGTAACTAAGAAAGAGATTAGGAAGGCGGAATTAGACGCATTGCTTGCCTTTAAAGAAGCTATAATAAATAACTACTGCTTGCTACTAAGCGACCCTCGCTATCTCTATATACCTAACCTTAAACAGCTATTTAATCTATATAGTCTATCTTACTACTAAGAAGATAACGACTTCGAAGACGAGCCTATTAATTATAAAGCGCTCTTCGAGGCGATAACGAGCAGTTAACTACTATAGTACTTACTATTCTTTAAGCTAGTTAATAGCTAGGCTTCTACTAAATACGACCCTCTAGTTAGCTATACGCTATTTAGTTAGTCGCTCTTATAAGACAATAATACTAATAACAGCTAGCAATAGCTAGAGATATATAGTAACTATACTAGTACGGAAGCGCTTAAACAACAAGCGCTCTAACAACGGCCGCATTATTAAGCTTAAGAAGTAGTCTATTCTATAGTAAGAAGTGGTCTATATAGTAGTCTTAATCTATAGCAAGAAGTAGTCTTATTCTATAGCTATATTACCTTTAATATAGTATTACCTTCTACCTCTAGTTAGCCCTAGTTAGCCTTATATTACTAATAACTTAGTAGACAAGAGCAACGTTATTAATATAGTTAGCAACGTTAGTAACGTTGCTAACAATTAATAACCTAGCACCTCTAGCGATTAGAAGGGAGGCATATTTAATACCGCACGACTAGCGTTCCTAAACCGGATATTTGTTTATAGTTTGTTTACTTCTCGGTATATATATATATATCTTCCGGTCGCGTTCTTTCTCCCTTCTATATTAACCTCGCTATCGTAAGTACCGTCCCTCCCTCTATCTACCGCTAATTTTAACGCGTAGGACGATATATATCGTAGACGCGGTATATATATCTCGCGTAGGGGTCCCTTTCCGGCATTTTAGCCGGGAAATTTGACCTCGCTGTCGCCCCCCCCCTCTTCGGAATCCCGCTCCGCCCCGGGGCAAAGAATAGTAGGGGCCCCCGCTAGCCGAGACCGTCGGACGGCGGGGTCCCTCCGTAGGGAGGTACGACCGTAGGAAGGGGGGACCCGTCCGTAAGGTATGCTCGAGGCGCAGGGGTGCTATTCTGCGCGAGACACTGCCCCTTCCGCCGGAGGCCATTAGCATCTTTGTTTTCAAAAACGTCGCGAATGTGTGTCAAAAGTGACGTATATGTCGTAAATCCTGTAGCAGGTTGCCCTCGCAACGAGCGTGGGGGTCAAATGTCTGTGCATGCGGTATTAAATTTGGGCCCATCAGGAGTCTTCCTTGGTCCCTGCACAATCGTAAAATATACTATCAACACCATGTATGCTACAATCACGATACGCTACGACGCACGACCGTCTCTTGCACCCAACCCGTCCGTCATCAATCGATCAACTTTTCGCCGCTCAACGCCAAATGCCAATGTCCTGTGTTTCCCAGCCTGTCACCACTATCCCTGTCACGAGTCGCAAAATACCGCTAGGGTTTCGTTCGCTCAACAGGCGAAGCTTACTCGTGCCAAGTTGGTTCTTCATATTGGGGAAATGATTCGATTTCGCGAGCATCGTAAGAGCGCCTTAGGCGTCATCAGTACCACCAGCGTCAATGTCGGGGCAACACGATTCGGTGCGGCTGGTACACGCTGACTGCGGACTGGTACGTCTAGTCCATATTTTCTGCTTCGACTCTGAGGGCGATTTTTGGGGTGGAGAATGGCCTACCATCCGCCCCTCCCTTCCTCAGCAATCTTGCCTGACGCCTCCCGTCGACCTCTCAGACCAGTCTGCTGCTCTGAAGCATAGAGATTGGCATCAGCGATGTCAGCACCAGTTCGCGAGATAACGCGTGTTTGCTGGTGTTTTGGTGGACTAGGCGATCTTGAGTTCTGTGGTGTCGGATAGCCGTACATTCCTCGTACTGCGCTGCCGTCGAAATTTGGAAGATTGCCAGGGCTGTTACCGCGAATGCCACTGGTCGCCGAAGCAAGATCGCCATATTGCTTGCGCTTTGGACTGGCACTCATCGTTGTCTTCAGCGATGGTGCGGATTCCGAGTAGACGGACGAGGTTGCAGTCGCATGGGATTGAACAGTCGCAGTCCGAGCGACACCAGTCTCGATCAGCTGGTAGTCGGAATGCGTGTCCGGGCCGGCTAAGTCGTGAACTGAAGTGGTTGGTGTCGGAGGATTCATCTTCAACGGCTGCGGTTGTGCGTGGGCATCCGTGACGAACGAGTCATGCTTCTGCAGAGGAGGAAGTTTGACATTTGGGAGTGTTGGCTCGCGGTTATGGCCACGGTTGTTCTTGCGGCGTGGTGCTCCTAGGTCTGATGTACTGTCCTCCTCCAACACATACCAATTGTCGTTCAGCAAGCTGTCCTTCTGCTGAGACTTGACCAGATCCTTCGATGGAGCTGATGCATGGCGGTCGGGATTTCCTTGACGACTCATCGGCTGAGTGGAGAACCTGGGGACGGCGGGGATATTGCCATAGTCGACAACTTTCCCGTGGTCACCATCGTTTACGAGCGTACCAGCACGTGAGCGAGCGCCACCGGGGACATCCACACGAGAGCTCCTAGCTGAGTATGGTCCTTGGTTGATCGAGAACTCGTCGTACTGTTGGCGCGAAAGACGTGCCGAGTTTGGATTATGCGGTGAGTACGTGTTGTCGGAGTCCGTCCTGGTGTGACCCCAAGGAATTGTCCTCGAATCCGGCTCCTTCGCAGTGAACGGTCTTGAGTCACTGACATTAAGCGTGCTTCCACTCAAGTATCCTGCCTTCTTCTCCGACATATCCGTGGACACTGATGACAGAGTTGCCTCAGAGTTCTTGTACTTGTGCTTCTGAGATCTGCTGCGGTTACTGCCAGTCAAGTTATCCTCGAGAGGATTCATATCAGGCGGCAGATGTGAGATCTTTCTGAACATCACGATCAGATACAAGTCCAGGCCAACGCTGACCAGGTGCAAGGCTCCGACGGCAATGCTTGCAATGAATGTCACATATATGACTGTTGTCGTGGCGTATTCGGTGCTGAAGAAGCTCGTCCACCGGTCATCCGTGCCTGGTTGGAGGTTGTAATTCTGATTCGCGTACAGGGCGATGAAGACGTAGAATGGTGTCAAGCTGGTGTCCGTGAACAAGGCGAAAAAGTGATAGCTTGCACTGCTATTCGGGGTCCGGCCGTTGGCAGGTCTCAGGAGGTGGTAAATGGCATACATGGTGATGACAGAGTCCCATGCTGGCTGATGACTTTGTCAGTAAACCGTTTCATCAAGTCGACCTACGCATGCTTACCGCGACGCGAATCATCCAGCCTGGGCCATCGTTCGCCATCTTCAAGCAAATGACGCAGACCAATATTCCGAGCGCTCCTATCTCTTGGTGGCACCTGAGCACGAACTGTAGCCACCTCGCCCAGATGACCTTCTTCTTGGTACTCGGTGGCATCGGCTCGTGGGTGATTTGGGGTTGGCCAACAATCATGTAGCTGTCCGGATGTTGGTTGAAGTTGATCAAAGGCTTCCCCTGTTGCTGTGCCTTGCGCTTCTGGCGCTCCGCCCGCTCTTGCAATGCAGCATAGTGGGCTTGTGTTGCTGCCCTGGGATTGAAGTCGGAGGATGGATAAGCGAGCGACTGCCTGGCCTCGATTCGATCGTAGAGGTATGGTTGCTCAGGCATAGTCTCTCAGTGAGGACCGCCTGGGGCGTCTCGGGTCGCGAGCTGTGACCGATGGTCGTGGTAACGACAGTGTAGATGTCTGGTGACAGTGCGAGGGACTGCTCGCCAGTTCAAACTCTTCTAAGGATGGTAGAAGCTCGATAGTCTCTGGAATGTAAGGCTCAAGATCTTGGCCCTAGTGGGATCGAATGCTGGCAGAGCTGGCTGGAGAGAGTGGTGCTGCGGTAGCACAGCAGGGATGGGATGGGATGGTCGATGTGCATCATGCATGGTTGTGTTTGTTCTCGGCGTCACGTGCGTAGCCACGGCAACAATCTTATCAATCGGCCGCATCTACGACTCCGACTCCGACTCCGCAATCGCAGTGCTTTCTTCCTGTCACTCTTCTCCCGTTTCAGTCTTTCAAGATTCACCCAGCGAGGCCATGCTTGGGAGGACTGCGGCGTATGTCTGCCGTCGCTGTCGAATCGCCGCAAGGGGCAATGCTGCCGTCCAGCGGAGGAGGAAGAGGGTCGACTACAGCACCGTCGCCTCACGCAACAGGCCCCTGCAACTCGCCATCATCGGCTCCGGACCGGCTGGCTTCTATTCTGCATACAGATTGCTCAAGCAGCTCCCGGATGCACGAGTGGACATGTATGAGGGCCTGCCTTCGCCGTATGGACTGGTTCGGTTCGGCATTGCGCCCGATCATCCCGAAGCAAAAGTAGGATCCAGCGGCGCGAGAGAGAAAATACAGCACGATGGCTGATCGATGTATGTAAGTAGAAGTGCGCAGAGACGCTGCCGGACGTCGCGAAATACCCTGGCTTTAGCTACGTAGGCAATGTGCCGGTTGGTGACGCTCCACTGCACTTGCCGCTCTCATCAATAGCACCACACTACGACGCTGTGCTTTTCGCGTATGGAGCCTCGAAAGACAAGAAGCTGGGCGTGCCAGGCGAGCATCTACAAGGAGTACATTCTGCACGAGCGTTCGTGGGATGGTACAATGGCCTGCCTCAGTATGCACATCTGAACCCAGACCTGCAATCCGGCGATACTGCCATAGTGCTTGGCCAGGGCAATGTCGCCTTAGACCTTACGCGAATCCTTCTCATGCCCCTGGAAGAGCTTAGGAAAACGGATATCTCAGAGCATGCCGTAGAGGTACTCAGTAAGAGCAAGATTAGAGACGTTAAGATCATCGGGCGAAGGGGGCCACTCCAGGCACCTTACACAATCAAGGAGCTTCGTGAGCTCACGAAACTACAAGACGTTGGGTTCGTCCCCCCTCCAGAGGGCTGGGACGAGCTCATCCAGATTGAGCGTAAGAAGCTGCCTCGTCAGCTGAGGCGCATCGTGGAGGTGCTTGAGAAGGGCAGTCAGACGCCAATCGAAAAGGCATCCAAGGCATGGCAGTTGGGCTATTTACGCTTCCCGGTAGAATTCATGGCGAACAAGAAAAATGGCCCAGATCTCGCAGCCGTAGGCTTCGAGCAGATGGAATACGTTCGGCCACTGAATGAATATTTGACAGGCGATCCTCAGCAGTCACTGTATGCACTTCGCGCAGCGAAAGTCAAAGCAACAGGCCAAAAGTCCATGATCACAGGCACGCTGGCCTTTAGATCTATTGGATACGAATCCGAAGCTTTGCCTGGAATGGATGCCATTGGTGTTCCATTCGACACCAAAAAGGGCATCATACCGAACGATCGCTATGGACGCATCTTGTCACCGGATCGTGGCCCCGGTGATCTGACCGCAGGCCATGTCCCAGGGATGTACTGTGCTGGCTGGGTGAAGCGTGGTCCCACTGGGGTTATCGCTAGCACATTAGACGATGCATTCACGACTGCAGATGTCATTGTGAAGGACTGGAAAGACGGGGTGCCTTTCAACGAAGGCGGTGACTGGTCGCGAAAGGCTGGCTTAGAAGAAGTGAAGAAGACCATTGCGGAAAGGGGGATTCGTTCTGTCAGCTGGCAGGACTGGGAGAGGATCGATGCAGAAGAACTTAGACGTGGCAAGGAGAAGGGCAAGGAGCGAGAGAAGTGCAGAAGTGTACAGGACATGTTGCAGATACTCGACGGCTGATCTCTGAAATAGAGCTTGGGCGACTAGATCATATTGACATATCCTGTGCGTCAGTCCTTTCGAGCCAACGCCAACCATGCCTTGAGGGCGTCATTATGTTGGACTGCCAAACTCGCACTTCTTCGGGGAAATGCCGGTCTATGCCCTTCCAGGTCAGACTTCCAAGGACGCCATACGGGGAAAGATTCTGCAGACCCCAGATAAGTTATTGTATGAGCAGTGACACGCTTGAAGCCTTTAACTAATGGCACAAAATTCTCAGGAACTGCAAAAAAAAAACGCGCCCAAGAGCACAGAGGATCATTGCATCGAACGTCTTTATCGGCTACGGCGAAGAGGTCGGCATACAAAGCATTTTCGCATTGGAGCGAGCATCTCCTCACCTCATCTCCACCTGGGGTACATATTGCCGTGTTCCGACGGAGCGAAGGACTCTACTGGAGTGGCTGCAAAGTACCGATCACCCCGGATACCATTTTGCGGCTTGCCGAGCCAAGCCAAGGTGAGGTCGATGAAGGAACGAGGTCATTCGCTACACATGGCCGGTCTCAATCTGACAGGACTTTTTACAAAAGAAGTGAATTCCTTTGTGGCGAGGTTGTTGTAGGCTAGCATTTCACAGCTAGGACATTGTTCAACCTAGTGAGTGTTACATTACTCTAGACACTCCTTCGTTACTAGCTCTACAATGTCACCTTCTACTCGGCGGCCAGTGCGCATTGGCGGTGCGAGCGGCGGCTTCACCGACCGCGTTCGAGCCATCAACTCTCTCGCCAGCAATGAAGATGTGGATGTCATAGTCGGCGACTGGCTCTCAGAAATGACCAGGACAATCCACGGCTCCGGCAAACAACGCACGATCAAAGACCTATCCACAAAATCTCAGACCTTCAACGAGCTATCTTTCGAACAGCAGCTGGAAACAGCATATTTCGCCGAAAACTTCATGGACTGTTTCGAACCGGCTATCGACAGTCTGGCCAAGAATGGCGTCAAGTTAGCCGTCAACGCTGGAGCATCCGATACCGAGGTTTTGGCCAAACTTGTTCAACAGACGGTGAAAGCAAAGGGATATGATCTTAAGGTTGCTTGGATTTCTGGTGATGAGCAGACTGAGAATGTCCGGGAGCTGATTTCTCGGGGTGAGACTTTTGAATCGCTTATGCATGGACGCAAGATTCAGGATTGGGAGCAAGAGATTGTGTGCGCGCAGTGTTACCTCGGAGGGCTTGGGATCGCAGAGGCACTGAGAGCGGGAGCTGATATCGTCATCGCTGGTCGTGTGGCCGACGCTGCTCCAACGATTGGTGCTGCTGCTTGGTGGCATGAATGGTCTCGAGATCAGCTGGATGAGCTTGCCGGAAGTCTTGTGGCAGGCCATCTGATCGAGTGCTCGGCGTACGTTACAGGAGGTTATATGTCTTCTTTCAAGGATTTGCTGAAAACTGGCAAGCATGTCAATGTTGGCTTCCCGATCGCTGCTGTTGACTACAGAGGAAACTGCACAATCACAAAAGAGAAGAACACTGGCGGTTGTGTGACCGTCGACTCTGTTACCAGCCAGCTCCTTTACGAAATACAAGGTCCCCTGTACTACAACTCTGATGTCGTGGCTCATCTGGAAGGAGTCAAGATCGAGCAGCTTGGCGAAGATGAAGTCTTCGTCTCTGGAGTCAAGGGGCTGCCACCTCCAGATACAACAAAAGTCGGAATCTCCGGCTTCGCAGGCTGGCAGGCTGAGTACCACATCTACCTCTGTGGTCTCGACATCGACGAGAAATGCAAGTTCGCCGAAGACCAGATCAAATATGAACTTGGAGAGGAGAGGCTGAATAAGTTCTCCTGTCTAAAGTTCACGCGAAACGGCGATTCACCCATCGATGCAAGAAATCAGGACATCGCCACAGTAGACTTCCGCATCTTCGCCCAATCGAAAGATCGTCAACTCCTCAGCATGAGAAATCCCGAAGGCTTCTTTCGAATCTCCATGGTCAACTTCCTCATGTCATGTCCCGGCGCCACTTTGAGCAACGATATGCGACAAGCCGAAGGAAAGCCTTTCTACGAATACTGGCCGGCACTTCTCCCTCAAACCTGGGTGAAGCATCAAGCACATCTCCTTTTCGAGCCCGAAGCTGGGAAACAAAAAGTCATAGATATTCCACCTCCTACTCTGACCGAGAAGCACAAGCGTCAACAGCCATCCTACGAAACTTCTAATCCCGCAAAGCTTTCTGCCCTTGGCGAGACCGTGCGTGCCCCTCTGGGTACTATTGTTCTCGGTCGAAGCGGTGACAAAGCCAGTGATTGCAATGTCGGCTTCTTCGTGCGCCCGTCACCAAACGATGAGCTTTGGGAGTGGTTGCGCACAATTCTCACTGTTGAGAAGATCAAGGAGTTACTTGGTCCAGAGGAGATTCACAAATTTGGCAAGGCGGAATTGAGGGTAGATCGTTTCGAGATACCAAATGTCCGCGCTGTGCACTTCTTGTTGCACGATCATTTGGATCGTGGGTATGACAGCTGCTCGACGTACGATACGCTCGGGAAGAATTGTTGCGAGTACTTGAGGGCGAAGACTGTGGATATCCCGAAGAAGTTCTTGGAGTATGCCAGAATCTGAACGTTGGAGACGGAGGAGACGCCAGATTTGGGTTCAAAGTGTTGTCCTCTTGTCATTCAGCTCAGCCTCTGCGGAGAATTTCGCAATCTCATTGACTGTACACATCGTGATTGAATAAGACAGGGAATTTTCCAGCCTCGCAATCTCCTCTCACGTATACGCTGACAGTTCTACCCTTGACAGCGAAGATTCCCTCGCCTTTCTCGTCAATGACGACTTCAGGTCGTGCTTCTCTTTCACTGAGCACATCGACCCATCTCTCTCCTGGTCTTCCAGCAGTCATTCTCTTGATCGTCCACTTATCTGGCTTGCCAATGCTCATGATCACCACACATCCCGGGCGATCATGGGTTCCAGACCGAGTCCAGCCGATGCAAGACATGGAGTCAAAGTAATCTCTCTGCTCACCATACGCACATATTTTGCGAGCGATCATGAGACTTGGCAGAAGACAGCGTGTCGATGTGCTTTGGTCGCATGTGTTGGCTCCAGAGGTGCTTGCGACTGGTAACCGACACGCTGGTCCTTCTGGCCTGGTCTTTTTGTCACCCAAAGTTCCGTACAGATCGCCCCAAAATACGCAGGGCCTTCCTTCGCGTCTGAGCAAAATGAAAGCATAGAACAAGCTCTTCAGGCCCTGATCCATAGGCGTGTAGCTGCTTTGATTCGTCTGCGTGTCATGATTCGTAACAAACGTGAAAGCCTGACATGGTCGTATGGATACCAATGAAGCCTTGTCAGGATCTCCAGGTCCAGACAAGAGTGTTCTGAGATCAGCATTCTTGCTGCCTTTGCGAACATCTTCACTGATCCGACTGAAACTGTAGAAAAGTGGTGCGTCAAATGCCCAAGCTTGGGAGTGACCGCAACCAGCAGGCGTGACGAAATCCAGCCATCGAAGGATTCTACCCACTTCGCCAGATAAGACTTCGCCGAGAATGAAAGCATCCTTCCCATACTTCCTCCGACTTGCTTGATGTACGTTGCTGATCCACTCGCGAGTGAAGCTCCATGAGAAGTGCTGTGCTGCGTCTAGACGGAATCCATTTACGCCGGTCTCCTCGATCATCCACTGACCCCATCGTAGCACGTCTTGTCTGACCTCTGGGTGGGCGTAGTAGATGTTCGAGAAGAGGAGGTAGTCATAGTTGCCAAATGTCTTGTCGACGTCCTCCATCCAGCCCTTTCCTGGTCGAGTAGCTGGCGCATACTGTGCCTTTATAATGCTCTTTGCATCACGTGCAAATCGCTGCAGTCGATTGAATCCATTCATAGGTCTGCTGGGCATCGGCATCTGGTTCTCGTTCGGCTTCGGATAGGTCGCGGGATCATCTATCAACTTGTAAATCGCATTCTTTTGCGACCTCTGATCCCAATCCGTGCCGCTAAAGTGCTCCGCACGCCATTTCAGAGGACTGTACTTCATGCCTTCTCTTTCTCGTCCGGGAAAGTCATATTTCAGCCAAGCCTGGACCTTCTTCGGATCACATATCTCTATTCTGCGATCTTGATGGTCCACTTCAACAGCCCACGTCTCATCTATAGCATCTCCAGCGGTCTTATGGTTGAGAACCGCATCCCATATCAGTTCCACACCTCGATTCCCACACTGTTTGGCCGTTTCGACCAAATCGCGTAGCTCTTCCCGGCTTCCCCATTTGGTACTCCTCGTCCATTTTTGATCAAACTCACCAAGATCCCAAAGGTCATAGCAGTCGTAGCCGTTGCCCTGCGGATTGTTGGCTTTGCAGCCTGGTGGAAGCCAAAGAGACGTCACTCCCAACTCTGCTAGCGAAGGCAGGATACGTGCAAGTCTTCCCCAGTGCGAATTCCCACTATGCGTCTCGTGCGGCTTAGGCGGTTCTGATCTCGTGTGCCATTCGAATGCTTGGAAGGAGAGCTCGTTTTCAGGCGTCTGCTGCGGGTACGGCGAATCATTCGTCGATGGTGCGCCGAAGGTCGTCGGGCGATCTGGAATCGGGGGTGGTATCTGTTGTGTGCTCTGCTGTGCCTGCTGACTGTCTGCTGTCGACAGTGCTTCGAGCTCGTCTTGCAGCTTGTTTATGCTGCGTTTCAGCCACGACATGCTGTGCTTGCGAGAGGAGGGAAAGAGTAAATCAACGCGAACCTACGACAACATCGATACTCAGCTCGAGATGTTGAGACCTCGCATGTCTACTCCCGAAAAGTCACCGTCGTTTGGAGCGTCGTCTCAAGACAGGACCCACTCGCGGAGGTGAGGATCAGAGATGACAGGCTCACAAAGCCTTTCAGCTATGTGGATCACTGGCACAGCGGAGACCATTCTCGTTGCTTGATTCCGCGAAGGCCCCAAAAGTCTTTGAATCAATGGAATGGTGTGTTAAAAAAGAAAGTCGGGCCACCAAAGTTGTGGAAAAAGACTTCGTTCCTCAGATAGGTCTACATCCTCGGCTGCTAGAAAAGCTTACTACCCCCGAATCATCGTCTGGTAGACCAAAATTGAAAGTATCATTGCAAGACGCCGTCCCTATGCTGTCTACTACTGTACATAAGGTCGGTACGAGAAAGCTGTGATGCACCGCCCTCTCTATCATCTATGCCAGCCAGATATTAGGTATGTTGTGGAGGAACCAGCTCGGAGCACCATCCAACGCTTGCTCTCAAGCACTGGAAATGCCGTGAACTGCCCTCAACTTGTCCTACTAGCCTGCCTTGTCGCATCTTGAACCAACACTAGCACATGCGCCTGTCTCTGTAGGCTGCGAAACGTTTACTTGGCAGCAATCTCGACACCTCCAACGGCACCGATGGCCTTCTTGATGTCACCATAGATGGCGAATTGACCTGCAAAGAATGTCAGCAATGTTTCCAACGCGCTTCACAGTATCCACCACATACCGGCAGTCAAAGTTCCAACCATGAAGAGACGAGCACCAATACCGCTGTATGAGCCACGGAGACCGAGCTCCTTGGCAATCTTGATCAGACGGCTGGTGGTGCCCTCACCGGGGAGACCCTTGGTCTTGTTGATCTTTGAAAGCATAGTGTCGGCTGGCTGAGAAACGATGGCGGCGGCGAAACCGGCGATCAAACCAGACCCAAGGTTGATGACGGTCTGCATACCAGCGCTGGTGTTGCTCTTGTCGAAGAACTTGGAGTATGCGAGTTCCGAGACCTTCTCATAAACGACAAACTTGGCCATTGTGTATGGAACCCTGCATGTAGGTTAAGATATGTTCATGTCAATCCCAATCATACCGTATGAAACCTACTGCTTGAACAGAATTGGGCCGAATCCAGAGTAGAAAGCACCAAGGCCTTCTTGGCTCGCAATCTTGCTCATACCGCTGACGAGACCCTTGGCGAAAGTTGGCTCGGACACCAATCGGATACGGGTAGCTTCGAGAGGGCAGAGGGCAATGTCGGCGAAGAACTCGGCGCAGGCAGACGATGCGAGGTAGACAGCAGTGCGGTTGTTCGAGGCAGTCTCGTAGCCGAGCATGTTGATGGATTGCTGCTTGAAGAACTCATATCCACCGAACTTGAAGGCACCCTGCAGGAAGTAACCAGCAAAGGTTGGGCCAGCACCAGTCAAGAGAGCGCTAGCGCCCTCCTTCGCGATGACCTGACGGAAACCGCCAATCATACCACGGTTGTAGGTAGCTGGGTCGAGCTGGATACGGGTCTTGACGCTGATCAATGGCCTCCGTTAGTGGTGTTTCTTAAATTTGTTATAAACCCCTACTCATAGCTCTGGTTCTTGTTCCTCCTCAATTCCGACAGTGCGTGACCGCCATATCGCACGATTGCGCCTCACAGTGCCAATGACTGTGTCCTGTTGTATTGAAGGTTGACTTACACATCGACAGGTGTGAGACCGCCGTGGGTGACGGAACAGCAGACAGCGCCGGCGAATGCGAATCGCGCGTAGAGGCCAAAACCAGACAGCTTCTCGGGCTCGACAGCGGCCTCAGCATTCTGCTTGAGGGAGTCGAGCTTGAGGCTGCCCGTCGATTGCGGTGGTTGTGTCGCGGTGCCGCTCATTGTGCCGGTGGTGTGTTGTGAAAGGGATTCGGGGTGTCGATAAAGCGTGTCCGGTAGGGACGGTAATGCGCGGTTCGACTAAGATGGAGTGGAGTGATGGAGCGACTGTGCGCGCAGATGGCTGTTGGTTGGCGATACGACAAAGGTCGAATTGATGGACGGAGAAGGAGGTCTTCAACTTTTGCCAATCGCCAGAACTCGGAAGGAACTCTATAGCTCTTTCCGCTTGTTGGGAAGCCCAGCCAATGGACATCGCCCGCCGTACCCACGTTGTGTGACGCAATTAGAAGCAGCCTCAATGCATTTCACTTCACTTGTTTATCGCAACGAGCCTCTTCTACGTCCCTTTGAACAAGCATGGCACACGATCACCTAGATTTCGTCAACATGCTTGCGCAGGTGCTGCGATCCGTTATCCGCCATGTCGATGCGACAGTCTCTCCGGCCTCTGTGAAGTTCCCCCTGGACGACCGTTGTGAGTCTAAGGAACAGTGAGAAAGGCCAGTTCGCAAGCTCATGCAGACAATTGATCATGCTTGGGCGCTGACGGGAACGAGGACGCTTCTTCTTGTCGGGATACTCGGACGGGTCCCGTCAGCATTCTTGAGGGGACTTCCACAGTGCTCGGCTTGCCTCAGTTCGGCCTTTCTCTTCTTGCTCGCACTAGCTTTGCACCGAATATATGGCATGCAGGCAGACTAATAAAACCGCAGATAGGCACAGAATCAAGTCCTCCCCAGGCTTTCGAAGGCATCACCGAAACACAACTACGAGCCTCCAAGTATGTGGTCTATTCAGTCTCGATCTAAGCAATCGCATACCCCTGGTGTCTAATTCATGTTACCGGAGCTTAAAGGCTTGGGTGCATCAGACAAGACTGGCTGGCTGCTCCAGCAGTGCGCGGCAGGTCAAACACAGTCTCTCGAAGTGTGTCTTGAACATCTGTCACCCGTGTATGGTGCAGTTCAATCGATCTGCCGTACCACCGCAGATTGACCGTAGTAAGATCAAGGCTGTGTGACCGAAGTATGGATCTGACAGCAGTGTCGATCTGACTCGATCACCACAGCCCCTAACGATGGCACTCTGGACATGAATCTGTCCGAGCGGCGAAGGTTTTCTCTAGGTTATTCCACGAAACCTGCTCTTGCTATGTGTCATGCGATGAACAGATCTTCTTTGGCGGCATAAGTACGATCTATGCATCAGCTGGAGGTCATCATCATCCACCAGAAGGACATGTGTGAACTTTGGAAGAGGCATGCAATCTCCAAGTCCAAGTACCATTGATCTGACGTGTAACAATCCGCTGAGGCATGAGGTCCTTTTCAAGTCTGCATGGTTAGTAGAGCGTAGTGCTGCTAGATCGGGGTTTAGACCGCTCTGGCGTTCTCCTCGGGAGCCTTTGTTAGTCTCGTTCGACTCCTCGCAGTCAGTGTGACCTGGTGATGACTATACAGTATAGGCAGGGATACTGGAACACGGAGGCCGCGTGGGATGAACAACCCGCAGCCTGACCTGGCGCTCGTGCACTTGGAGTGTGTGTGTGTGTATCACGTGCATGATGCCTAAGGCCAACTGTACACACTTTATCTTTGGGCTTTCTGTAAATAGCCCTTCTTCTAAATACAATACAGTTTTGCATCAAGTAGTTATAAGCCCCCTGCGTTTCTAACGTATATAACACGTATTCTAATAGTTAATCCGATAGCTGCGTAGCTAGCGCTTGTTACTAATAATTGCGCCGATATTAATATTGTCGCCGCTACCCTTACTACTACCCTCGAGTGTTCTAGTAGGTACTAGCCTAACTCGAGTCGGTTATATAACAATAGTGTCGGCTGTCCGCTATACTAATATAATATAGGCGCGCCTATTAGCGGCCTCGTTATATTCTTAAGACAAGTCTATAGTCTCTTTCTATATCGCCGTTACTATCCGTAATAGCTCCCCCTATAACGTCTAGCGCTTATATAAGCAATATCCCTAAGCTAAAGAATAAAGAGAACTACCCGTTATAGTTATATACCGCTAAAGGCGCCCTTAAAGATATATCGGTCTAGCGCTATATATAAGGTACCCGCTAGCGACCCCTTACTAAGGCATCTAGTAAGACTTCTAAAGAGTTTAAAGACCGCTAAGATAAATGGGACTCTAAAGATTAAACGGCGCGTACCTAGATCTTTACTAATTGTATTAGTAATATTTAATAATTACTACTTAGTCTATCTATATTCTAGGAAGTATAGGACTTCCTTAAGAAGAAATATACTAGTAACGGTAGATCTACTAAATTTATACTCTTCTAGGACTATATTACCCTTCGCTACGATAGTTAGGACGTCGAGAAGTTCTATAACGAATATAAGAAGAAGCTCGGTGCCTTAAAGGACACTAAATTAGCTATTAGCTAATATTAGGCTGTCTATATATTTATTATACAAATCGCGCTATTCTACGAGGCATTCGTATAGATGCGCCGTAAGCAAATGCGCGCCTTAGAATATACTATTAATAAAAGCACCCTTAACAATATTATTAGCGCGTTACTTAATAAGAATATAGCTTAATTAAACTAGGCCTAGTATAATAGCTTCTTCGGTCTTTAGCGCTAGCACTAACTACAAGGTAGCAATAGCAATAGTCGAGGTAACTCGAACCGTAGCGGTCGTAGTAGCCGCAGAAACAATAGAAATAATAATAGTCGAGGGCGCGGTAGAAATAACTAGAATAGTTACTAGTCTAACCGTAAGAAATGCGTCTATTGTTAGGGATCGCATCCTTCTAACCGCTACTATAATAAGTACCCTTATCTAAAGGAAGAAGACTAACTGCGCCGTAAGTAGCAGAAGGCTTAGAAGAAGAGGGTATAATATTAGTAATAGCAATAGTAGCAGCGTAGACTAACTATATAGCAATAACAGCATTAGCAACCCTAGCCTAGTATATAAGGCTTGTTTGCTAAGAATATACCGCCCTTATTCTATAACAATCTACGTCCGGATTTAGCAGCGCCTAGTTTAGGTAGCAACTACGCCTTTAATGCGATTACTATTAGTAACGCAGCGTCTATAGCGCTTACTATAGCGACTCGTACGACTAACTAGGTTATAGACTCTAGTACTAGCATGTATATAGTTAATAACCCTACCCTGCTTCTTAAGTATAAAGGCTATTATATTCCTATTCGGTTTAGTAGTAATACGAAGTACGTAACAATAGTAGGCGTTACTTAGACAGAGGTAGTTAACGAGTATAGTATTAGCAATATAAAGTTGTTAGAGACACTGTATATGCTAGGTCTAGCAGCTAATCTCCTATCTACTAAGAAGCTAGCCGATAAGGGCTGTTTCTATCGGAATAACAAGCGTATACTGTTTACTATTGTTAACGGCTCTAAGGTTACCGTTGCTTAGATATACCGAAAGAATAGTCTCCCCTATCTGTATATACTAACCTCTAGTCCTAAGGGTTAGGTTATTGCTCTTCTATCGAAGAAGGGGGTACTAATAGGTATAATAGAAGAATAGCATCTACGATATAGCTATATCTATTACCGTAAGCTATTACGAATAGAAGCTAAGGGTTAGATTGTTATTACTAGAAACAAGACCGACTTCCGAAACTGCATTGCTTGTCGTATAGCAACGTTATATAAGGAATACAATCGACTACTATGCCTATAACTATCTACTATCTACTATATTATCTATATAGATATAGTTACTATTACTAACCCTAGTCTACTATAAGAGCGCTACTTTATATTGTTTATATGCGCTAAGTTAGCCTATCGACACGAATATGCTAGCTTACTAAAGTTAGGGGCTATAGTAGCTATTAAGGATTATCGTATATACGTCCGTATATAAACTAGCTATTTAATCCTAATCTACCGCCTCGATAGAGAGAGTAAATACAGCGGAAATTAGCTATTAAGCTAGGCTCGTAATTAGGGCATTGTACTATAGGTTATAGTACCTTATTCTTCTACTTAGAATAGCCTAGCTAAGGTTAGCAACTATATCGTATATACGACCTATAAGAAAATAGGTATATAGCAACGTATAGAACACCCTCTACTAATCTTAGTAGTAGATAGTAGAACTAAACCGTACCTTTTTCAGAACAGGGCAGAGCGTTTACTATTAACTAGGCTACGTACGGATAGCATATATACCGAGCCGGTAACCGAGTATGTCCGTACAAGCGACCGAGCTTTTCCGCGTATACGCTAAGTAGGCTTTACGCTAGCGAGACAGTACCGTAGTATATGTAATAACATTACATAATTGTTATATAGGCTTGCTAAGGCAGGACAGAAGACTTTACTTAATTAGGTTCTTATAATTATCTCCTTCCCCTAGTATAGCTATCCTAGCTATAAGGCAATATAGTAAATTATACTATTTCTTATACTCTACGCTACACTTGCGCGTCTTATACGCACCTATCGCTAGGCTATAGTTGCTAGGCACGTTATAATTTGCCTCGTAGTTACTTGTTTGTTTATAGATTTAAAGCGCGGCTGCTTCTAGTACTAACTAGAGGTTGCCTAAATTTCTAAGAACGCGGTAGCTACGCGAGAACGTAAGCTATCCGAAAGCGAAGCGAGTATTTAAAGCATTCGAAGCCCGCTTAAAAACTTCTTCTTTTTCTAAGCGCTCCGAACACTACCCGCCTACGCCCTATCTACTCTGCCCTCGCGCCCCCCTAGTATTACTTAAAGATTTTTCTTTTTAAACATTTATCTAAAAAAAACATTACTAGTATATCTACCCCTACGCGTACCGTAGGCAAGCGCGCCGTAGGCGCTAGCCCTACGATACCTACTACGCCTACCTAGCGCCTACTAAAAGTCCTAGAGGGCTATACCTGTTACTTTAGGCATATAACGGCTAACGGTACGTTTTCTCGCCCCTTGCTACGTATATATACTTCGCAACTAACTCGCTTTAGTAGACCTATCTAAGCTCTATATAGGCGGCAATATAGACCCTACTACTAAGCGCAACTATAATCGCTGCTATAGTAGCTATTATACCTATACTCCTATTGCGGTACGCGCGCTCGTAGCGCTACTAGCGCGTATTCGCGCCGCGCGCGCTGTACGCGACCTTTGCGAT